GGCGAGATCTCTGAAACCGGGCTCATATAAAGAGCCCGGGGGGGGGGGGTACTCCCTTATAAGGGCTTAATCGGGACGTGCGGCCAGCCAGGGTATGTTTTTCGGGATTTTTGTCTTAAACAGGGTATCGAATTTATCATTTTTTGTCTTAATCAGGGTATCGATTTATCAATTTTTGTCTTAAACAGGATAAATGTCTTAAACAGAGTATCGAAAATCGGAATTCTGTCTTAAACAGGGTAGGAAAATCAGCGATATTTGTCTTAAACAGGGTCAGGGTGTGAAGGGCCGTGCCGCACATCCCCACCCAGGGATATATCGAGTACCTCCCCCCCCCGTGACGACACTAAAAGCGGCTGTGTAGCAGACCACAAAAACATCGCAACTCGATTAAATCAAGATCTATTGTTAACCAACAGGAAGAGGAACAAGAAAAAGCGACAGGAAATGTGTTATTCTGGCTGGAATAAAAAAGACTTAGTGTCCTTTTGTTTTCAATGATAACAATATTAAACACTAAAAATGGGAACAGCGCGGGTGACTTAGAGATGATTTCGAATGCAATTCGAAGGAGACAGACTTTTAACAAATTTCTGTTTCTGGAAATATCTGTACAGTTCATAAGTAGGTTATGATAGAGCGAAATCAATCATTTTCATCTTAATTCCTGAATGATATCCAAAATTTTTACCTAGAATCTCGCAATTAGCAAAAAGTATAGAGCGAGCTAAGTGATTACGATTGTGTTAGATTTATATTGAGGATAAGTAATTCTTTAAGAAAGGTTTTTGACCGACTCCATATGTTTATTAAACCCTGTCATTGTACATGAAAATCTCTCCCTCATGTTCAAACTTAACACTGTCAAAAAGGATATGTATTGATCAAAACCAGAACACGGGAACGGCGAAGCACCGGAAACATTCCGAAACTTTAATGTTCTGTTGGCAGAACATTCGAGAAAACATTATTACCAAAAATATTCTTATCAACAAAAGTGAAATAGTTATCGTTATCAGTTTTTTTTCGATCTCCTCGTTACACTTTCCCTGCCCAGCTCCTTCAGATGATATGACTTTGTTTTTAGTGATCAAACCTACTCCAGTGACGTCATCAGCAAATGGAAAACCCAGGAAGTTTTAAAATCAAAATTCACAGACCAGCATAGGATGCTGTAGTGTTGTTCACTCTTCCTGTGTGACTCCTGGCTTTTCAAATAAAATTATACAAACGTTTATATGTGAAAATAGAAGGTAAATAAAACAAGGAAATTTAGTATTGATGTTTAAGAAATATTTGTGATTCACCAACGTGTAAAGAAAATGACGGCAAGATGTGTTGTTCACTTTAATTTTCGTGCGTGACTTCTGGCCTCCCAAATAAAATTATGCAAATGGTGTAAATGAAAAATAGAGAATAAATAATGACGAATGTTGAATCAACGAAACTAAGTTGCAGTAAACGGCCTTTGTTGTCGCAAAAGCGGAAAGGATGAATATTGCACTAGCTTTTTTTATATATATTTTTTAAAGGAACACTCTAATAAGATGATTAAAATGCAATACTATTTTTGGTCTAATTTGCATTTGGCTCCGTTATAACCAGGGCCAATACATGTACAATGTTATTAATTAAGGCTGTATTGGACACACTGTGCGACGAGTCCCTTAGTGGGCTGGAATAGGCATTTGATGGGTGGGGGGGGGGGGGGGGATTGGGCTTAAATTGTGCTCAAATGGCCCCGAGGCTAAAACAGACTTTAGCCACGGTGGCTGAATTGGCACTTTGGGGATGAGTGAAACGGAACTTTTCGTAAATTTACAGTGTTTTCAAGGCGAGTTGAAAGCTGACAAAAAAATCCAGTATACCATAATAAATAACAGAAATAAAATTTCCCATATGTCTTTAATTGCCGACAAACTTTGCATGAGCATTGTATAACTTCCCAATGGACTGAAATCCGACGTTACAGAACATTGGAAGCGAATACTAACACTTGTAATAACTAAACTCATCTTGGACAGGTCATGATTTTTTCACAACTCAATATTCCCGGTAGATAACGTTTATTGGAAAACTTTCAGGAACTTTGTAGTGGGTAAATTCGTCGGTGAGTGATACTAGGTTGTACCAGGCAAAGAGTTGAGTTAGGGTGAAGCACCGAAGACAGTGATTAGGGCTAAGCACTGTTTTAAAAACGTTAACTTTCAAATAATATAATAAACAATATAATATACCATGCAGGTTCAACTCTCTCATACTATGGTTTGTAGGTACGCAACGCCAAGGGGGCTATGATCCTTGACATGCAAGAACATGCAAAAGGCTCAAAGTCCATACTTACCGGTGGGCGGAACCAAACTGTTTCTGAACTATTTTTTCACGCAAGTTGTATCACAGTCAATAGAGGGAATAGATGTTTTTGTGGACCTGACGGTGCACATCCTATCTTGCTGACCAGTAAAACGCCCCATTAATTTTTCCACAACAATTTGTACACAAAATCAGCGCCGTAGCTAGTATGAGGCCAACCGAGGCACTCGCCTCGGTAAAATTTTGACGAATTTCGCCGATCATTTTTATTTTACATAAGCGATCATAGGATATTTTTAACGCATCATGATATTACAAAGAATTCAGCAATTCAGTCAATATACTATGAAAAAATTACCGTATCATCGATCTCAAGGGGCTACGTACGTTAACTCAAATTTTTTTTGAACAAATACTGATCAAAACCATTGGCGAGGTTAACGGTCACCCGGATTATGTATCTTAGTTTCTGATTATTGCTTTTTTGGCTACGGCACTGAAAATACAAAGGATTGTTCACCGTCAGGGAGCTCCCAACATATAATGCAGCACTTAACCACCGTTGGTTTCATCTTTCAGTAATGTATTCTCATTATTAAACTGTGGTTGTACGCCGAAAGAAAATTTGTGTTTTCTCGTCAATTGACATGGCTGTTTTGTAGTGTGGTTAAAAAACAAAGAATACTAGAGTTTTTCTAAAAGCAGAGAAACACTCAAAACAGCGGTTTCGTGGAATGTGTTCTGTTTTAATTTCTCCTACGCGTTTCGTGTGACTAACGCTCACTTCATCAGGGAGTTTTATGACAATTCCGCTACAAATTGATTGAACAACGTCGTAGGCTAGGTTTGAAACAGTCTACTGACGGATAATCTTTTGGTTGACCGTGCTTGTTTATTAGTTACTTAATATGTTACCATGGAAGGAAGGTAAAAGCTGATTAATTTAAAATGCAAAACTTTTTTGTTTCACCTTTATTTAATGGCATCTTAATAAACAACCTTGCTGTTGACGTACCGACCCTTCAAATAAAAGAATCGTGATTATTCATTGCGTAAAGAGTTGATAATCACAAGCGCCCCGCGGGTTAGTCAATGAAAGGACTATTGTTAAGAAAGCTCAATTCATTAACATGCAAATAAGATTTCACGGGCTGTTTTCTGAAAGCACACGAGAGACATTTTGAAATGATAAATGCTGTCTTCACTGTTGCGCCATAAAAAATCAAAAATCCATATATAAAATTCGATAAATAAAGTCAAGAACTCAAAAGGTTGAAAGAAGATAAATACACAGACAGTCTTGCTAATATTCAAGTCTGCGCTGTTTCGTGAATTGATTGAAACTTGACTGCGTCACTTCAAACCAGCAATAATTAATCTAAAAATGTAAGTGCTTTGTGTATAATCAGAAGTGCAGCTAGCTCTTCATGCTAGTCCTAATGGCCTCCACGTAAGAAAAAAATTTAAAAAAATTAATACAAATATAACGTAACGGCTGGGGAAAGAGAATGCATACCAAACACTACCGATAAGGCTTGGTTCGTTAGGCTAGGAGAATGCCTGCCGAAGAGGAACACTCGCAAAAAATTGGAAAGGGTGAATGTGACATTGTCTGCCCTGTAATATGAAGTCACAACTATATGGGAAACTGAATAAGACTTTTATGCATGCAAAAAGAAAAAGAAAGATCTGCTTCAATTATTGTCGAGTCTTCAATCATATTAAAAATTCATATCTATTTTTTGTCCTATATTTGACGTCTACAAATCAATTGTAAAGCTAAGTTAATTGTTTGATAAGAATTGTTTGTTTGCATTCTAGCAAACACTCAATATTTGAGTTTTGAGTGCAGAACCTTATCTTTCGAATTTAACGGCAACACTTTGTGCTTTGTGCTTTGATATTTCTCGAGGCAAGCGAACGGAAACTTTATATGTTTTCTAAGTTATTGATTAGCGAAAGGAAACTAAAGTTTTCTAAGTTATTGCTTATAAAACTGAGGCTTAACACTCTAAAAATACTTCACGAGCTAATCGTGCCATTCAGTTTAAAGACTTTAGATTGCTGTTATATCAAAAGCCACCGTTGAGCAGACCTCGAATATACTGTCTGTAAATGGTCGAGGCGATCTCATATTTGATCTAAATCAAACTTTCGACTGTTCTTTCGATAGATCCGACCACTGTTATATACTTGTCGGAGAATATGCCAATTACCTCGCTTATTTGCGGCATTACTCTGGCTTACACGCATGGGCGGTTGTTTTGTTAAGAATGAAAAAAAGCTCTTTTGATTAGCAATTGTTACCGCAAATTGTTCAATACTAGAGCAAATACTTGGACGTCCCCGCACGGATAGTCTATCCAGAGCGATCTCTTTATCTGCCCAGTCAAGGTAGAAACATGTATACGTTTTCACATAGCTTGTAAGGGGAATAGCTTACCTTTTGGCTTAAATCTTTTCCCGAAATTGCATCGTTGTTTGTGGAATGAGCAAAAGATAAAGTGATGAATATTTAGATGCACCATCGAAATCAGGTTATTTCTCGAAAGCCCTGTTTGCAAAACCCGCGAAGAACAAGGTGGCTGGTGTAGACGCAGGAGATTACAGTTAGTTAGTAACTAAGCATATCAAGGGTCTGTCTTGATATGTCTTATGACTCCAGCCTAAAAATCACCTTTTTTGCAGTGTCATCTGTTTATGACTGGGGCAAGGATGAATTGGATGCGTTTCGTCTTGTCCATGGCTCTTGTGGCAGCATGGAACTTTCAAGGTATGACAAACTTGTTATATAAAACTTTTTCTTTGTGATTGATAGCTTTCGTTAAGTACAATATTTGCCGAGTGGTAGTGGTGGCAATGGTCAGTCAAATAGGTAAATAATAGATTAATTGAAATGTAATTGCAACATGCAATCCTGGAGGTCGAAAAATGTTTATGCGCGGAAACAGTGACGATAAAAATTTAAAAAAGGGTAAAGATTCAAGTTTCAATTTTTTCCTTCGTCATTGCGAATCATTCTAGCTAGAACAATCCGTTATGCGAAAGGGCTTGCCCTGTCAGTTTTTTATTATTTCAGTCATGGCCGGTAGTCATTCGAAGTAAAAAAAACCGGCTAGGTTTATTAATTTGCATAATGACCTTTTGGAACTGAAAAGATATGCAAACCTAATTTTTCAATTCTTTTAGGAAAGAGGACTTGTTTTAGAAAAGGGTGCTTAAGCTTGTTTTCTTCCTTTTCTTCTTTCTTTTGTTATTTCAAGACTAACTTGATAGATCCAGAGCCAGGCTAGGACGCCTAAGTGCACTAGCTTTTACACTGTAAATGTTTTCTTTTGTCACGTTCGGCCTGACCCTCTGGCGGTAGAAACCCTAGCTTGGGTAATTGAAAAGAAAAGAAGCTACCTTTTTAGCTCATTTTTTTCACTGTTTTTGGAGTTCGAAGGCTCCTTTTGAGTGAGGCTTCACTCTGCTTCGGCTGGATCGCCCCAACTACCAAACATTGAAAACACTCAAGAAAATCAAATCTTTTAAGACAAAAAGAGGAAAACAAACCCTTTTAGGAACGTAAGTTTGTTCTAACAGTTAAAACTTGACTTGTTGTGATTTTTGTTCGCAAATCGGACTTTTCGTTGAAAGCCTATTGTCGTGAATTCATGCAATGTTAGAGCTCATATTGACCAACTGAATGTTTCGCTCAAATGACGATTTATATTTTCTCGCCGATTCACGTGGTCGTGTTATGGCTTGAGTTGAAAGTCACGTTGTGTATCTGTTATGTAAGAACATGCCGGTAGGTTGAGCTTACGGACGACCATTAGGGAGCTTAAGAAACGATGAAGGCGACGTCAAAGAGGCACGATAGTAAATCTGTATTGCGTTATTGGCAAAACAACACCTTTGCACGTGCATCACGCTTTCTTGTTCATTTCTTTGCCGTCGTTGCACGACTACAACGTGAAAGTGCCCAAGTTAATTTCACGTTTTGTTAAGGTCGGAAACACGAGACAACAACTTTCCTTCTCTTTTCCTGAACTTCGATGCAGTCCTTTAGAATTCAACTCCAAAAACATTTGTCAACATTTGACGAATTAAACAAGATGGAATAAGCGCGGTAAAGTTTGAAGCAGCGCAGATTCACTTATTAAGTGACGTCTTCCTAGCCGTCGCCGTTGTCGTCGTCGTTGCTACAGCTCCTTATTATTTTCCTGGAGATTGGAGGGGGGTTGAGGAATTTTCTTCTGCAAGCAGTTTTTTTTCTAATGTATGCGCCTCTGCAATCATTTTGTTTCATCTTCTTGCAAACAATTTTTTCCCGAGTTTTTTTTCTTTGGTGCTAACAATTATGAGCTTACTAAGCTATTTTTTTTTTTCGAAAAACAATCAACAGTGCTATAGCCACTTATTTGATAGCCTCCTACGCAGGCGTTTATAGGGGAGCTCGAGCTCTCCTAAAAACGCCTGCGTGGAAGGCTACTTATTTGGTAAATTAGCCTGTTCAAGGCTCTCATATAGCAGGGGTGAGGCGTAAGCAAAAGGCACGTGGAGATATGAGCGCGTCATCTGGGAAAATGGGCCAGGTGGCGGTCTTACTGTCCCCAGTTTCCTCCCGTTAATTTTCGTTATCTCGGAGCCTGCGAACACAGCCGTTTCTCCTCTTTTTTCGCCGCCGAGGAAGTTTCGCGAGAAATAACGTCTGCGACTCAGCGACAAATGTTCCATACTGATGACGTAAAATCTGTTCGGAATCAGGTCAGAAGCGCTGATTGATCGACAGAGTAGTCACATTGTTTTAGCTATTGTTTACGAATGACAGACAAAAGACAAAAGGCCACGAAGGTCAAATGTAAACGCGATGAATCTCGGAAAAAACAGTCAAAATTGGTGGAATATATTCTTCCCTAGAAGATACACTTGAGTTTTGCTGGAGCTTGTTCGCAGATGAACTCAAAACGTTCGTAAAAATCGACCTGGAGAAAGGTAAAATTGAACAAATTTGGATGAGAGACCCCATGACTATCGGATATGTTATATAAACATTGATTTACGTCATCAGTATGGAATTTCTGTCGCTATGTCGCAGACGTTCCTCCGCGCGAAACGTTCCCAGCGGCTGATAGCGAGGAGAAACGGCTGTTTTCGCAGGCTAAGAACAGGTTATTTGTCCATATATGCTTCTAGTAATTTATAGATGTGCTTTCTTTCTTTTTGATGCCGTCTTTTTATGGCAAAATGTTGAATTCTGTTTTACAACTCTTAAGATGAGAAAAACGAAAATGAAATTTGAATACCATTTTCCCACAGGACACTGAAAATCGGCTGCCACTAGATCACGCGAATGGTGCCGATGAACCTTCCTACCTGATTGATTGATTCACACTTCAGTTTTGACATGTAACTGTTTTTCTGGCATCGCTTGTTCTTATTATGTTCTTCGTATAAAATTATCCCGTATTGTCTCGAAAAATATCTTAACTTGCAGTACTCTTGACCGTTGAAAGACACTTCAAGCTAGTAGGCAGTGAGTAGGGGGAGACGGCAAACATCGATCTAATCCTATTCTATATAGAAAGTGCTCCTTACCTTTTGCTTATGGAAAACACTGACACTATCGATAACAGCTCATTATCTGTTACTTTCAAAGAGAATACAAGGAACGATAAGGTTTGATCTTGTTTCTTGCAGAGTCCAACGCAGCCGTAAACATCATCTTTGCTAAAGAAAGCAGCATCAAATTCATCGATATTCACAACGTCTCAGCGCAAGGTGTATTGGTGTCTGGCCTGTCTCAAGCAAGGTCCTTAGCCTTGTACATACGGCATGGTTGGATGTTTTGGAGCGAATACGGCAGTCCGTCAAGTATTAGCAGATTACACCTAAGTGAAGGGTCAATCAAGGAAAAGATCTTGGATGATTTGGGTGAAGTTGACGGCATCGCCGTTGAATGGGAAACAGGTCTAATCTACTGGACAGATTACATGTACGAGACAATTGAGGTTGCAAAGATTGATGGAACTTACAGAAAGACGTTAATCTGGCAAAATATGGCTAACCCCAGGGCAATTGTTGTGGATTCCAGGACGGGGTGAGTTTACCTTCTTGGAATTGCCGATGAGGACTAAGCGTCCTTTAGATGAGGAAACTAAAAACAAATTTAGAGCAACAGTCAGTCCAAAGTAACGTGCTATCACACAGAGTCAGGAGCCGACAGAGTCTAAGGGTAAATTGCCCCCCCCCCCCCCGGGGGGGGTGGGGCTCTTCCTAGGAGGCTAATGGGTATGTGCAGCTGGATGGGGTCGCATTTTCACGACTGAATTGACTATTATGAGGTTGCATTTTTCAGTGGGGTCGCAAAGTTTCATTCAGGTATCGATAGGAATTTAAAAGATTTACACCACATTCAGTTTAACAAATGTGTCAGTTCATTTCAGGGCGACCAAGTTAAAGGCATTATAAGGTAGATTCATAAACAGAAGTGACTAAGCTGGGATTGTGAAAATTACTTTTTTTCCCAAAGTGACCAAGATGGGGTCTAATAATATGGCCACAGAATCAGACCATATAATGGGGTAGGTGTTCTGAGAGGCCAGCAGCACATACCCAGCATAAATTAACCCAAGTATCCCTCCCCCGGGGGGTAAATTGCACCTGAAAGGTATTTGCATTGCTGGTTTTGAAGTATGTCACCGTTGCAATAAGTCAAGAAAATGACAGCCAATGTTTTGCAAAAAATAACGTTACCCAGTAGTTTTCTACCGAAGTCACCCCCTCTTCCCTTTATCTATAAGAGCTTCCCTACATGCTACATATTAAGCTTAAAACGTGCCTTCTAGTTGACTTGATTTTTTTTTCTCTATTTTGTGTTGCATCTTTTCAGTTACATGTATTGGTCAGAGAGAGGATGGGATTTTCCAAGAATCGAGCGCGCAACTTTGGCTGGGACGGAGAGAAGAATTTTGTTCGATGGATATCAGTCTTTTTATCCACAACTTCTGATCAATTCCCTGGTCATAGACTTCAATTCCAATCTGCTGTATTGGGCTGATGCTAATAATGACGTAATTGAACACATGAACCTTGACGGCTCGGACAGAAATACTGTCACAATGTTTACAAGCCTTAACCTGTATTCCTTCAGTCTGGCGTTACATGAAGATATGCTATATGCAAGCGATCTTCGTAGTCGTAGCATAGAGAGGGTGAACCTCACTACAGGCCAGCATTATAGAAACATGGGGTGGCTGGGCTCTGAAAGGACTTATGGGATCGCTTTAAATGATTCTTCAAGGGAACCTCAAGGTACTTTTTAATCGGACCATGGTCTTTTTGTTCAAAAAATCTTTTAAGAGAAAATTACAGAGCGTATTTAAAGTCTTGTGATGTTGCTCATTGTTGTCGCGATGAAGGCTTCTCTTCCCCAAAATCTCGGTTAGCTTCTTTTCTTAAAACTTGTTAATTTTCTAATGGCCCGGCAGCCTTTTTATTGAAAGCCTCACGTTAAAGTCCTTACCCATTACCAAACATGACAGAGTGGCTTAGACTGCTGGGATTCAACTTGCTAGCACCAAACCTGGTCAAAATCCCTTTCCAGTTGAGTAACTGTTGTTCTCAGTAGTAACGAAGACGTGTCTCATCGGTTCTTGTAATAGGCCATTTGTACGCTGACGTCATTTTATTTTGAAATTTAGTGCTTTTGTAATTCAAACATCGCTGGGATTACCAATTTAAATATGAAATGGATTCTGTTACTAGAAGTAAGATGACTCCATCGTTCAAGTGGCCTTTTTGTCTGAGTTGATTGGCCGCTAGTCACTTAGAAATACGATCTAAATTTGTCGGGTAAAGGTTTTTCTCTATTTCTTTTTTTTTTGCCGCCATATAAACCAATTGTGTTAGCTAAGTCTACTGATGTCATAATTCCTTTCACGTTGCCACTTGTATTTCTTTTCTTTAGGAATGACCAACTGCACATCTAATACCGAATGCAGTCACCTATGTTTGCTTACGCCAGATGGTGGAATGTGCGCATGCTCGAACGGTTATGAACTGTTACCAGACAACAAAACTTGCAATGGTAAGGGAACATTATTTTATACGTGTTTTTGGCAATGAGTCATTCTTTTCAATTAACCGCTTTTGTTTTAACGAAAAGGATTTTAATTCCGTTCCAGTCACAAATACTATGTAACTTGTAAAGAAATGTTATTAACTACATCAAAGGTAGGCAGATTACTGCGCAGAACATTTTAGAAAAACAAAAAATACGGGAACAAATGTTCTCCATGCAGACTGATTTATATATTTCCACGGTGCAAAGAGTCGACAACATTACACAGTGTGTTCAAGTGCTTATTGCCCACGGAAATCTATGTTATAGGCATTTTTAATCGATTTACAATGGGATGATAGCCTTTTTGTATATTTTGCAGCTTCTGCACCAACAACGAGACGTCCCATTGAAGGTATGTTCAAGGCTCAGACAGGTCGTCTGAACAGTAACCACTACCCGGTTAGCTCTATTGGATAAGGGGTGATCTGCCAAGGAATAACGTTGGTAGCGACTCCAGCCGCACCAACATTCAGGGTCGTTAAAGAACTGAGGAAAAAGTGTTGTCTTTGTAATGGCATCTACAAACTGTTAGAATTTCTAATCCTCTCGAATGAGGACAATATTCTGTAGGCCCCAATGTCTGTGGTACGTTAGAAAGTGGTTGTCAGGGGGTAAATTAAAGTCCCCTGTGTGGTGGTCTCCCTCAAATTCACAGTTACATTAGGGGGTATCTCTACTCGTTACTTTTTTACTTTGATTTTTAACTTGTACCATAAGTATTCTGGCAAACGTCCCAAGAACCAGTGCTGCAAATTATCCCAGTAAAGCCCTGAGGGGAGTGAATAATAATTTACAACGGTGGCTGACAAAGACTCTTTCAGAAATTGGTAGATAAGGCTGCCTGCTCCCTTCAGCAGTCTTTATTCATTTATTTTGTTTCAGCGTTTTCCTAAAACGAGCCCGTGCGATAACTTACACTGATCTGTGCCATAGCTGCATTTCATAATCGGCGTTTCAAACATCATCCTCTTTCATTTCAACTTATATACGTAACACACTTCATATCCTGATACAGTCCTTTTGTGTGTATAAAATTCATTGAGACTCATTTTTGCTTAGTTGTATCTTTTCATTTCTGCCCGAAAAGGTATCGAGATTCGTCTAGTGAAGGGAAATCTGGAGTCCTTTTTGGAAGGGCGAGTTGAAGTCAGGCTTTCCGGAAGTAACGAATGGGGAACAGTTTGCGATGATCATTTTGACCTTCGAGACGCAGAAGTTGTGTGTCGAATGCTTAATCACAGCCGAGCAGTAAGAATCTTTTCGCCTGCGTCTGTATACGGAGTCGTTAATGATAATGTGAGTATATGGCTAGACAACTTAAAATGTCGTGGTGATGAGAATTCCTTGATGGAGTGTAGGCACCGAGGATGGGGTATAAACAACTGTGGACATTTCGAGGATGTTGGCGTCACATGCACGAATGATTCTGTTGTTCCAACCGGTATGTTGATGTCAATCAATAAATCAATCTATAATTTTTCAGTTTCCTAGCGACACGCATGACAATACTAATGAATTAAAATCAAGAAAAAAGTTATAACTTAAGCAAAGCCCTTCACTAACCCGCTTCTTAATAAACAGTAGAGATCCTAGTGGCTAAAAATATCGTTTTAGGGCCCAAAATAAGCTAGCAACCCTAAGATATAAAATAACCACATTTGCGCCTGGCCTTTCTTGATAACCCTTTTTTGCCTGTTTAGCTTTTTTGCTCATTTTTCTGTTGCTTGACGCAGAACATAGCGGGAGCTTGCACTGTTCACTAATGCTGTTTGGGAGAAGCTTGTTCTAATTACTTTCGCTATAATTAAACAGTTTTAAGACGTGCCCCATCTCCTTTTATAAGTTGGAATTAAGCCTTAACTGTCCATACGAAAGTAAACTGGTCAAGGACATGTTCGTAGGTATCTCAGATTGACTTCTGTGCAATAAGATTTCGTGAAGGTAGAAGAAGGCAGTGCTAATAGATTCCCTGAATAACCAGGTTACTTCTTAATAATAGTTTGATGCTGGGGTACCGTTCGCTACTTATCCTACATCTTCGGTGTCGTTAAATTGTTTCACTTTTTCTCTCTATTTCAGCTCCCTCTCCAACTATGGGGCCACCAGCGAGTAAGTATTTTATCATTGGGCTTTCAAATACTCCTAGAATTAGTCCATCGTAATAACTACCAAGTAGCTATTTTGGAGCCCCTATAAATAAAATACGGTAAGAAATAATAATAGTAATAATAATAATAATAATAATAGTAATAATAAACCCAAAGTGCGCTCTGATTTCATGTAACATGTTCCAGTACTGAATCTTTAACCACTTAACAAAAAGTTCGGTGTTCATTGTATTTTCCAATGAAAGATGCTTCAAATGAAGCGCGGTGGTTTCGATAATGTTGGGTGTTTAGTGTAACCGCTATCGTTATGTTATTTTAGTTATTCCACCACACTTGTGTACGTTACTTTGCATCTATTAAAACTTAGATATCAGTGTCCGGTTGCGAGGTGGCACCAGAGATTACAATGGAAGAGTGGAGGTATTATACAATGGCACGTGGGGCACAATCTGTGACAACAACTTTGACATACAAGACGCTAATGTGGTTTGCAAGATGCTAGGTTACAAGGGAGCCTGGTCAACAGAATGCTGTGGATTTTATGGCTTAGGCTCTGGTTTGCAGATATGGATGGACAATGTTGATTGCTCTGGGAATGAATCCTCATTAGCGCAGTGTGCTCACGGAGGCTGGGGAGGCCACACAGACGTCTGCAGTCATAGCAATGATGTCGGAGTGTATTGTATACCTAATCCAGTTGTAACTCCAGGTAAGTTAAATTTGTGAAGTGGACAACGTAGAAGGCACTATTTGAGTTCCTTTGGTTGTCTGATTCAAATTCTAAGGTAGCCCAGTCATAGGGAAAATATGTTAATCAGTATACCACTCTCATTTTGAAGTTAAGTATTGCACAGGTGGATATTAGGGACTTCACGATTCAACAACGCTACGGCAACGAGAACGTCTAAAAAACCAATAGGTTTGATAAGCAAAACAACAAATTTGCACTTCGTCACGCTTTCTGGACATTTCTTTGCCGTTTTTGCACAACAACATGAAAATGCCTAATTTCGTGTTTTATGGAGAACGTAAACAAGCAGCGAAGAAATTTTATTTTGCTTTCTGAACTTGAATATGGTCCCTTGGAATTCAAATTCAGTAGGGTTCGCGTACGTTCGACAAAGTAATTAGTAGGGATAATCGCGATGAAGACTGAAAGAACGCAAGTGATGTTCTCGTTGCTGTGGCGTCGTTGGATCTTAAAGTCCCTAATAAAAACTTTCAGCTTAATACGTAACACATGAGCACGGCCAAAGTTTTTCGGCCAAACCCAGGCTCCACCGTTCTGCTTCTCTATCATAGCTACTTGCGTAAAGGAGGTCATCACATAATCAGAATTAGTGTGATAGATTTACCACAATGATTTGTTCCAAAGAATCTCAAATTATTGGTCGAAAAGAGTTATTGAGACCCAAAATCACCAAATTGGAAATCTGCTTGCCTAACTATCTACTTGGTAAACGAGAAAGCTGTTTTTGTGCGATAGTGTTGTTCTCCCAGGATCTTGGCAAAGGCAGATACTCCTTTGTATATCTGCGTGCTTCTGCTATTTTTTTGTACTAGATCAGACAATTCGCTTGGCGGATGGAACAAGTCCCAATGAAGGCAGAGTAGAGATTTTCCTAAAGACGGAACATGCCGGCGAACAAATAGGTGAATGGGGCACAATCTGCGATGATCAGTGGGACCTAAAGGACGCAGCAGTGATCTGTCGCATGTTGAATTACACTGGTGCTCTTGCTGCCCCGCTTTCCGGCGCCTACGGAGAAGGTTCTGGGACCATTTGGCTGGATAGTGTAAATTGTATGGGAAATGAAACTAGCATTGAAAATTGCCCACACGATGGATTGGGAAATCATGACTGTTCGCATTTCGAAGATGCAGGTGTTATTTGCCAAGTAAACGAAAGCCACGTGCCAGCTTACGGTGAGCAATGATATTGGTATTAAACCAAACAAGCCCAATCAGAATACTCTCATTTCATGTGCCTTGCTAAATAACATACCACTAAGTGACAATGAAGTACATTAATTCTCCAAAATTTAAAAAATGGTACGTTTCATATTTCAGTGCTGTTATGAATAATGTGATAGTTTGAATCAGTTTCCATTTTTAGACAAAATTGTATCTTTTTGTGCGATTCAATGTTATCTCTCAAGTAATGTTCAGATTACTTGACATAATGGTATCTGCTTTATCATTACCACCGCTAAATTGGATACTTAAACTGATTAGTTAGTCGCTGAAGCTAACAATGTCACGGATCTTATTTTATGGCCTTTTTGTTACGACAGTACGTAACTTCAAAAGATTTTTGCAGATTATCCTGAGTTACGTTTACAGGGGAAATGTCCTTTTCTCAGCTTCATGTTCCTCTTTTGGCTCCTAGTTTGCGAGACGAACCTCAAGTTTCTCACTGTGCTCTTTCATCCGGTGGACTTATCTTTGCAATTGCACTTTTCCTTGTTTTTATTGACAGAAAGCAAGAAGAGCCTACTTATTGCGGAATTCAAGAGGAGTGTTTTGTATCATGTCGACATGGAAACAGACCCTAACAGAGCTGTCCCACTCCCGATTGACAAAATCCTTGGCCTCACTGCCGTTGGGTTTGATCCCATTGATCAGAAGATATATTATGGTGAACTTGGGAGGTCTATAATACGAAGGTCCTATTTAAATGGAACAGCAGATGAGACGATTATCAATGGTGTCTACTTCGCAAATCGACTGGCGATTGACTACATCAATCGTAACATCTATTATACGGACTCTCAGAGAAATAAGATAGATGTTGCGGCCGTAAGTGGGCTGCATCGTACAACTTTACTTTTGACAACTGCACCGGAGGGTATAGCGTTGGATTTGAAAAACGGGTACGTCATTTTCCACTAAGTGAGTTTGTTGCCTTAAAAATGGGGTGATCACAACCGACACCCTCCACTTTTTTTCGTTATGTTACAATATTTTTGAAATATGAAGACTTCAATTCTGGGAGGTGAAACAGCATTAAAAATGGATGACCAACCAACCAACCGACTAGCAAAGAAAATCCTTTAGATTTCGCCTGAACGAGCTCTCTCAACTGGGGGTTGCGGTTAAAAAACAACTCGCAGTCTTCTCTTTATGATCCTGACATGAATGGCTCTGAGTTAGAAACTAAAAACAAACGTAATTTCTTTTCATTTCAAAAACAATACCCTTTGTTGCAATCAGTGACAAATCTAAGGAAGGTACCCGTGAACGCGGGCCTTGTTTTTATAGTGCAAACTGAGCCCAAACTGAGGCCCAAAGAACAAAAAGTATTTTTCAGAGCATACTCTCTTCAGTATCACTGGTCACTGGGTTTTCACGGCTGCATCGGGGACCACCCCTCCTTTTGAAAACAAACGGTCTGGATCGGCATTTGGCGATGATATACATAACAAAAATCCTGAAATGTTTGGGCTCACTGCTTTACCGTAACATGTTAAAAAATCCTTCTTTGTCATTTGAAATAAATATTTATCCTTTTCTTAACACTTCAGACATGTTTATTGGTCAAGTAACGGATTCCCACCAAAAATAGAACGAGCTGACATGGATGGAAAAAATCGGCGTGTTATTCTGGAATTGTCGATCGATTCGACCCCAAGTGGCCTGATTGTGCAACACATGTCCAACAATCAAAGTCGGCTCTATTACACTGACAGGCGTGGTCAGGAAGTCTATTATATAGACTTAAACAGTACCCAGAGCAGGTCGTTTATAGCCAATGAGCTGATCCATCCGGTGGGCTTAACCATACAAGACAACAACCTGTATGTCTCAGACGCAGGTAGTGGTATCGCATGGGACGGTGGAGTGTATAGTACTTTGCTTGGAGGAACAGGAAATGTTTCCAAAGTTATTGACTTGCTGAATACTCCATGGGAAATAGACTCCTACGACTTGGACAACATCTACACACCAGGTAGGTATTTCTTTAAAAAGGCAATTACCAGTGGGTCTTCCTCTTTTAAAGGTGCGGTATCACAGTAAAACGTGTCTTCGCATCAATCGAATTCCAAAAATAATGGCTCAGTTGTGTGAGCTAAGATTATGTTTAGACATTGAAACTGTTTCTGTCGTCTGTTGCAACGGATGGCAAGAAGGGACATGGATTAAAACTTGGGCCAACGACTTCTAGTTTTAATACTATGCCTACAAAAGTCACCAAAAAATGTATTTGGTTAGTGATCTCTGATAAAATTTGTTTGATATCTTTTTGATAACTCCACAGGAGCATTTCGCGTGTGGGTAAAGCATTAAATTATAATGACCTAGCTTTAGCACTGGATTGTTCAAAAGCAGTGATATCCTCGTGACAAAGCCCCTTTCATCAAAGGTGTCCATACGCATGCTCATTTCACTTGTAGACAGTCCTCCGCAATACCCTCCTAGAAAACTGAATTAGTATTTACAGTCTCAGAAGTTAAAATTCTCGCTTTCTCCCTTTGAGAAAGCCTTCTTGGAATGCCCCAAGGAACTGCGCTCAAGCAATTCAATTAGATTACTGGTCCCTACCGAAAACGGCACTTTCCAAGATAATGCGTCGCAGCTATTTAATAATCTACCAGAAACTATTAGAAACTGTAAAGATTACAGAACCTTTTTAAGACTTTCAAGGAATTTTTTAAGTAACAGAGTACAGAGTGATTAGTTAGTTTTACTGTAATTCGACTCTGTTAATCCTGCTTCTACTTTTAATTGTATATCGCATAATTTGTAAATAGCTTAATTTGATTTATTTTGTAATTGTAATTGATGTAATTTAACAGGGAAGAGCCACCCAGTGGATCTGATAATAAACCATTATTATTATTATTATTATATTATTATTATTATTATTTGACTAGCAACCATTTCGGCCTGTTTTCTATAGCTAAGAGGATGAAAAATATTACCAACTACAGTGTTGTGGCTGAAATATCTTCCAAGAAAACAAAGTGTAAAATCATGTATCTGGCACAACTCATGAGTCTCATTTATGTTAATTCAGGTGGTATAGCCACACGTTTTAAGATTATGTAAATAGAGCACCTACAGTTGTAGATAGAATGTGCCGCTTTGTTGAATTGATGGATAGATAGATAGATAGATAGATAGATAGATAGATAGATAGATAGATAGATTGATTGTGTAGGTGTCTTATTTTAAGATTTGTACTATTACAGGTCTTCGTTAAACCATTCTTTCATCATTTTGGATGTATATATATTGAAAGTCGCTATTTGATTCTTTCTGTTATTATTTTATAGAGTCTCCAGGATGCACCGACAAATGCAGTCATCTCTGTTTGAACTCACCGTCTGGAGCTCATTGCGCCTGCCCAGTCGACATGTATCTTACAAATGAGACTTCTTGTAAGTGATCCCCAAGACAGTTAAATCAATTCTTAGAAACCTCATAAATAATGACACTAATTCAAGCCATGAAAAGACAGTAAGGCAAAAGTAGAAAATCTATTTTCATTGGAGCCAGAGGGCACTTGGGATTGTCATAGTGAGGTGCTGGCCTATCTATGACCAACTGATAACGTCTCCCCCAAAAAAGGATGAGGAGCGAAAACAAAACGAGTTTCGTGCCAGGAAGAAAGAACGAAATTAGAGGGCTCAAAGAGCCTCGTGGCAGCAGAATAAAAAGTTCAGAAGTTCCCATCTGTGGGCCTTTGAGAACCTTTCCGAGATGGAAAAAAGCACGAAGTAGTATTAAACAGCCACAACACAAGACAAAACTCTTTAAATCAAAATTTGCGGCTAGAAATGGTTTAACGATAAACTTTTTCACGACTTAAGGTGATGTTACACGGGACGACTCGCAACGACGACGTTTAGCGCAAAGCAGGGTTGCAACATTGTTTTAAATGGTTGCAACACCGGCTGTTCCAACATTGCAACGATGTGGTGCTCTAGCCATTCTCTTTACGTTGAGGCCTAAAAGGTTTTGCTGTTTTAAGGCTAAGTTATGCTCGCCTAAAAAAGGTAGTAATTCAAATAATTAATACTTTTTAATACATCTACACCATCTGCCTACGCCCCACCTGCAAATTAGCTTTTGTTCTGTGTGGCAGTAAAGTAGTCAAATACATTTGTTGATTGACTGATTGATTGATTGATCTTGTCAGGTGCCTATCATCCTTTGATCCTGCATACCGAGTGCTACTTTAGTGAGATTTACAAGGCTCCTTTGGGTGGAGGTTACTTGTTCGATGTAGCAAACACTCTGCCTCTAAAGCACGCATCCTGCCCCTCAGCTGTTGCATCGAACGCGGCCGACAAAAAAGTTTATTGGACGGACCTGACATTCAAACACATTGTCCGAGCGAACTTGGACGGAACGGATGAGGAGATCATTGTTGAAAATGTCGAACATTCCCTGGGACTGGCTGTGGACAGTTACAGTGGAAATATTTATTTTACCGATAAAGGAAATAAAACAGTTCAGGTTGCTAAACTTGATGGTTCCAACAGGAGAGTTTTGATTGATACCAGTCCGCATGAGCCGGTTGGTCTGGCAATCGATTCAAGCCGAGGGTATGATCGTTTCACAAAGTTACTTTTTCTAGTTCTTTAATGACCAGCTATAATTCTTGTCCGAGATCTTGATTTTACGGGGTCATTTTTAATCATTCTCAAGGAGCTAAAATTATAGCTGTAAAAGGGCGCCAAGAAACAGATAAATAAGATTAGAGTGAAATTATATGTAAAACACATGAATTTGGTTTAAAACTCGTGCTTACGTTATTCTCCATTTCATTTTAGTTATTTGTATTACTCCACTTGGGGAGATCCTCCGATGATCGTTAGGGCAGAAATGGATGGAAGCCACGTTACTCCTTTAGTAAAGTTCTCTCCCTGGTCAACTCAGGGTCCCAGCGCACTGGCGATAGATGTGGACGACAACCTTTTGTTCTGGGTATCAGATAGAGATCCAAGCCTACAATACATTGACCTGCGATATCCAAATAGTGAAATAGTATACCATATCGCCTTCAGTAATTATCTACATAGCCCAATGGGACTCGCCCTCGATGCGCATTATTTTTACTGGACAGACGGTTTGCTTGGGAATGTCATACGAGCCAGCAGGAGTTCAGATCAGACAGTAGATGAACTTATCCCATTCCAATATACACCAAGAGGAGTCGATATTTACAATCCGAAAGATATCCAAGGTATAAAAAGGGTGGAAAGCTGATCTGATGAAATTTTCAAAAGAAGTGACCAAGTTGTCGTCTTAAAATGATTTGTTTCTATTTCGGCTTGAAGGACACCAGCCCCGCCTTCAACTCCAATTGTTCTACCTCCTGCCTTCTGGGGCTATTAATGATGTTCTTTCTCATATCTTCGTCTTTTTGTTTAATTCTCTTTGTATCGGTTAGCTCAAGTTACCCTTTTTTCTGCCGACGAAACTAGCTCTTAGCTAAGAATATATTTTGATGTGCTATCTTATGATTCTCCGCGGCAGGATTTGCTCAGTCGGTAGAACGTTTGACTGGAGAGTGGGAGGTCGGGGGTTCGATTCCCGGGGACGCACCAATACTCTGGGTCTTAAAATAACTGAGAAATGAATGTATTGCCTTTGTCCTACAAACAGTTAGACCTTCCTGTGGCTAGGATAGTGACCACACAAAATGACGGTCCTCAATTAGCACTTTCGTACTAAATACTTTTACACTCAAATAAAGTGCATTATTTATACATTTTTACTAATTACAATATTCCTTCCTTCCAGCTCCACATCCTTGTGTGGATATCTGCAGTCATCTCTGTCTCCCAAAACCTGGAGGTTACAAGTGCGCATGCCCTGTCGATGACCCATCAGTATGCAACGAGACTACCAACGTTACTAGTACGTTTATCAGTTAATTGCCTATTATACTTCAAAATTAGCAGCAGCAGCAGTGGTGGTGGTCGATTAGAGGTAGTAGCGATATTTTTCTTCCTACTTGATCTCCATCTGTGAGATGATTCAGCGACCTAAACAGGATAGAAAGCGTATTACCAAATCATGGAGTTGGTGTTGTTGTTGGTGGTGGTTGTGGTTGTGGTTGTGGTGGTGTCCTTTGTCACGGGCCCGCTGTAATTGGCCACAGCTGTTGCGGTGTTTCTACCAACGTTCTTTCTGTTTGTCTGTTTGTTTGTTTGTTTTTGGCGAAGTTAATAAAATAAAAAATAAAAATAGAATATTTCCATATTTCAGCTTAAAATAAATATGTTATTGTATTTGGTTTTCTGTAATATCCAGTGGAGGCGAACTGAAATGGAAAACCTTGACGCATTTCCTTCGTTATCATTCAAAAATGACCTAATTTATCACTGTTGGCATTTCACTGAAACATTTCGTTGCCGGCTAAAAGTTTTTCTTTATTCTCAGATGCATATGGGTGTAGCGAAGACCCAAGTCTCTACGTTTCTGAACGACACAGCATTAAATGCATTGATATAAAGACGTACAATCATTCTCATGTCGAAGTGAAGACTCTTAAAACTGGACTGGCTGATGCAGGAGCAATTGACATCGATCACCGGGAGCGAATGATCTTCTGGAGTGACCATCAACAATGGACAATAAATCGAATGAGTTTAGTAACTGGTGAAACTGAGGTAATCGTCAGCATCATCATCATTTATTAGCCTTGATATTAGAATGAATTTTACAGAATACAGTAGGTTGTTAGCCGAGGAGACCTCAAGAAAGCACCAGGCCCCAGTTGTGCAATAGGTGGATAGCGCTATTCTGCTTTTGAACAACCGGGGCCTGGCTTATAGGGGTATAGGGAGCCTAAGCAGAGGGCGTGGGGCCTTTTCCCTTTTAATATGCCTTAACGCTACCGAATTTGTATCGCCAAATTTCTTTACTCTTTTTGGGACGATTTGCCCCAAACTTATGAGTAAAAAGTACTGCGCCACAATCTTATAGAGATGACAGAAGTTTGGTACGAGGGACTGTCGTGAGGAAGGAGCGGCATAGCTGGATCAGGACCCCCCCGTCCCAGACGTCCCTTTCCTGAACATAATTCGTTATGTACAAACATTAACCACAAAGGACTGCAAAGGACCGCAAACGAATATGCCGAAGAACGTAGGATCTATAAAGACCTGATCAGCAAAAATGAAAAGTAGACATATTAAATTCTGCAAGCAGAATACTGCAATGCTGTTAACTCTGCAAGACATCAACACGACACCGAAAGAACTTGTAGCCATAGACAATAGTTCTTTATAGTTCTTTATAATTAGGTACGGCAAAATGGTGGGTAAATAATCCGTACCTGTTTGACTTTTCTCACTTCCTTGCTTTACCAAAAGGTCATCATAAGAGACAACCTAGGACAAGTTGACGGATTGGCTGTTGAATGGGAAAGTGGTTTGATTTACTGGACAGATTACATCTTTGAGAGAATTGAAGTGGCTAGGATTGACGGACTTTACAGAAGGACGCTTTTTTACACTAATCTGTACAACCCAAGAGGAATTGCTGTGGATCCTAAGTCAGGGTAACATAATTATTCAATCTCACAATTTAATAATAGTGCTCCACAAAAGTGGCGCGAAGTCGCCTGGATAACTGAACCGTAATCATTGTAGCGTTTTTACGTGAATTGCTTAATAAGACGAAATAATAATGATCAAACTCCTTTGAAGGAAGGATGAAACCAGTTTTAAAGGATCCACATCAAACTACAGCCATTACCGAGTAACCTTGTCAAGAGGACTCATTCTGCCACGTTTCGCTTCGTGTAAGGGAATCCAGGACAGTGTTTGATTCCGGATTCCACACCATGGATTCCGGATTCCAGATACTGGATTTCGGATTCTTTGTCAATGGAACTTACATTCTGGACTCCAATCGTTAGTGTGATTCTGGATTCCTTGAGCTGTATTCCGGATTCCAAATCCTAGAGTTCCGTATTCCAAGACAATTTTCCGGATTCCGGATTCCAGATTCCCTTACATGGGGTGCCACGTTCCTGTCACATGCACCCTGCATGTCCTCTGTCAACCTGACAAGCAGTCTGGAATCAACGCCATCGATTTTCTCGATAATAGAATACTGTCGTGTTGTTCCACCTTTATAAAGATAGAGGCGCCAGTCAATTTTCCGTTAATCATGAGCCGTAGCAACCGTTAAGGAAGCTACACAGAATCCTTGCAGAACCTTACTATTTTTCAATTTCCAGGTACATGTTTTGGACAGACTGGGGATTGTTTTATCCTAAAATTGAACGAGCAGATTTATCCGGGGAAAACCGAAAGGTAGTGGTCGACCTTAGATTTTGGTCTTTCCTGTTATACCAGTTGTTTCCTATGAGTGTGGTTATTGATTATGAAGCTGAACGAATTTATTGGATGGATGCATACGACAATTACATCGAATCCACAGACTATGACGGCGGTAATTGGAGAACTGTGCACTATGTCTCTCAGAACATATTCCCAGCGGACTTGGCTCTGTATGGTGACAATTTATATTGGGTTGACTGGAACAGTCAAAGTGTTCAGTGGCTTAACAAGTCACGGCCTCTGCTCATGCGCAACTTTGGACACCTCTCTGACTTCTATCTTACGGGCGCTGTGGTTTCTGACCAGTCAAGACAGCCTGTCGGTAAAAAATACGCTCTTTTTGTTTTTCTCGTTTGTTCATGTTGTTATTTCGGTGCCCCAAAGAGGATAAATGTACGGTATAACCGACAGCAAACAACATGCACCTTGTCCAGCAACACTGGTGCGAAACGAGTTGAATAGCGATATTGCTAGTTTTACCATCTATATCAAACCTGTCTTGCAAAAAATCAGGTTTTTAACTGGCTTAACGCTCAACATCGCTTTTTAACTCGTTTTTGCGGAAGTGCTGAAAAACAAGTTGCACGTTTTTGTTGTCCGTTTTACCGAAGCTTTACGTGACCTCCTCAAGGCCCAGTTGCTAGATGGATGGATAACACTGTCCACTGGATGAACGTCTATCCAGTAGAGAACACAATTGGTTTTCCTACTTTTCTTTTGCATTGTGTTTTATCCGGTGGATAGCTCTTTGAACAACCGGGGCAGGAAGTATTGTTATTGTATTGTAATTGTCAACATGGAACGTAACAAGTCACGTGCTTGAAAACCAGGAATTCACCTTTCCCACATTGCCCATAATACACTTTCTTTAAATCCTTAAATTTTGCATAACTGTCTTGAAAAGTCTCTCGAAACGACTGTAATACCCAGGCAAAATTGGGAAAAATAGCTATGCAAAATTCGGAGAAGGGTGGGAGGGGGAAGCAGAATGCATTATAGCCAATGTGAATATGTTATTTTTCCCTTCCGCTATAAGAAAGGAAGACCGCACAAATATTAATTGACTCTGAACGAAACCTCACACAGATCTGTTTCCTAACTACTCTGTAACAGTTTCACCCTATTTTTACAACCCCGAAACATTTTCTATCTTAACTGAAATCAAATATACACCACATTTTGCTTCCTGACACTGTAGAATAATAAAAAAGCTGAAAAGCTGAATAATGCATTTAGTCATACCATTATAATTAAGTGATCATTATTTTTTGCGTTTTCTTGAAGCTTCCTCGATGCACAGACCACCGTGTCGCATAAACAATGGCGGGTGCAGCCATCTTTGCTTGCTGGCCCCTTCTGGAAAACACAAGTGCGCATGTCCTAATGGAATTGAATTGGAAAGAGATGGGATGACTTGCAAGAGTAACGGTAAGAAGACTGTATCCAAACGTGTAACACAAAGTAAAAAGTAATACGAATTAAAAAGTATCTTGATCTTTTAAAAAATTGACAAACATCTCCATATCAAAACTTTGTTAAAACACATGGTTCCAGTTTTTGATTGTCAGTGACATAAGAAAGTAGTAGAAAAACGTTTTCTCAAGAAACAGATTCCTTTGCACTTCGCACTCGCTGTTGATAATTTAGACAAATATCATGCCTTTCTACAAACATTGTAGACCTTAAGAACGAGAATTAAATGACAGAATGAAGGATCGGTTGTTGGGACATTATAAATCCACTTATTAACCGAGAATGAGGTTATAACAGGGGAATCTCAGACCGAGGCCTTCATGTACATGTATTGACCGAGCGAGAACAAGGTCAAGGCTGAGGTCTGAGATTCCCTGTAATGACCGAATGGACGAGGTTAATATAAAGATATTCACTATATGGCCCTTTAGCGCTATTGATATAGATCACCGGAAGTAATTGAGACAGTGATCAATTAAAACCAATAACTGGTCGGCAGATAAGATGAGTCTTACACTTGAACCCGCGTTACAGTTTAGTAACAGTGGTCAGCTGATACCTCAATTGACAGCTTTCAATTGACCAAAATAGGATGTCCTCTATCAAGTTAAGCACAGACTGTATATGCCTTGGACCCCTAGCCAATAATGCCCGGTCATTACGTGAAAATCTTGCCAGTTCAGCAGCCAATCATACCGAGCGTACTATCGCAGCCATATAATCAATCGAAAGATTCTTAAATACCTGCAATTTCTTGAAAGTTTCGCAGAGCTTTAGGACTCCATCTGGATCCCTTTATCACTGACCTAAATGACGTTTGCTGCTTTTCGCAGCCTCGTTTTGATGAGGCTGCAAAAGTTTCCCATAAATTGGGGGAAGGTGGTAGCTCTAATCACTGTTCATAAAAAACTGAATGGTTTTTGCTATTCTCAATGCATATCTATTCTTTCCTCGTCTAGGGACCCTGCCAAGCACACCACCACCACCTGTTCCAGGTAACACATGGAATCGAATGTAAATTTTTAGCATTGTTCCTCTGAATCGGCTTTGATTATTTCACTGCTACGACCTGTGCTACGACCTGTGCGATTAATTACCATTGTTGGTTTGAGGCCTTGTCCACACTTATCCGAATTCGTCCTTACCAGTAGCGTTTTCGATTCGCTTTCGTCCGTCGACATAAACGATGGAAATACAATACCATCCCTCACAGGGCATGCTCTTTATGACGTATGGAAAACCTCCGTACATGAAAAAATTAATCAGGCGTTTTCAAAAAAAACTCCACTCTGGGAACCGTTTTCGAAAACCTGCGCTTATGGTGGCGGAAAACGTCTTTTACGTGTGGAGGGAAGTCTTAAATGAAGGATAAATTCTCCTTCTTCAAAAATATCCGGATTCGTGTAGATGGGGCCTGAGTGGGCGAGGTGAGATCAAACACAGGCTGAAGGATCTGCAAAGTGGGGCCTTGCATGACGTATTATCTCATCACTCTAGTCTTCCCCTTTTCTAGCCACTCACTGCAAGAAAATTGAAACTGGCACCGTTTCGTTTCGCTCTTTCCTGTCGCTAGCTATTTTTATGTATTATTATAATAAAATATTTTGAGGAGACTTAATTGTCCTTTTTTAGATGTCAGAGTGCGACTCAGAGGCTCTAACTCATCGAACGAAGGACGGGTTGAGATTTATCACCAAGGAAAATGGGGAACGATCTGTGACGACCACTGGGGATTTAGAGAGGCTACAGTTATATGCAGAATGCTGAATTACTCTGCTGCGGTTTACGCTATTAGATATGCAAATACTTATTTTGGATCGGAAACAAACAGCTCTTTTCCAATATGGATGGACAACGTGAAGTGCCGAGGTGACGAGCAGAGCATCGCTGCCTGTAGGTTCAATGAATGGGGCTATCATGATTGCTCGCACTTCGAGGACGCTGGAGTTGTATGCTACAATGAGTCAATACCACCAACCGAAGGTAAGAGCTACTGAGTATATATTTAGGGCTGTTAGACAACAATAATGACGACGGAAACGATTAAAAAAACAGTAGGTTTGAAGTGGCAAATAACAAGTTATAACCATGCATCTCGCTTTTATGTACATTTCTTTGCCGTCTTTGTATGATTACGACGTGAGGCTTCTTAATCTCGCGTTTTGTGGAGGAGGAGAACACAAGGCAGGTGCGCAACTTAGATAGACACTGTAGTCCTTTCCAGTTTGACACCAGAATAATTCGCCATCATTGGAAAAATTGAACGAGATGGAATAAGATAGTTGAAGTTTGGAACAACGCAAGTTCACTTTTTAAGTGACGTTTTCGCCGCCCTAGTCGTCATGGTTGCTTGAGCTCCAAATCAACAAAGTGTTTTGTCATACAAATGATCACAAATGAATACACTATTAGATTGCTGACCTCCCAAGTCAGGCCATGGATCAATGTGATTCATGAAACGTACAGTAAGTCAAGGAGCAATTCGCCACTTGAGAAACGAGGAAGAAACTGGGCGGAGTTAGTTTTAACAAACACTTCTGGGAACGTTACTGGGCACGTGCCGGTCAGCTATTGGCTAATTGTTTTCCCCAGGTTTATATTCTGGAGACAAATCAACCGCTTCAAGTGACGCACGAAACTTTTAAGAAAATTATCTTTCAAATCGGCTCCAAATTGAAATTATGAACTGTAAAACTGGTTAAACCTTACCTCGAAGGCGTTAATCACATAACTTATCTGTAGGCTGTCCTCCCTGTACTAGTCTGAGAAAACAGCCGACATTTGGGGACGCTACCACTGGTTTCCCCGCAAAATGGCGTCTGAGAAACGAGCGCAAATATTCCATACTGATGACGCATCACTACCCAGATCTGGGTAGTGCTTCGGATTGGTCGTACCGCGTGGGAAATTTGATTCAACCAATCAGAAGCACTGCCCAGATCTGGGTGGTGACGAGTCAATGGCATGGAATTTCTGCGCTCGATTCTCAGACGTCGTATGGCGGGGAGACCAGCGGCAGCGTCGCCAAATGTATGTTCACACTCATCGAAGATTTGTGCCTGAGCTCTTGGTCGAGAGGGCTTGATGCATTAAATTCCAGTCTTTACTTTTGCGATCTGCATATTTACTACCGTGTCAGTGGGTTTGAGTCCCCGCTCCTATTCACTTATTTCCGCTATGGTCCGAATATCGTTTTACACTGTGATGAAAAGTGGCGGAAAACTATCCACTTGTGACGATCCACTTTCAAGACAGGCGTGGCGCGGCTTCGTTCCGTAACCAATCGCGCCAAAATCACCCTTTCTGTGTTAACGGAAGCTGTATCCGGTATGCGTTTGTGTCGGCGCAAGAAGTATTTTGTATAGCTTGAACATAACCTTCGAATATGACAATATTATTTAGTCTGTTCGCAGTTCATTATCATGTCGTCATGCTTCCATCATCTCTAGCGGTAACTTTACACTAGGAGTTTAATTTGCTCAACATGCTCGCTCCCTCTCCATCTATACTGGTTGAAAACGGGACATCGACATTTTAATGTCGATCAAAAAGCAGCTCGTTTCACCAGCATTCCACCAAGCGGGACGGCAATATACCTGCCCCCTCCTTACTTCCCCTTTTACAAGTTCTAACATTCTGTTTTGGTTATTATTTAAGGGCCAACCTTGGCACCAGGACCTCATCCAGGTAATTTGATAATAAATAGCTACAAAACAGATACCCAGTTGTAGTTGGAAACTTCGCATTTCTAAGCCTGGGTAGTTAAAATGTTGCCTTCTGGCATGGCGTCATTAAGTTAGTTATGACTGGCCTCTAATGAGCATCAATGTTCCTAGCACCTCTTAAAATTTACCCTGAATAATAGCAGTTAACCATATTTTGATTAAATTAACTCTAAGAATCAATGTTTTAATCAGTACTGCTCAAATTTCAGAAGATAAGTAAAATTTTCAAATGCGCATTACACTGACATTGAAATGAAATAATCAAATGGTTACTACAAAAATGATTCATTACAACATAGTGTACAATGTAGGAATGATAACCCGACCTTTCATTTGGAAACAATTACGTCAGTGGCGTTAATGTAAAAACTACAAGCAAACTTAAGAATCTATACGTTTTGTATAATGTGGTAGTTGTTTTCTACCGTATCATACCATTGCCTAAATTGTAAGTAAATTCTGACTCTTAATTTTCCTCAAAATGTAGAATTAAGGGTTCGTTTGCGTTCTGGTACTACTTCAAACCAAGGAAGAGTGGAGCTGTTCTTAAATGGCACGTGGGGAACGATATGTGATGACTACTGGGGAATCGATGAAGCGAACGTCATTTGCCGCATGCTTGGCTATTCAGAAGGAGCCTGGAGCACACACTGCTGTGGTTGGTACAACGGTTTTACAGCGCCAACTCAGATTTGGCTGGACGATGTTCACTGTGATGGTGATGAACAGAGCATCGGGGCATGTCGTCACGGTGGATGGGGAAGTCATAATTGCTACCATTCTGAAGATGTAGGAGTCGTATGCAAGTATACACCACCACCGCCTCCAGGTTTGTTTTGTTTGATTTGCTTTAAAAGAGCTGTGTCACGAAATTTATCAAAATTGAAACAGTGAGCGTCAACACGTAAACTTGATAAAAAACAATTATAATTTTCTATAATATAATACTTCTGACAATGAAAATGACATTGGAGAGAAGCTGCAAAAAATGACGACTCAAAAAACTCCTGACAGCTCTTCCATCTTAGTTACAAGAACTGACGATTTAGTGATTGTTTCTCTCTTAGATCAAACGTTGCGCCTTATTGATGGGTACAGAAATGGGGAAGGCAGGGTAGAATTGTTTCACGATGGTCACTGGGGAACCGTTTGTGACGACTTCTGGGATATCAAGGACGCACAAGTTGTCTGTCGTCAGCTTGGATTTGACAGTGCGGTCGTTGCACACAAATTTGCTATTTTTGGCGAGGGCAATGGTCATATTTGGCTTGATAACGTACATTGTGTGGGAAATGAAAGCTCCATCGAGAGTTGCCCGCACAATGGATGGAATGATCACAATTGCCAACACTATGAAGACGCATCGGTTATCTGCAGAAATGGGACACTGACATTAGGTTAGTTTCTCTATTTTGTCTCCATTGAACGATCTTAGCTTCTACTATTTCTTACTGATTCACTAAAGGTTGCTTTGGACATTTGGGCATACGGAACTCACTGCAAAGATTTGCTTGAGTGAACACCAAACAATAGCTTCGCAGTGCGCATTTTCCAGTGATCAAAGAATCCTTTCTTGAATCAGCTATAAATTAATTGTTCTCATTCCAATGAAACCGTTCTTCACGGCGACTCAGATTTCACATTATAAATACAGGTATGGGAGTTCGTCTGGAGATTACGAGCACCGTCGCCTCGCGTGGGCAGTTTCATTGTGTCCCTGAATCTGCTGTACAAGTTTATTTTTCATTTGAGAAAAGGGGAATCAAGTCCTCATTTCGATGCCTTCTGATCAGGGTTACAGTTACTTAAAGTTCAGGCATTTGCAAAGACTTAAACGTTTGATGATGCAAATTCGGTACAAAAAAGGTTCAAGGTGGAGTCAAAGCCCAACTTTGTTTGTTTTGTTTGTTTGATCGGGTAAATGTAACGACTATAAGATCCAGTTTTTTTTACTATTAAGCTTGCGAGTGAGACCAGATACTTCACAGTGACTCATGTGAACCGTCCAGTATTAGAGTCGTGTCGGCTTAATTTAATTTCTTTCTGATTCACAAGGATTCATCTAACATCCTGATTTCTCCTTATTGCCTTGGCTAAAACTTACACCGAAAGGCTGAAAGATAGATAGATTAAGGGCCGCCTTGTCTGACTCCCTGTTAAATTCTGAAAAAACTATTCGTCCAGCCATTGTTTAGGACACAGCTATCTACGTTGCTGTAAAAGAACCTGACCGAATTTAAGAGGCTTGGGCCGAAAACCAAAATATACTCGATTAAAAAAATGCAAGTATTGTTCTTGCGTACAACTATGCATGTCTAAGATCTAGAAGCCTTTAATGTGACGACGATAAGCGGATTGAGACATCCAAAAACTTTCCAGGTAGTAACTAAAAATATGTATATTTCCATACAGATGGCGATGATTTCTTGTTGGTGTGTGAAGGTGGCCGCCGACTGTGCTACTACGTCCCACTGCAAACACAGACACCACCTAATCCGGTACCTCTGTCGATTCCACTGGACTCTACGCCGTTTGGAGTAGCCTTCGACCCAGTTGAGAGGCGAATCTACTGGACAGACGCGTTTGGAGACATCAATCGAGCTTTTCTTAACGACGAATCGAAACAGGTTGTGGTAAGAGGGCTTTCGCGTCCGCTGGGTATCGAGATTGACCCTGTGGGAAGGAACATCTACTTCGCTGACGAAAACGAAAACAGCATCAAAATTGCAAAACTTGATGGTTCTCATGCAGCTGCTCTTGTGAATGTTCAATCTCCTCAAGGAATTACTCTGGACATATCTTTGGGGTAATTATTACATTGTTAGGTCCGATGTGAGGAAAGTCTTCTTATAAAAAGAATCATAAATCCATATTGGGGAAAGTTTGAAATTGTCTCATCTTTTTGCTTTAAACATTTAAGTCCATATTTTAGGGTATGGTACTGCTGATGACCAGTGTCACGTCTTCCAAATTGGCGTTTCCAGAAAATCCGGTTAGAATGTAAAAGGAATGCGACTTTTCGGATCGTTCCGGTGGAAAATTTCCTGGAGAAACGGATTATACGAAATGGAGTTTCCGTTTTTCTGGACGGCATGTTCCAAACGAAAATTCGTGTTCCATTTCTTGACAGCCATCTCAGGTACCAATTTCAGGCTTTCGCGACCGTTTATCTGAAAAATGGAACTGATTTGTGCAAATGGTACACACGATTCCGGGGCGAAATGTACCAGTCGTGAACAGTTCATGGTTTTTGCTTACCATTTACCCAAACCGTAACCGACTGGTTTGCCGATGTAAACGGTAAACCATCTTTGTTTATAGCTGCATAAGACTGAATTAAGTTTAAAAGTATTGTATTTAAAGCACTCACATTAACGTGTCTTACTTTTTCCAGATACATGTACTTTTCTTCAGTCGGTAGCAACCCACAGATACTACGAGCTGACATGGACGGTAAAAACAAAACTGTTCTTGCAAATTTGTCAAACATCGGACAGACTATCATCGACCTGGTTCTTGATAAACCTGGAAATCGTTTGTACTTTTCTGACCAATCCAATAACGTGATACGATACATTGACCTGGATAGTCTGCAGGTACACACCCTCCTTTCTGGCAACAGCCTTCACGGTCCAACTGGTGTAACAGCGATAAACAGTACACTATACTTGACGGCTCAGGGCGATGGAAGTTTTGCAGGAACCATCTTCAAGGCCAACACAAGCAGCGGAACTAAACAAATGATAGCCGATGGCTTCTCAAGCCCTCACGGGATTTATGCTTTTAACTCTCGGGCACCTTTAATATCAGGTAATCAGAGGAGAGCTATTTAAAGGGGTTAGTCACGAGGATATAACTGTTTTAGGTCAATCCTGTGCTGAGCTCATTACTTGGTGATTTTACCCCCACACAAAATACTCCTATACAGTTATGAAGAAGGTATCAAACAAATTCTATCAGGGAGCACTAACCATAATATGTTTTGGTGATTCTTTCAGGCATACGTTAAGTAATGGTAACAGGACTGAGTGGAGTATAATTCGGTCTAATCGTACGAGTGATTAACAAAATCGGACGACCGCGTGGCGGGAGTCCGATTTGTTTAATCACGAGTATGATTACAGACCGAATTGGACAACACGAAGTTCTGTTACGAATTAATCATAACTTTAACAAAATTTGTGATATAATAGGCTATTTTTTAAATCAAAACAAAAGAAATTCGAAATTTTGTTTTGCTAGCAGTGAAAAAAAAAGCCATTTAAGCGCGCGTGTGATGGCGCGTACTGTCCAATTACTTAGGCATGACGAGTACTGTCCTATTAAACTGTCCAATTAAGTCTGAAATCAGGGCAGTTGAGAGCCAATCAGATTTGACAATTTTTTATAGTTATGATTAACCTTGAAAACGCTCGCTCATTTTTTTCAAGTTTCAATCCTTGTCCATCCTTGCCCTCTGTTGAAACAGACGGCAGGAAACAATTTCAATGCCTAAATACGATCTTAAACAACAATACTGGACGATTAATTCTGGAATTCAATTGATGCGAAAAATTAGCGTTTTCAAATAGCGTGACATAGCTACTTTAATAAGTAATAGTCCAACATTCAAACAGTTAAAAAACGCCGGGGGTCGCCCTAAAGCGACCTGTTTTGAAGTTGTTGTTAGTTTGCACTTAAACGTATAATCAGGAAAAGAGAATTGACCATCAAATTTGAGATGCCAAATAATGTACTTTGCTTAAATGATCAATCACGCTGAAACTATTCCACTGATCATTTTTGCAAACTTTGCAGGCCCATGTGAGAATAATGGCGGATGCTCCCAATTGTGCGTTATAAACCCAGGCGGTCAAACATGCATGTGCCAGGCTGGAATGACAGTTAACGAAGACAAAAGGACTTGTAAGATTTACACTGTCTATTTAACCTATATGTATTCAACCCATTTAGCTTGGTGAATAATATCACCAAGGATGAGGTAAGGATAGCTGGATATTGGCCGATTGCCTTCAGCTCTGCGTTGTAATGGACAAACGCGGAGTCGGGGTCCATAATGATGCAAAAAATAAGAGAAAAGGAAATCAACAAGGCCAATATTCAGCCATCTTGACCGAACAAGCTTGCTGTACAAGGCGGGAAATCCCGAGTGGCCAAGATAGGTCCATCCTTCCATCTCGGGTGGCCAGTCAGAAAGCAGGATTCGCTTCAAACCCAGCCATTTACGAAACAAGACACCATCATAAAATATTGTTTTCGTCTTTGACAGTCCCCACTAGAGTTCTTCAATCCAGTAATCCCGATGGCTATTTTTGGCTTCCCACCCCCTGCGCATTCTTCCAATCCCGAATTTCATCCCGCTTTTGCTATAAAATCCCGAATCCCGAGTTTCAAAAAGGGAAATCGTGGAACCCGAAAAACCTAATATTAGGGAACCACCTTTTAAGTTTCTTTTTTCCTTTTCGTCTTAGGTACTGTGAAGAACGTTATCATGGTTGCCGATTCCTACTATGATGAAATCTATTTGTCAACTCTGGATTCATCAGACACAACGATTGTTCCTCTGCCTGTCCAAAATTTGACATACCCAGTTGGTGTTGATTTTGATCCATTCAACAATCGTATCTATTGGACAGACTACTCTCTTGGTACCGTCAAGCGTTCTCTTATTGACGGCAGTAATCAGGAAACTATTCGTTCAGGAATTGCTAGACCATACGGAATCGCCCTAGATCTTGTGGCAGAAAATGTTTATTGGATAAGCCGGCTAGATAAGACCATAGAAGTTTCGAAACTAGATGGATCTAACTGGAAAGTGCTGGTTTCTGATTTGGGTACATCTCCCGACCACATCGCTCTGGATACCTCCAGAGGGTCAGTAGAGGCCTGTTCTATAAATAGACAAAGGGATTCAGTTAAAAAAGGACAGTATTGCATTGGTCCAGAAGTTAAACAAAAGGTTTTCTTTTTATGAAATGAGTTAGCGTTTGAATATTTTTCCAAGGTAAAAAGACAATTACCTCTGTTGATAGCAGAAACGTAGGAACTGAATCATTGTGAAGTATTATTTTTTTGGTAGAGGAATAAATTGACGGCGATGAAGTCATGAATATTAGTTTTATGGACAACACAGGGTTTTGAGTTTTGGCTTGTATTGTTGAAAAACCGTTTTGGAGGGATTTTGGTTATTTTTAGACCGATGTCGATATGGTTTCAGTTTTATTGACTAAAACAAATAGAAATGCGTTTTTATAGTTGGTGCATGTTGACGAAGAAAAAAGTTTCAACTCGCATAAAATAGGTTTAATCTACATTTCAGTTTTGGATTGTTCGTGATACTTTTTATACACTTACTTTTACTTATTTAATATCATATGTCTTCCAGGTACATGTATTGGTCAGAAGATGGACGTATTGGAGGTGCTGATATGGATGGAGAAAACCAAAAAGTTGTTGCCGTATTGACATATTATTATGGTTTATTTGATGCCCGGGGTCTTGCTATGGATATTCAAATGAATCGAATTTACTTTGTTAGCTACTGGTTTGAAGGTTTGCTTTACGTCGATCTTAATGCCGGTGGAAAGGGAAACGGTCCAGTCCAAGTTCTGTTCAGGCATTATTCTTTTGATGATGACTATTTTTTGAGTCCACGAGGTCTTGCACTCGACGACCAGTATGTGTACTGGAATGAGTACTGGAATGAGAAGGTGTACCGGATTAATAAGACAGGTTTTGATGGCGATCTTGCTGTGGTGGCTTCAGGAATGTTTAGTCCTAGAGGAATGGCAGTCGTTAAAGGAAAACCAAATGCAAGTGGTGAGTGACATCACACTTCCTATCATCGTGACTTAGCAGGTTGAAGATTTTGCTGTAACTTTGTTTGTGAGACTATGTATTATGACTAAAATTTCTCTGATCATCTCTTTTTTCGCAGATCCACATCCTTGTCTAAGCACTTGCAGTCACCTTTGTCTTCTTAAACCCGGAGGCTACAAGTGCGCATGCCCCGTTAAAAACCCTGCTATTTGCAACGAGAGTGTCCACCAAACCAGTGAGTAATACTGCTCCCTCATTTCATTACCTTAAGTAGCAAGCAATCGTTTATAAATTTCAGTTTCAAGTGAAAGGAATTAACACTCCTTCGCCATAAGTTGATATTATCTAAGGCATATATGAGAGGTGTTCATTTCGGTAGTGTTTAAAATGTAAAGCTCGTAAGAGAGACCCAATTTGCAAACAGAATTACCCAATCAGTCAATTCCACGTAGCCCACACGTAGTGCCTATTGTCCTGTCTGCTGCAAGATGATCAAGATAGTCATATTGGGTCATTCATTAGACAATTCTTAAGAGGGGGGCTCGTTGAGTGTTTCTCTTGCCGATTGTTTATTTAGATATTTTTTATCGTTGACAATCTAGAGTTAACAACAGTATTACATTTCTCGCCAGATTTGTATGGATGCAGTAGCGACCACAGTCTTTACTTCAGCGATCAAAATAGCATTAAATGCATCGACTTAAAGAGCTACAATCAGACCTATGTCAATGTGAAGACAGTAAAGACTGAACTTTCCGACGTTGGTGCGGTAGACATTGATCGCAGGGAGAGAATGATTTACTGGAGCGACCACGCCCAGTGGGCCATAAGTAGAATGAGTCTGGTAACTGGATACACTGAGGTAATTAAAGAAATCAAATGCTCTAGCAATGTTTCGTGAACTTCATAGCGGATCCCCATAGCTATGAAAATATCCAAGTTGTTTGAATAGTCCCCAGTCCAATCCAATGTTAAATGTCAAACGTTCTAACTATTGTGGTAGCTTCCGACCTGACATTTCAAAAATATTGTGGTCAACTGACAGTTGTCAAAACAATGTATCCTCTGACCAGTATCACATGACCATATCGCGGGCTCAGGTTTCTACATGTTCACAGGCTCAAATCCAAAATTATTTCTTTGCAATGGTTACAACATTCTTTTTTGTTTGAAGTAAAGTATGAATTTAGTAACGGGAGCTTCGCCCTTAGCCTTGGCTAAATTTATATACTACCCAGGGTGCGTTCCTTTGAGATGATCATGATCAGGATCAGTGATCTCAGATCACTCGGATCATGTTAGATCAAATGAACCGATGAATCCACTCTGGACAAGGATTCATCGGTTCATTTGATCTACCATGATTCGAGTGATCTCGGATTACTGATACTGATCCGGATCATCCCAAAGGAACGCACTCTCAGACTGAGAGATGATCTCGCTCACGTCTGGTCAGTCATACGGCTCGAAAACGTCTGCATAAACTGGAGGAGATGAGTTGAACCTTACATAAAGAAGGAAACGTTGAACCTCCTTATCCCCCTGAGTTAATTTTACAAGCTATATCTGAAGCCCAGTACAAACGGACGCAACACTTTTAACCAACAACTCTCAGCCAATATTGGATGTTACATGTTGTATCCATTTGCACACCCTGTTGCATCTTGTTGCGTGTTGTTGGGGGTTGTCGTGCAACGTTTCGAACCGGTCAAAAGGCTGATTTAGCAACAGGACGGGAACGTCAGTTGACGACGGCGCGCGCAAATCAAGCAGCCTCGCAGAGAGGCAAATTGAGCACCAGAAGTCGCGTTTAGTCCTTTCCGTGCGCTTTCCCGTCGTCGACTGACGTTCCCTTTCTGTTGCTGAATCAGCCTAAACTTTTAGCTACGACAATCAATGTTGGGAGTTGTTGCGTCCGTTTGCACCTGCTGTTCATCGTAATTTTTCAGACTTATGTCGCATCTAAAACGTTTTTCAATCACAAGCGACGAAAGAATCAAACAAAAATATTGGTCAGTAAATAAATCTGAAAGAAACATAAAGAGAACGTGACAGACTGGACACGGTTCTTAAGAGAGCCGTGTAGAAACGCTATTATTTGATGTTTATATCGATTCTGTTTTTAATTCCATTGAAGGTCATCATAAGAGACAACCTAGGACAAGTTGACGGATTAGCTGTTGAATGGGAGAGTGGTTTGATTTACTGGACGGATTATATCTTTGAGAGAATTGAAGTGGCAAGGGTTGATGGAAGTCATAGAAAGACATTGTTTACTGAAAGTGTTTACAACCCACGTGGAATCGCCGTGGATCCAAAATCTGGGTAACAAATTTCTATTCTCATCCCGTATAGGTATTTGGCTTCGTGCATGTACGAAAGGAGCTTAGGAGATAAGAAATTATCCTCTCTAAAATGCAGCAACATAGGCCACTCGGAGAAACTTTTTCCTAGACCTGTAGCTCAGTGGTAGATAACAAGAAAGTTATTGCTTTGACTACGGTTGGGAGATCCTGGATCTAAGTTTTTTGCATTGACATTCGCTTTAAAAAATAAAATGAAACTGAAACATGTGTGAGACGCTAAGCATGGGAAAATGCAAATACATGTATGTATGTTAAAAAAGGTTCGGTCTAATTCCTGAATAGCGAAATCCTGAGGCTGTCTCGTACACAGACGTCTCTCTCTCTCAATGTAAATGTGCGCAAACGAAGACGGGAAGGAGAAAACGGGCGCCTCTCTTCCTTCTCCTGCCCGTAGCCTTTCGGGCCTCGTCACCAGTCCCTCGCGTTTCTCGCTCGCCGTTGTTCCGAACGAAGCTCGTAAGGATCACCCTTATTATGGCACCGACATAACAGTCCTTACTATTTTCCAATTCCAGGTACATGTTCTGGACAGACTGGGGATTGTATAATCCTAAAATTGAACGAGCAGATTTATCCGGTGAAAACCGACAGGTAGTGGTCGACCTTGGATTGTGGTATTTCGTGTTATACCAGTTGTTTCCTATGAGTGTGGTTATTGATCATGAAGCTGAACGAATTTATTGGATGGATGCATACGACAATTTCATCGATTCTACAGACTATAACGGCAATAATTGGAGAACTGTGCACTATGTCTCTCAGAACATATTCCCAGCTGACCTGGCTCTGTATGGTGACAATTTATATTGGGTTGATCGGCACAGCCAGAGCATTCAGTGGTTTAACAAGTCAGGCCCCTTGCTCCTACACAACTTTGGACACCTCTCGGATGTTTTCCTGACGGGTGCTGTGGTCTCCGACGAGTCGAGACAGCCAGTTGGTAAGTAGAGTTCAATTAACGAACAGAAAAATGTTTCGTTTCGGATGTTGCGTTTTGCACACCGGAACATAATTGTAAGATGTTGGACAACGTCCCTAACTTTAAGCCGTCAAATTTGCAATGGCACTCGATGTCTTGACGAGATTCAATTCCCTGTTTTTTCTTTCAGCATTGTAACCTAGTCCAACTTTTTATCCCCCTATTTTTTATCCGCAAGTCTATCGTCCCGCACTGTTAATCTGAATACAGTAGTTTGCTGTATTGTTGAAAATTTCATTTTAATTTATTTTTAAAATTCTGAAAGACGAGCGTCGAGCAAGAGAGCTTTATCACGTTTAAAACACCAGGCGCTCTCGAGTGTTTTTAGCTTGATGAAATATGAAGGGCAAGGTTCCCTTTTAAATGTACTGAGTAATAATCCTTGGGTGTCTGATATTTTTTCTAAAGAAAATTAGGGATTGAAGCTCATATCATATTACTCTTTTTAAGTCACTCATAAACTGAAATAAAGGAGTACCTGACTTAATTCACAGCAATTTTAGAGCAAACCAATTGAATTTGTGTCGCTGAGATATGAAGGAGATCTCTTGAATTAAACTACAACAAGGCATATAAGGTCATTGTACAGCAGGAACCAAAAACAGAGAGTATATAACAGAGACTCTATTTCCCTGGCTTTTTCGTTGTCTAAATATAGAGCAGAAGACATGATTTAGAGCCGTCGGAGGTAATTTTGGCAAAGTTTCCAGTTTTTGACCCGGCAGGGGGATCAAATTCGGATTTTCAAGGGAACACCAAAATATCGCTAAGAAGACTTTTCTAAGAAGGACAGTGCCCGAGAAATATCTAGATTAGTTAGCTCAGTTTTTTCTCAGAGTGTTCCTTTTTTTTTTAAAGCTCCCCCAACAAACCAACCTCCATGTCGGATTAACAATGGAGGATGTAGCCATCTCTGCTTGGTATCCCCTGGTGGAACATACAAATGCGCATGTCCCAATGGTGCCAGAGAACTGGGACCCGACGGGAAGAACTGCAATGGCAATAGTAAGTCTCCTTTCGTGGAGTGTATGTATCCTTTCAAAGACAGGTTTCCTTACGTACAAACTACTCTCAAAATGGATTTATTTAGGTTATGTTTCTTGCAGTATAATCTCATCAATGTGTGTACGTGTTACTAAATGTATCCGACAGCTATGAGAGTCCTAGGTTCTTTAGTGTGGTTAGCTTTTCTGGCAAACAGAATCACAATCATCTTCGTCTACGCATCTACTCAGTTTTACCCTGAGATGTCTTGAAAAAATTATAAAAATTAATTCACACTCACTTTGGCACGTTTTACTTGTTGACATCGTGTATTCAAAAATTTTAAAAAATTAACTCATTGCGACATTATTTTCTCATTTCAGTGACCGTGCCAACTACGCCAATCCCCGTACCAGGTACAGTAAGACAACCTATAATTTTTGCTTCTAGAGGGATTTCTTGTGATTATTCTGACGAATTAGATACATCATCTATTCTGCCCTACCCAATATAGTGTTACTTAGTATGGCATTTCTGTAAGTCATAAGAGTCACTGCACGCTCACATTGAAGAGCGTGTGCGAAGGGAAGTACACAAAGCTCATTCATAGACATAACAAGAACAACCATACCGTACATGCTTTGCGTTGCTATATACTGTCTTAGTGTGCAACAACGCATCTTGTGTGCCGCACTGATGAGCTGCATTGCAGTGTACGCGTTTACTATGGCAATAAGCTTTATTGGCAAAGCAAACAGTGACATTTGACAGATATGTTTCTCATAGGACGCAAAAGTTACCAATTGCATTAAAAACCTGTCAAAAGCGAACGGCCTCTGTTGTCGTGGTTGTAGAATAACAGTGGTCATTTCCGGTCCTCGTGGGAATCAGCAGCAAACTGCTCTTACAATTACTGGACATAATGTTTAACTTTTAGATGTCAGAGTGCGACTCAGAGGCTCTAACTCATCGAACGAAGGACGGGTTGAGATTTATCACCAAGGAAAATGGGGAACAATTTGCGACGACCACTGGGGATACAGGGAGGCTACAGTTATATGCAGAATGCTCAATTACTCTGCTGCAGTTTACGCTGTTGGATATGCTCATTTTGGACAAGCAAACAGTTCTTTCCCCATTTGGATGGACAGTGTGAAGTGTAGAGGTGACGAGAAAACCATTGCTGCCTGTAGGCACGATGGATGGGGAACTCATGATTGCGCACATTCCGAAGATGCTGGAGTTGTATGCTACACTGGGTCTATTCCACCAACTGAAGGTAGTTACTAAGTTTATAGTAAAGACTATCCAAGTTTTTCTGTAAATTAGCACATCTGATACACTGTTGCCGTTGTTATCGATTGTTTCAAGTCAGGTCACATTTTTTTGAAGTGCTGGATTGTGTAATACCTCGGTTCCATCAGTAACTGTGAAATGTGAAAATCCTTACATGTATCATACGAAATATGCCAATATTATTTAAAGTCAGCTAAAAATCTTGCTCGCAGCTAAATATAAATATCAAGTATCTTCTAAAATGTTTTCTGTTATCGGCCAAGCATGTCTTATAGGCTTGGCAGAATACAGCTATAAATTACTCATTGTTTTGCTGCAGCATTAAAGAGTAAGTACTGTAGGAGTAAGAACTACATCTGATGGTCAATGAATGGTTGTCTTTTTTTTCTTTCAAGTCCCAACCGTAGCACCAGGACCTCATCCAGGTAAGACCACGCCCGCAGTTTGCATACCTTAATACTTACTTAGGCGCCGCATACTACCCCCGGAGGGTTTTTTTTTTACTGAAATCCTTACTCTCAGATGTTTGCCTTCTGTCCGGTAGTGCCCGAACAAAACCTTTAATCCATTGTCTTCTGGCACAGCCCCGGGAATGTACCGTCCCTTCCTCGGTCCCAAATGAGATAACCTTTTCTTTTAAACGGATGCACCGCCAGACGGTAGTTTTTAAGGTAGTCTGCACACAGTCGTAAAACACAAAACATTCGACGGTAAACGTCACAGTTTCCCGTAGTCACACGATTTCACATCATGTTTTGTGAAGCCTAGTGAATATGCAGCAAAAATAAAAGAACAACAACAACAAACAGATACCACGACAGAAATTTCTCAAAAATTGTCATGCAATTAAATTTTAGATTTATATTTAGATTTATAGTAATTTAACCACATTGGCACCCTGGTAAAGTCAAAGCAAGAGAGCCAAGGCTCTAATTTAGGCGTTACATGCCTACTTACACTATATTCCTTTTGGCTTTTTCTCTTTCTTTTTGGTTCCTTTTAGTCTAACATTTATGTAAATTATATTTGCAGCCGGTTACTAAATTGCCTACCTAAAATTGCCCAAGGGAGCCAGTCCCCTTAACTTAATCCAATCCACGCGCCATATTCTATCGGGATACGTCGTTGTAAATCTACCCTTTTTCTTGATTTCTTCCCATTCATACAGAATTAAGGGTTCGTTTGAGATCTGGTTCTACTTCAAATGAAGGAAGAGTGGAGTTGTTCTTAAATGGCACGTGGGGAACGATATGTGATGACTACTGGGGAATCGATGAAGCGAACGTCATTTGCCGCATGCTTGGCTATTCCGAGGGAGCCTGGAGCACACACTGCTGTGGTTGGTACGACTCCTCCTCAGCGCCAAGTCAGATTTGGCTGGATGATGTTGAATGTGTCGGTGATGAACAGAGCATCGCGGCATGTCGCCATGGCGGATGGGGAAGACATAATTGCTACCATTCTGATGATGTAGGAGTCGTATGCAAGTACACACCACCACCGTCTCCAGGTTTGTTTTGTTTGATTTGCTGTGTCACGAAATCAATGTTTTTCAAATAGCCAACACATAAACTTGATAAAAACACAATAATAATTGTCTATAATATAATACTTCTGACAATAAAAATGACATTGGAGAGAAGAAGCAGATGGAGATGAGAAGATGTGCAAGAGTGTACCAGCGCCAGCATAAGGTACATCATTTCGTGCAAATGAAGCCTGCGCCACGGACGAAACTAAACTGTGGTTAAGTCTGTCTGCGAAACAGCGCCGAAATCCTTGTTCTGTGCCTCCAGTTGTGTACCAAGATTTGAGTACACTTCATGATTGGCCTGCTAAAGAGCCATGGCCGATTTACGAAACGCACTTCTGTAATTGGTTGAGTCTGTTGGAGCCCAGAGCAAGGATACCAGCGCTGGTACGCGGGCGTTACTGACCGAGGTTGAAAAAAAATATGTCTGCGTTGCAGGCTAGGGTTGATGCTAGCTCAAAACTTGAAGTAAAAGTACTTTTTCAAGTTGGTATTTTAACTTCAAACGGCTATCATCGTTTTTAGATAAGACTCTGAGACTGGCTGGTGGCTACAGAAGTGGCGAAGGAAGAGTAGAGATATTTCGCGATGGTCATTGGGGAACTGTTTGTGATGATTTCTGGGATTTCAAGGACGCTCAAGTCGTATGTCGTTCTCTTGGTCATGAACGGGCTCTTCTTGCACCAAAATTTGCTGCATTTGGCGAAGGCAACGGTCACATATGGTTAGATAACGTGCATTGTGTGGGTAATGAAAGTTCCATTGAGGATTGCCCTCACAATGGATGGGGCAATAATGACTGCAGTCACAGTGAAGATGCATCAGTCATCTGCAGTAATGAAACAGTTCAAATAGGTGGGTATATAACAGTTATTCACCGAAGTGAAGCCGCGAAACGGCGAGGTAAATAAGCACCACTAGCCACCGATACTGAGGTGAATAATTGTTTCAGTGTAAACATTGACATAATTGAGCACAAAGATGATTATTTTTAACTCATTTACTGTTGCCAACGATCTCATTACAATTTTGGTGCGCAATGACCGAAAAAGCGTCGCGTTTTCTTGCCGGCAAATAAAACTTTTGAAGGCATTTGTTTAGCTCTTTCGTAGAAATTTCTGCAAAAGGAGTTGTGAATTCTCTTTGTATTAAAAAACATTCTCTAAAAAAGGGATTAAATTTGCTTTAAAGCTTAGTTATGAACATGTAAGCTAAATAAAGTAACTCAAGACTTAAGCTTAATTTGCATTTGTAAACAAGAACCTTTTTTACCGGTTTCATCGATTAATTCAAGTCAAACAGACAAAGCTTTACCAGTTAAAACTTCCAAACCGAGTTTCTTCACCTTCTTCGTGTATTTCGGGAACAGCTTTTTTGATTATTTGTGAAATTTCCTTGGTTTTTGCCTTACGGCAGCAAACCGGGAAGCCATTTTATTCATAACTTACGCAAGTTTGGCGTCGCTCGGAGGAGGAGCTGGAGGTGAATCAGTGAATAGCAATACAACTATCCCCCAAAGGGAAGGTGAATAGTGGTGGTATATTGAGACGCGAATCTTCGAGGTATATATGTAGCGCTATGAAGCGACCCTAGCCTGAGGGGAATAGTTGTTTTAATATTTACCAAATCAGTTGGATCAAAATAAAAAAGTAACTATTTGCAAATGAAAGACGTTACTTAGTTATTATAAGAGTTTGTTTACGTTTCAGTTGACAGTGTTTCGGGGATAATTTTGTTATGATTTTGATTCAAATTCAGCAAGAAATTTTTTTATACAGACCAGTAAACACCGACAAGCCAAATTTTGTCTCTTTCTTGTACTTGTTGGTGCAGCTGCTTCATTTACCGCTAAAATTTCATCTTTCGAAAGTGTCGCGAAACCAGAACCCATTTTGAATCCCGTGCCAAAACAGTGAGTATGCAAGAATATTCCGAGTTACGGAAGCCAATCAAAACGCGCATAATCAAAACATATATTTGCAAGAAGTTTCGAAGAAGTTGGATTTGTTTGCATGTTTGCGTGTTTCGAAAGATCTTCGAACACTTTTGTTGCCAGTATTTAAGTCAAAAATCAGATTCGTCGTTTCTTTTTTTGCGGAGTTTTGTTTGTCTGCCGCAATTTATATCTATTCAAAGTAGACAGACTGCAAATTATCTTAGTTGCTACAAAATACATATCTACGTGTCGCAACTGCTCATCAGTAGGATACCTAAAATGCGTGCAATTCCACAATTGGTTTCGGCTCCATTAAATCCTATACCAATTGCAGAACATTTTAGGAGGAGCCACCCACCATGTGAGCACAGTCACGGACAATTTATAAGTTAGGAAAATAACGCAAAGTAAAATTAAGACGTTAATAAACGAACTAAATGTACACGTCAAATACACGTCTATGTTGGATTTATAACATATCAAACAACATCCAAAGTCAGGATGGTAATTTCAGAATAACATTATGTAACCTCAAAAAACTGGAAAAACGACTCTTGCCGATATTTTGTGCTTATTAAAAGACTTCGTCGGGGCAACTGTTGGATTTATAAGTGTGTCTTTCTGTCTTCATCGTGTTTCTCTTAATATATCAACATACATTTGTCTAACTTTGACAGTTTTTATATGTTCAGTCCTTTTCAATAATGACATGCAACAGGATATTCTGGATTTCCCTAACAAGTGCTTCCCTCCAATTACTATACGATTCAAAGAGGAAAAACGTGAGCTTAAAACTTCTATAAATTTCCTTTTTTATTATAGGTGCGGGTGATTTCTTGCTTTCTTGTGAAGGAGGGCGTAAAGTGTGTTACTACATGTCTCTAGAACAGCCGACTCCACTCAATCCATTGCCACTGTCAATTCCATTGACGATTTCGCCGTTTGGAGTAGCTTACGATTCAGTGGAGGAGCGAATCTACTGGGCAGATGCCGATGGTAACATTCGTCGAGCTTTCCTTAACGACACCACAAGCCAGGTCGTGATAAAGGGCATTTCCCGTCCAATGGGGCTTGAAATAGACCCTATAGGAAGGAATATCTATGTCGCAGACCAAAATGAAAACAATATTAAAGTTCTCAAACTAGACGGTTCTTATGAGACTGTAATTGTTGACGTCGATTCACCTCAAGGGATAGCGTTGAATAGCTATTCGGGGTAAGATTTCTTGTTACATTATTATACCTACGGTATGAAAGTTAAGACAATGAAATAACTAATGAAATATCTCAGATCTGGCATATATCTTGTTTTGAATTACACAAAAAGTCGTATCGTATTTGCAAAAGTTAAATTTTTACACATTTTACTTGCTAATTAAGCAATTTAAAACTTGCTTAACCTGCCCGGATTCAAAGAAGACAGTTTTGAATGCTCTGTAGTGCAATTCTTTCTGTCACAACTGCTGCGAGAAAATAAATTAAGAAAATTTACGTTTTTCTTCCTTCTAGGAAGGAAGATATTTTCAACTTTTAGAACGCAGCACCTGACGACGGTTCGTCTCAATTTTCAACAATCTCGGATCCTCATTATAACAATACATACCTACATACACATATATAACCTTTATTTTAACTCGAATTTTTGAGTGGCTATACTATATAGCTAATATCTTGGAGAAACAAATTAAGACTTGTAAAACTGGAAAAAAAAATACACACACAAAAAAAAGACAAAAAGGATGTAGTTTTCCATAAAGAAGACTAAGTTCACGTTTTAAATCTCCTTTCTGCAGATTTATGTACATCGCGTCAGTTGGATGGAACCCACAAATATTACGAGCAGACATGGACGGTAAAAACAAGATTGTTCTTGCAAATTTGTCAAGCATCGGACAGACTATCATCGACCTGGTTCTTGATATACCTGGACTCCGTTTGTTCTTCTCTGACCAATCCAATAACGTGATACGATACATTGATCTCAGAAGTCGGGAGGTACACACCCTCCTTTCTGGCAGCGGCCTTCATGGACCAACTGGCCTCGCAATGTTGAACGACACCCTTTACTGGACAGCTCACCAGGGCGGTGGAATGTACGAAGGATTCATCTTTGAGGCTGACGTAACTAATAGAACAGTGCGCATGATTGCCGATGGGTTTAATAAACCTGCAGGACTTTACGCCTACAATTCGCGGGCACCTAAAACACCAGGTGATTATTACAATTATAATAGTATATTATTAGAGACCCTTATAAGTGAAGTCATTTCGCAAGATAAAAATGGTCAAGCTAAAAACATAATTACAAACAATTTTTAATATAGCAATTTGAAGTTTTGCTTTGTTCTGATAAGCTCTTTTCTACTTTATCTTTCTACAGCTCAAACGGCCTGTCAAAATAATGGTGAATGTTCCCATATGTGTGTAGTGCGACCTGGTGGTCGAACGTGCTTCTGCCAGGCTGGAATGAAGATAAACGAAGATGGAAAGACTTGTAAGTTGTATAAAATTTAATTCTTTTGGAAATAATTTTCTTTTAAAGAAGACAAAATTTTTAATCGTTACCATGGCAATTAGCGGCAAAGAACTTAACCCTTAATTCTCAAACCCACGCTTTTAACCCAAAGAAATACGGGAGTCATTTTTTAATTAACCGTTGATTTAAGAGAGACGAAATACCACGTTGACTGAAATTTGAAATGAATCTTTGTTTCTGAATCTTGAAACAAACACTCATTCAATAAAGTGACTACCGTAACCCGCGTTTTGTTTAGTTCCTCGCACTCTTCCGTTTATGAGCCCTTCTTAACCCCTTACAAAATTTGTATAAGCCTTGGGCTTGTAAGGGGAAATTTCTCTGAGTTGATTTTAGGTGTTTTCATCTCATGAGTGACAGAGTCAAAGGGTCAGATTTCATCCGATAATTGTTTGTTTGATTTTGTTTCAGGCACTGTCGCAGACGTTTTATTTGTTACAGACTCTTATGATAACAAAATCTACATTTCATCACTAAGCCCAGATGATACCACGATCGTGCCTCTACAACTTAAAAACCTCTCGTTTCCTGTTGGCGTTGATTTTGATCCGTTCGAACATCGTGTGTACTGGACCGATCATGACCATGGCTTTGTGGAGCGAGCCTTTGTTGATGGCAGGAACCAAGAAATTGTTCATATGGGACTTTCTCAGCCGAGTGGCATCGCTCTAGATTTAGTGGGAGGAAATGTCTATTGGATAAGTACAGGAAATCTAACCGTAGAGGTTTCAAAGCTGAACGGAAGTTTCCGAAAATTGCTTGTTTCTAACCTGTCCTCATATCCAGAAGATATTGCTTTGGATACCATGAGAGGGTGAGCTTTAACTATTCTTGATAACTGAAAGAGCACAGGGGAGCCAGGGAAACTAGTGCCCTTTTGCTTTGTTGTTTATGGGAATACTGAGAAACTACATTGTCATAAATGAGTTCACAAACTGTCTTGATTTGCCGCACTTCAACAAACGTCACATTTTCTGAAGAGAAGAGCCCTCTTCCATCCTCCAGAGGACCACGCGTTTAATGTCGCCTTTCACATCTACACAGAAAACAGCGACATAAATCTTACCCTCACTTAGCCTGGGACCAGGGTTGATCCGTATTGGGGGGCAAAGGAGAAAAAAAATCGGCGTGGGCGAGAAAAAGGATCGGCGAGCGAAGCGAGCCGCGAGGTGCCTCGCTCCTCTCGCCGATATTTGTCCTATCTGACCCCGTTTTTTGTCCTTTTTCCCCCACTGCGGGGCCTGGTCCAAAGCTAAGCCTCAGTAGGTTTAAGATGTGTTTATTTCCTACAATGGTAGGGTGTCATGAGACTTATCAAAACCCAAACAGTTGGAAACGCCACCAAACTGAATGAAAAATAACCGCTAAAAACGTCAAAAGAAGGCATAAATATCGATGAATGATACAATAAACACAAAGGAGGTACGGAAGAACAAACCTGGAGAAGATTGAAGGGGGATGGCGATTGTGGTCTTTGTAACCTTGCTAGCCTGACAGTTTTTAAAGTTCATTCTTCTTGTTCGTAACGTTCGAAATATTACCTGGGAGACATTATCTGTGATTTTGTCAGTCACAACTAATTTCTCAAGTTTCATAGTGAATAAAGAACGTTCAACTGGCGTTATTAGAGATACTAAAATTCACGTTTACGGCATACGGCAGACGGCAAACGTCAGTTGAGAATTTTTCAGAACAGAAAAGAAGCACATAAAAAAGGTCCAGAACGATTCTTGTGGATAACACTAGCATAAAACTACTTCATTTTGTGTAGAAGCAATAAACAGTAAACGAAAAATAGGGGGAAAACTTGGTCACGTGATACAAATTCACCTTTGCCGTGCATGTGGTGTAAACGTGAATCTTAGTCTCTCTATTAACAAAATGAACCAGTAGACAGTCGCGACCCAGTCCCTTTAATGCACACGTCTGTTAATTTTTTAGGTACATGTACTGGTCAAGTCATGGGGTTATTGAAGGTGCCGACATGGACGGAAGTAACCGCCGAAATATTACCTTATTGAGAGATTCTTATGGCGAATATGATGCACTGGGTCTTGCCCTGGATGTACAAATGAACCGACTTTACTTTGTTAGTTACTTTTTGTACGGCTTGTTTTATATTGATCTTGATTCATCTGGAAGTCCCTCTATTCCGCAGAGTTTGCTCCGGTCATTCTTTTATTTCGATGAACCACATGGGGTTGCGCTCGACGACCAGTTTGTTTACTGGAATGAATATTATGAGGAGAAGGTTTACCGGATGAATAAGACCGTTGCAGGCAATATTGAAGATGTTGCTGCCGGAATCTATAGTCCTTTTGGATTAGCAGTTAAAAAAGGAACCCCAAAACGAAATAGTAAGTACAAATTCTTCGAGTGATCCTTGTTCATTTGAGACAAACCAAAGTCCTTGGCATTGACAGTTGACACGGATTTATTTTTTTCTGCAAACCTTCAGTACAGGGGTTGTGAGTAGTATAGTAGTGGCGATTTGACCTCCTTATGGCACTGAACACGTCATCGTCACATTTCTTTTGCATTCATCCACTACGTGACCACCGACACCACAGACGTGTACTTGCACTTTTTTTGTTACCCTCCATTGCCAACGTAAATACCGCCACCGTCGTTTCTTTATCGCCATGTGTCTACTGTTTCTTCCACCCTCAATAACACCAATACTACCACTGTCACCGCCATATTTTTCCAAACGTTTTCCTTTACCGCCAGCACAACCACCACACCTCAGTTGCACTAACCACGAACACCACCCCGTTCATTCTTTTCAGGCTACCCTACACGTTTATTCCCTCCACTGTCACAGCCATAATTCCAAAGTATTCATCCGCCGCCCACACCATCACCACATCTCAGTTGTAATAATTTGTAAATTCATTGCCTCCTAAATATGAACAAAACCAGAACGTTTTTCGACTTATTTACAGCCATAAAATGCATCTGTTAGTTAGCCCTTTTGGGCCTTTTTACATTTTTACAGACCGAAATGACAGATTTCGCCACCCTTCATATACTTCATTTAGTGAAATCCCTACCATTTCATGCATATACGTAAAGTCTGAAATAAGAACCCACTTCGGCGTAGCCTCCCCGTATAGGCCATTGTAGAGAGTGCTCCCACCCCCCAGGCTACAAACCTGTCTTCATTGCAACTTATTTGAGCAAGCAGACTTAGGGCTAACTTTGAAATACATTTGCTAGCTAATTACTCGACTGTTCTCTTTCAGCTGGTCATCCATGTATGAATGCGAATGGTTACTGTACCCATCTCTGTCTGCTAAACCCCAGTGAAAGTGGATACCAGTGCGCATGTCCGGATATAGGGGATGGACGAGAATGTTTCACAATACCGAAACCACCAACTACTACCACAACGACAATTGCTCCTACTACTGTTTTCATAGACTATTGTGAAGGCGAGCCTTGTGCAAATGGGGCGGGCTGTGAAAACAGTAACGGCTTGTACATTTGTACCTGTGTAGGGTACTTTGGTGGCGTCAACTGTACCATTGCTCTAGGTAAGTTTAAACAACTGATCTATCTAAATTCTCCAACACGTTTTTAAACTTTGTAATGTATCCTTATGAAAGCGTTTTAGAGCACGTTAAGCAATCAACTTACTGTTTGTTCGTACACATACAATAATGATTTAAAATAGTTATGCCCTCCTTTTTGGCTAATTACTGATTATATCATACCCCTTCCGTCTAAAATCGTTAGCCGCTGCCAAGTCATGTCAACTTCATTTAAACTCACACGAATTGCTTAATACATTCACCACTTTAGAAAGGAGACGAGGGGGCTCCAGCCGAAATGTGTCCATCAACTATTTCGGGGAAAAATAGTTTTGAAAAAAATAAGATTGAAAGGAAGGCCTTGCACTTTCACAACAAAGGTCGCTTCGCTAAGCTAACAAAAAAACAAATCAGTTTGAAATTGGCTTAGTTTTGTATTTTCCTTAGCCTGTGAAAACAGCCGACATTTGGCGACGCTACCACTGCTTTCCCCGCCAAATGACGTCTGAGAAACGAGCGCAGAAATTCCATACTGATGACGTGTCACTACCCAGATCGGTGGTGCTTCTGATTGGTGTGCCGCGTGGGACATTTGATTCAACCAATCAGAAGCACTACCCAAATCTGGGTAATGACGCATCATCAGTATGGAATTTCTGCGCTCGTTTCTCAGACGTCATTTGGTGGGGAAACCAGTGGTAGCGTCGCCAAATGTCGGCTGTTTTCTCAGGTTATATTTCCCATTAATATTCCATGAAAAACTATACAGTTTTTTCATATTTACTGTTATTAATCAATTAAATGCCGCGGGGTTTATTTTAAATTATATTCACGATGAATCATTTATAATAATTATCAACACATACATTTGTAATGTCTCGATTTTTTGCTGAGACTGATAAGCATACGATATGATACGTATTCAGTGTATTTCTTTCTTGTAGTCCTCAAATAATGACCGCATTGCTCGAATTGTGCCGGGCGTTTACTCGAGGATAGCACCTATCTGTAATCGAGCAAGACAATATATTTGCTCAAAATTGCCAATGAGCTGAAGTATCTTTCTATATTTTATATTTTAGATGAAGAAAATGTCGTCGAGGTGACTTTCGAAGGCGTTACTTTGGTCGAGGTAAGTTTACATATTGGAGCCGCATGTATATCGAAGATAAGCGGCTTGAATAAGACGCGAAATCTATTATTCATACGGGTATTATTCATAACACGCAACCAGCTCGTATAAGTGGTTCGCAGCTTGTTTGCGCCTTATTTTCACTCCCAGACTCGTTTTTATTTGTATGTTGACTATAGCAAAGATACGGTAAAAAAACAGCGATTAAAAACCTTTTAGGCTAAAAAAATGAAACAGGTTCTTATTTTCTAAAATCTATAAAAAAAATTCTGTTCACCTGGGCAAATAAGGTAAGGCAAAATTCAGGATCCTCTTTGGTGAGATAGCCGTACCTTGTTGCTTCAACTTCAGTTGTGATGGTATACAGGTTAAGGAATGAGCTGAATACCACTAAATACTCTTGGCTACAAAGTCCTTTTTCTTCACAAAAGAACCTATTTAAAAACCTTTTAGGTCTAAATTTGTGCTATTTACCATTTATGTAAAAACCTGGCTAACTTGGTAAAATGTAGGTTCTTAGTTCCGGGTTTTTAATGTATTTTAAACATGGCATTGTTGAAAGAAAGATGGTAAATTTTTTAAGGTCGGTGAAGAAATGAGAGGTGATGTCCACGTGATCAACATGTCAAAGAAAGAAAAATCTGAGTCCCTCACAAGGATTGAACCTTCGACCTTCAGTACACCGGTCGGATGCTCTAACCACTGAGCTGCGAAGGACTCGTAGCGCGTAGGGCCATACACAAGGTGTTTAAATAACGCATGCGAACTATATGTATCAGTTGCCAGGTGTGACTTATCCATTTAAGTCCCCCATCGTTGATTGAATTACAGCCTTAATGATTTTGACTATTGTAATTTGGAGGCTGTGAAAATACACAGCTCTTCATTGGTTGCATTCAACCTTAATTTATTGTTAACGGGTGAATTATCAATTCAACTCCTTTTAGTTTAACCTAACAGCCTTCATTCAAGCCATTGTGGATGCACTGAATCAACAATGTTTTGAAGATCCAGCCTCATGCCCTATTTCAGTTGAAAGGTGAGAAAATTTCTGATTTATCTCATTGCCTCAACTGATTGTATCTTTCGGCCTCATGTAAGGTAATCCAAGACAGTCTTGGGTTCTGGATTCCACGCCATGGATTCCGGATTCCAGCTACTGGATTTCGGATTCTTTGTCAGTGGAACTTGGATTCCAGATACCAATCGTTAGTGGGATTCCAGATTCCTTGTGCTATTTTCTGGATTCCAAAGCCCAGGATTCTGGATTACACAAGCAAATTTTCCCTGATTCTGGATTTCAAAAATCCGTATTCCCTTACATGGGGCGATACCTTATCTTACGCAACGAGAACGTTGACGTCCCAGACATAAAAAACGTCAACCGGAAGTTGATATTTTCTCTCTTGTGCTCTGACGTCTGATTCGAAAAACGCGTACAGCGGAAGTTAAAACAAAGCACTCAGACTCGTTGTGCAAGATGGACGCGTTCCTTCAAGCGAGATATCGAACTTCCGGTTGCTATTCATGACGTCTGGAGCGCCAGCGTTCCCGTTGCTAAAGCTCGCTATTACAAACCTTTAATAAGATTAGAGGACGAGGACGAGATTCGACTTAAAGTTTTTTTAAGTGCGTCTTCTCAAAAAATAGACACTCGGGAAATCTTTATCGTACTTTTTTTTCCACAGAAAAGTTACTGCTGTTATTTTTATTGAAGGAGTTTGGGTCCCCTCCCGATCACAAAATGTTAAAACTTCTAACATCTGATAACTTGATTCCTCTACTAGGACATTCTTCATGAAACACGTTGTAGAATAATGACGGCTATCACGTTTCCCCGCCAAAATAGGGACTTTAAGATCCAACGACGCGGGCGGCAACGAGAAAGTCAAAAAAAACACTATAGGTTCCAGAAGCAAAACAACCACTTTGCACGCTTTTTTGTACATTTCTTTGCCCGTTTTTGCACGACTACGGCGTAAAAATGCCTAATTTCGCGTTTTATAGAGGACATAAACGAGCAACGACGAAATTTTATTTCTCTTTTTGAACTTGGATATGGTCCCTAGCAATTCAATTTCAGAAGGGTTCGCCTACATTTGACAAAGTAACTGGAAAGGAATAACTGCGATAAAGACTAAAAAAATGCAAATTCACTTTTGAAGCGAAGTTCTCGTTGCCGTCGTGTCTTTGGATCTTAAAATCCCTAATGACGCTGGTTCACGCTCACGCTCTACATAGTATTGAGAAATTCTCGTACTGTATTGGTCCTCGTCTTAGAATCTGAAGGTCTCTATTATTTCCCCGCCTCTCGCACTCGCTTCTCCTTTCGCGTACGGCTCTCGCGTGACTTCTCGCCGCTCCCCCAAATGGAAAGCCTGCTCACAGGCTGTGGGATGCTCGTCGTCCGCCAAGGGGTAAAAATTGCAGTATTTGGTCTCACTTATGTTGAAGCTCTTCCCTAATAAATGGGACCACGCATCGCACGCATTTATTTTTTTATTCATTCATTCATTCAATTATTTTCCTTGAATCTATAGCGAAAGGAGAGGTACTAATTTACATTTTCTTTCTGACCCACCCACCTATCCCCTAAAAACAAAATGAACAAAAGCTAGGAATGTGCTCTTGGGTTAAACTAAGTATGATAATTCAAATCTGCGCAGAGATCATCGCTGATATTCATTTATTCATTCATTTATTTGTTTCTTTATTCATTTGTTTCCCTCGTGGTTTCTCCATTTATCCATGAAGTATTGTGAAACGAGAGGTATCGCCGAATGGGCCTTTTACAACTGACGATATTTACATCACATCACCTCCAGAGGAAGTCGACGGGGGGGTCTCGCTCGAATATGCTGTAGTTAAAACAACCGCGGATGGAAGGGAGGTTCCTTTACCAAGTGAATCGCTCGCCGAGGTGACATCCGCAAAAGCAGCTGAAATTGGAAAGAAACTTGGTGCTACGGGAGTCGCTGCTAAGCCCAAGCCTCTTACTACCACACCTACAAGCGAAGCTCAAACGGGCGGTACAAATGGAGGGATGATTGCTGGAGTAATTGTAGCTGTTCTGCTATTGGTTATCATCGCAGCTGTAGCAGTATGGTATTTCAGGTAAATTATTTCTCTCCTTTTTGTGGCTGGTGGCGAATGGGAATATATAAGCACACTGTCCACCATGGAATAGAGGGATAAGGTGTTATAACTACTTTATATACTGGTATGAGTTTTGATGTAGCGGGTATTAAAGTGGGTATAACTCTCGCTTCAGTTCAACCTCATTTCCAGGGCTCTCTCTCTTCCTCCTTCGAAAGAAGAGAGAACCCTGGGAACGACGTTGGGTTCAGTTTAAATGTTGTGGCGCTTTACATGAAGTACTTTTTAGGTGTTAGAGAAACAAATCGATATTTTTTACTTCGTTATTGTACGCGTTTTTGCTTTTACAATTGAACAACTTTGACCAACAAGGAAGCACCTCTGCCCAGCATAATTGTTCTTTTCAATTATTTCAAGGTTGTAAAACACTCATTGGAAAGATGACCTGAAAATGGACTAGATATAAAGCATTTTTTTAAATTCTTATTCAGGATGTCAGTGGCTGGAAAACCACGCATTAAGACAACAGTACTTCCATAGATTAAAAAGGTTAATCTAATAAGTTCAAGTGGTTTGAGCCTAGATTTTTAGAATTTTTCCACATCAAGAGGTTAAGTTAAAACTGCGTCACAAAATGGAAGATTTAAAAGTCCAATGATACAAGCAAACAGATGAAAATGTTGAGAACTGTAATTTTCCTTCAGCAAGAACATTTTTCAAGCACGCTCAGCACGTTCTTCCAAAGGGCTTATATGCATTTATTACCGTTAAATTTTTCTTCTTCTGATATGATGCCATGTTATGATGCCATGTTATGTCGTATTGTTCACAGGGTAAAAAGGACCCGCTCAACTAACATACCCTATAAGAAGGAGAATGACGAGGAGGCCCCGACTGGTTCAATAAGACGAACAGCTGCTTTTGAAAACCCCGGATACGACAGTACTGGTGGACTAGATATTGGCAGTGGAGGAAATTACAATGACATGGCAGCAGTGACATTTTCACCCTTTGAAGACTTTCCTGATCATACCGCAGCCACCAATCAACTGTATTCTGCGATAGGCATGACAAGGATCTCTAGTTCCCAGGATGTGAGCCAAAACGCAGAAGGAGGAGAGTTGGCCGTTAAAAAGATGACTTCCGATGAGAAAGCAACACAAGACCATGACGCAGGTGCGCTGCCTAAAAAGGAACCTCTTGAGAACGAGAAGGCGGAGCAACCCCATTATGCGACATTAACAATTAACAAGAACGAAGAGTCGGAAGAGAACGAACCGCGTTACTTGACGGTGCTTCCAAGTGGAAGAGAATTCGCAAACAGCGAACAAGTGAAAGTTGATCTCCAGGAAAATGCAGAAAAATCTAACAGTGATAATGGACAAACGGTATTGGTGCTTGACGCAAATTACAACCAAGATGAAGACCCTGAAGTCTGAGGTGATTTGGAAAAGCCAACATGTCTGCCTCGTAGCGAACGTACAGGCAATGGAAAGGATCATGCAGTTGTTCAGAAACTTATTAGGTAAACTTGCACGTCATAGGCGTAAAAAATAGCAGTATGTAGATATGACTGTCAGACCTTTAAGAATGAGATAGTTATTCTAAACAGGTAATAGTTGCGGTCACGTTAGAGTATCATCTCTATGGTTACCTCAGTTATCCAGCCACCAATAGTTGCAACCCTAACAAACATTTAAATCGAATATAAAACTTTGCGCGTAAAGGAAAGACGTTTATTTTTCTTTGGCTTTATCAGTTTCGATCTCGTGTCCCAAGTAATAACGTAAATTTAAAGGTTAAACTACCGGGTAAATAACGATGCTGAGTTAAATTAAGGGATGTATTGCCAAGAGATTCGGGGACTCTTCGAAGATTTAGTCCATCGATTGTAGTGGTTGATCTATGATTTACTCACCGATCAAAAAATGTTTGAAAAACATAATTATTAAGCCGTGGAATAATCGTTTTTCCTCATTAAATGTGTTTTTTTTTGTCAATATAATTGCTGAGCGGATGCTTGAATCAAATTCAGCAGACTCCAGCCGTTTTTCAGCAAACAATACCCTCGGAGGGCACTCCCTATAATGGCCTTTACGTGGGGGCTCTGCCGGAAAGGGGCACCTTTTACAGACTTCAAGTACATGAAAGGGTAGGGATTTTACTAGCTAACGTTTATGATAGGGTAGGGAAATCTATCATTTCGGCCCTAAAGGGGGTGCTGTATGTCAGTGGAATGTATACGAACTGAAAGTTGTACCTTTTCTGTTAAGAATGGTATATAAAAGGGTAGGGGGTTAGGCCTCGGGGCGGAGCCTCCCCGTATGTTGAGTAACCCCCCGGATAATACCCAGGGCTCAGCGCCAGTAAAGACGCATTAAAACATATAGACAGTAGAATATTCAGTGTGACTTGAAATCCCTAACACTTGCTGCTAGAAACTGAGTGACCCGACAAAGAGGTAGTCTGAAAACATTTTCTTTGATTCAGTTTTTCACTTAGTTATGATACTAGAAAAGAAAACACCTAATTGATTCAGAATTCGATTACGCCTATGCAATTTTCACGTCATGCTAAGGTACTACAGTTTCATTCCTTGTATAGCGTTAAATTCACAACTACCAAATTATAATTAACAAAAAAAGGTCGAAAACAAAACTTCTAAGAAGCAGATCCATTGTTGCTTGTGATAAGCTGAATATTTGGTGTGAGGACCATAGGTAAAATTGTTTAGAAGACAAATTAAAAGGAGAAGAAAAGAAGGTCATAAAATGTGACTCAGTCGACCTCGCCCAGTTCTAGTGGCATAACAGGGATTTTCTTCAGAGGTAATTCCTCACGTTTAAAGCATGACAGTAAAATACATATTCTACCCTAACGATAGGTTTTAATATAGTTTCTTAACACAAGCATGATGAAAATTTTAAAAAACCAAGAAAAGAAAGAAAAAAAGTGCCCCAGTATATTCACCATTTAACTATCTTACTATACACTATACACTTGTCGAACGACGAATATATATATAGATCAGTCGATTCCAGTATAGTAAGGACACCTCCATAATACGGACACCTCTCTACTACGGACAGGTCTCTTGGTCCCATATATATAGATGTAAACTAGTAACAGTTCTTACCCTCATAACACGGCGCCCCAAATATGATGCAGACACTTGGCTTTCCGTATTAGGAAGGTTTCACCGTGTTTCTAAATTCGTTTAGTTTCAGTACTGGACAGTTTATTCTATAACGTTAAGTCAATAGGGAACTTAAGCACAAATGATTTTGAACGAAGACATCAGCCGAATATGGAATATGCATTTTTGAGCACTGGCTTTGTCCAAATTTTCGGGCAGTTTGTCTCACAAGACACAAATTTGGTAGCGTCGACAAGCCATATTAAAAGGAAAAAGGTCTCATCTCCGGTTGTAGTATGTCTCGTAAAATGCCTTTGCTTAAACTCCCTAATAGTTTCTCTTCATGTTATGTAGTATATAATCCTCTTCACGTGGCTGGTACGTCATAATACTGCTGTCCGCCACAAAAAGATCGTCGGAAAATTCAAAATAATTTTGCAGAAAGCTAAGCCACGTTCACAGAGAACTACCTTAACGTACAAAAATTCAGACACCCAGCCGTTCAAAATTCAGTGTGAATAGAGCAAAAATATTGAATAGTCCCCTGCGAACAAAGGTCCGGTAATTAGAATTTTTTTAGCCGGTCAAACGTTCGTGCGGCGCCATGGAAAGGTAGCCCAAAACATAGACGGCTACTTCGAGGAAAATCTTTCAGGATAATCTTTCTTGTCTTACGATGAGTGTATCAGCAAGCTATGAAGAGGTTTTATTATTTTTTTTAATTATTGAAGTTAATTTTTTTAACGTATTTTTTGGATATGTGTAAATCTGAATATTTTTAGAACAAGGTGAACGAAGTGTTTGAGTCGATTCAGACAGGTAGCAGTTTTTTTTACTATCAGAGAAAAATGTTTCTGGAGAGGTTTAAAGGTTCCATCAGGGGAAAGCTGTAGCAACAGAGAAAAGCTGGAAAAGACATAAAGTATGGGCTAATTACAGGTTCTTGTATTCCTTGATTGCAGGGCAGGGTTACTAATTAAAAAATTGAAGTTTCTTTTGTTCGTAGCCTAAAAGGTGTTCACAGTCGCTACTTAAAATCCCAAAAATTTGTCCATAAACTTTAGGCTATAGCTAAATCCGTCCATAGATGACATGAAAAACTGTTGAGGTTGTCAATCATAAATTTAATTTTCTCTGGTCTGCTATAACAGGAAAGAAAGAAATCTCATGGAACTGTTACCTTTTGTATAGAATGTGGTATTATTTTTTATGTATTAAAAACCTTTTGTAACTTTTTATTAGTTATCCTATTTTACTGATTTGTTTAAAAAAAGGCCAATAAAAGTATTTGCCGAATTAGTCTGCTTGTCATCCAGGGTTTTCGGTAGCATTTGGAAGTACCGGATGCTGCGGTTCAGCTGGCGGACGTGCACCGCTCGCGCCGCTGGCGGGCACGTTGACTGCCGGAGGCACGAACTCCCAGGGGGCTCCGGGGGCATGCCCCAACCCCCCACCCCCCAGGAAATTTGTAAAACTGGACACTCTAAAATGCAATTTCCTGCGTTCCCTGGACCGGAATTGGGTAACCGGAATTATGACAGGAATTATCTCTTCTTTTTTTTTTCGATTGTATGCATTACATAATTAAGTAAGTAAAAAAAGAGTCAAGTCTTTCTTTGGTTAATAAGTGAAAAAAAAAAACGATTTTCACACTTAAAGAAATGATTATTTCGTGTGTGAGCTACCGGACGTTACATGTCAAACAACCGAACGTTGCATCCGGCGTCCGGCCTGAAACGAAACCCCTGGTCATCTTGTTGATAAAAATGTCTCAAAATTATATAATGGTACCTAACCGACAATCGCACTCCATGAGGCTGTATATAAAACAAGGTGGGTGTCTGTCTCGCCCCAGATACGCCAAGAAAAAGTGTTTGGTAAAGTTTTATAAAGAAAACTGGCCTTTCTAGACTATAAAAACAACGATTTAAGGAAGTCGCAAAAATTGCATTTTTCCAAAGGGGTTAGTCCGTGGTTTTAATCAAAAATTTGAAATTTCGTGATCCTTTTTTTTAGGCAAAATGGACTGAAAAAAATAGTTTGGTGACTAGTCTTGCTAAGAAGAAACAAAAAGCAAACTGCGGTGATAAACATAAAAAAATATAAACTCATTTGTGGAAAGAAAAAAGAATTTAACTTGACGTTTCGTACGTTCCAATATACATCTTCAGAAGTAATAAATCGTTGAAACTAAATGTAGAATAAGAAACCAATTTAACAAAACAAAAGATAGGAAATAGTAGAAAAATTTGCATATAAAAGAAAAAGCATGCAAATTAAAAAAGGTAATAAAAGTTTTTCACTTCTGACATTTTCATTTAGGAAAGGTTGTAAATCCCTAATCAGCAGAGTCTTCTTTACCTTGCTAGGCTATAAAAACATCGGTTTTATAAAGTGGCCAATTTTGCTTTTCTCAAAAGGGGTTAGTCCATGGTTTTTTTTTTTTCTTCATCTTATCTGTCTAGGCGAAAAAAAGGCCTAGAAAAAAGGGATTTGTGACGTTTTGGAGAGAAAGCTAGTCTTTCTTGACTATGTTTGCTGCCGTTCCAGACAGAAAACTCTCTAAGTAGGAGCAAGGCCTGGAACCCACTGAGAGGGAAGTAAATATTCACGAGTGAGGACTAGAATTTAGTGCTCCAAACCCTCTGCGCAAACCGCGCCCGCACGATTTTCCGTTACGTTGCGGGCCGTTGTCGTTCATACCGCAGAGTGTGGACATACTGTAGCTATATTACAGATATTATACTAGTGATACTTAGTCCTAACGGGTTCACGTGCAAGCTAGATTATCAAGAGATTGATTTTAGTATCTACATCCTGTCTATTGTCAGATGGCTAGAAAATATCACTGAAGCTACACAAGATGGTGATCTCCCGATTCACCTAAGCAACCCTCTCAACTTGTATTGTCATGCCGGTGTCCTTTCTATGGTTCCAATATTTGCATATAGCTGCCAGTCACGTGAGTAAATATGCGCCATCGTTGCAAACTGCAGTACAGTCTTAGAAAAACAAAATAATGCCAAAAGTGACGATTACACTTAAGATGGAAAGCAACCAAGACAGCTTATAAGCAACCGCTGTACAGCGACCGACATTACAGGCATCTTCATCGCAACACGTGCGGCAATACTCTTCACCATCTTTTTTCCAGTCAATGTAATCGTCGTCGCATTCATTAACACAGTCTCGAGTGAAGCGAGGTTCAGCATGTCTACCATCCTTGACCACCTGACAAAAGTTATTTCCATCTGCACAAGTTGTCTTCTTTGTGCCATTAACAGAGTCCTCAGGACAATTTCCATTACGTGAGTCACAGTGATAACAAATTCGTCCTAAAAATAAAGATAATTATAATGTTTCAATGTGAAGCAAGAAAGTATGGAGCGTTTTCACTCATGTGGCGAGCAGCCGCTGAGCAGCTCTGCTAATTTATTGAACAAAAAACACGTTTACATAAGAGAAGAGTTCAACTTCCAGAGGATTTTCTTAGTACACTAACATGGCCGCCTTGACGTCATGTTAAAACGTTCTTTACTCCCTTGGGTAATAATAAGAATAATGATTATAATAATACAAATGATATTAATAATACCATCCATAATCCAAGTTTAGGTTAGCCTCGATCTGAGCAAAGAGAGGTAGAATATACGCTTTACTATTCCATAGCTACGTAATTACACAAGAAAGAGAAATTCAAATGTACGTGTATTTTTTATTTGAAACAATTTCCTGGTATAGAGTACTAAAGTGATAACGTCATAAAAATGAAATTTCTGAAATTATGGGATTTGTCAAGATATTCTGAAAGAACAATGTCCAAGAGGCCTACTCGCCAAAGATGAGCATTTCGGCGCAAATTGTCTCTGAGATGTTAGCCAGTTATACTCAGAAAATTCCATACAAACCCTTCTAAATTTTTTTGGGGACGACCCAAAAAATTTTAGAGGGGTTTGTATGGAGTAAACTAAGCATAATTGGGCTACGATCTCAGAGACAATTTGCCCCGAAATGCTCATTTTTGGTGAGTAGGCCTCTTGGACATTGTTCTCTCAGAATATCCTGACAAATCCCATAATTTCAGAAATTTCATTTTATGACGTCACACTTTAGTACTCTATTGGCGTTTACTGTAGAAATCGCGTCTTGCCGTTAATCCTTGGCTCTTATGATAGTTTCATCACCATGGAAATGTCTCACGGACTCTTAAAATAAAGTTTGTTCTGTATTACTGATAGATTGATTGATTTCAAATCCCCCATAATACACTCTGTTAGCTTCTGTTTGTTCCTCAAATCTTGAGAATATGCAGTCCTGCTGGAGGATTGGAGGATTTGGGAACAATGTGGTTTATTGTTATGGGGGGGCAAACAGAGTGAATTACGGGCCATTCGAAAAAAGGGAATGGACCCATTTCGATAAATTAAAGTTCATTCTTGGCTCTGAGGCTTAAAAAAGGGAATAAAACAAAAGAAATCATCTTCAGGTTCAGCAATGAATAATACATTTCTTTTGTTTTTAATATTCCCCAAGCCTAGGGGCTAAATTTGAATTTAACTAAATTGGAAATTGGTCTATTGTACGTGAAATCCGGTTAATCTGGAGGCAAGAATGCCTTATTCTATCCTATGAATTCTCACCAATAACTGGATACTGCAAAACCGCGAGAAAGAAGATTATCGTTAACAAGGATCTTCTCCAGCATGTTTCCATATCAGGCTTATAGCAGACCTTTGTCGGTAGCAATAGAAGGCAATATGCTGTCAAGATACAAGACGAAAGTATAATCAGGTTAACACTGGTGGAGCTAGTACATTTAATACCATGGACACGTATGATCACATGTTTGTTTTAACTACAACTTAGTACGTATTACCTCGCCAGGTGGTTTATTATAAAAAAACCTAAGGGACGGACCATTAGAAAAGTTATGGGAGGGGGCGGGGAATTTTTGAGCCGCAGGAATTTTTTTTTCTTTATCAAATTCCTTGTATGAATTTTTCTTAGGCCGTAGAATGAATATGTTTTAGGGTTAATTGGCGTGCATGAATTTTTCTCATTTAATTTTCCCTTGCGCGAATATTTTTTTTGTACTTCGCCCCCCCCCCCTCCCATAAGTTTTCTAATGATGTCCGTCCCTAACTCGGTTAAGAAAATCTATATTGTTCTTGCTTGATTTGCATAACCCGGTTAGAACTCTCACTCCGAGTTAACTTTAATTAGTTCATTGGAAATAACTCGGTTAAGTCCCAAGTGTGGCTGCAGCCAATGCCTGTTCATCATTCAAGGTCTTTTCTTGCGCTGCTGAACAGCTTATAGTTAGGCATCAGTCCGAATTTTTGTAACCTAACACAGGTTTCGACAAACTGCTTTGATCTGTAGTTGAATTTCAGTTATTCATCGTCACCACGGTAGTCAAGACTCGTCAGATTCGTGACCTTAGAAAACAGGCCACCTATCATTTAAAAGTTAAAAACCTTCACGGCCTTCATAAAGAGAGTTCTAGGTCTCTGTAAAATGCGAAGGGTTATCGTTTGATTCTCGAACCGGTTAACAGAAGAATAAACAGAATATGTCTGCTGTCTTTAAGTAAAATAGGGCCATCCGAGTGCTCTTATCTATTCATACACTGACATAAAGATGCACTGAGTGAGATAAAACAAGCAAGTCACTCGTTGAATAAATGCTTCACTGGATTAAGAAAATAAATGCTGATACTCCATAAATAAAACAGCGAGCTGTTCTCCCGAAGTCCCTTATAGTAGTGCCGAGCCAACACAGTGCACAACCACAAATGCAATGCTCAGTAGATAAGAATTGTGAATTATAAATTTCTAAACTCTTCAAGAGTAATATGATGAATTCAATTTATGGTAATGACAAAGTCTGGAACCAGTGAACAGTTAATTCGTAAACGCACTACTAACCTTTGGTAGTTAGTTGGTTGGATTCTTTGATTTAGCTCACTACCCTTTCAAGTTGAGATTCTGCGCTGAAAATTTTGGGAGCTCGTTTTCCCTCCGCCACGCTCAACTGCCCTTGACTTCAAAACAGATCGAGATGCAAATGAGGCCGTGCAGTTGTAGTATCTCTCCACCCTTTATAAACTTCCGGACAGATTAATTGCTCGATAAGAGTTTCCGGAAGGGTGGCATAAGAACTTTTTTTTTTACTGATTTTATGCCACTCTAATAACAAAGGAATCTAGGATGGCTCGAGGGAGAAAATAAAGTAGCCTAGGACCGGGCTCTGGAGAGCTGTGCATCCAAAAATGTGACTCATGCCTTGGTGTTTTTAAAAGGCGGCGTGTTAGTAATACCCGAGTCGGTTTGTACTTTAACCTACTCTTGAAATCCGCCAAGCCGTGTCCTTGACCCAGAGAGAACGTCCCAATATCCGTCGAAAATATTTCGCGTCTTTATGAGCCTGCCGGACCAGGGACCCGTTTCTCGAAAGTCCCGGTAACTTAACGGGCCCGGAATCACATTTCTAAATCAAAGTCTCAAGAAAAGTAGGGTGTGTTCTGACTTCTAATGAAGTCCATTTTGTTTCGTTAGCTAATAACTCTACTGTATAATTTTCAAAACTTTTAAAACTCCCTTCTAAAATGGAAAACAAAACAGCTTAACGGGCCCGGTAATTACCGGGAGCTTCGAGAAACGGGCCCCAGGCTAGGCTCCGCAGCTTCCGCAGCAGGGGGAAAAGGCAAAGAATGGGGTAAAACTGAAGATACCCAGATCTCCCACGGCCAAGGGAAAGGGAGATCTCACTTTTAAGCGTAAGAAAGAGTGAGATCTGGATACGAGTTTAGGGAACGGGTCCACCCAAATTCACCATTGCGCTGCGCAGGCCCTAAAATAGAATAAATGAAAACGAGGCTGTCAAAGCCCATCAAGGGAATGTGGATGATGGATGTGCAACCTCGTTCCCAGGGGCAGGAGAGAACCCTGGGAACGAGGTTTGGTTGCACGAGGTTTATGATGGGCAGAGCACTGCTGTCGTTGGGAACACACTGAGATTAATTTTCTAAGATTTCCTATACATCTGTCGTTTAAATCAAGGAAAAACTAGAATGCTCATGGGCTCCTGGAACGCTAAGAGTTTAACTTTGCCACTATGAAGGTGAAATGATGATGTTGCTGCTCTCTGTGGCTTTCTTATAAGTTCACTGCTAAGACAGATTCAACTGTTAACCAGTTTCTGAAGGGTGGTTTTTAATAATACAACTCCTTTATGTACAAACAATGACAAGATGAAGTCAATTCCAGCTTGGAAACTGTCTAGACAAATAGCAACAATCTATTTACAAACAACCCATTGCCAGATTTTGGTGCTTTTTTTTCTGCACGGAATACCCCAAAAAACTACTTTACTTGATTTTAAATCTAACACAGTTTTAAAAACTGCTTTAATAGTTGTGGTGTTCAGAATGTGGGCGGTCTATGACACAGGACCCTCAACGCATTCGCCTTCGCAACAGAAGTGGATTCCAGCTGCAAGCTTGATTACCAAGAACAAGGTTGGCCATCCTGTGCAATTTAAATTAATCATCCGGAGCCGCTAATTCATTTCCACTGGAAAAGCACCTTCTCGATTAGAGAATTTTCAGTATGGTCATTCGAGCAAATCCGTAAATGTACTCGATCCCCTCAGATATTGCCCAATCAAAGGATACCCTCTGACCAGCTCTGTGTCGCATTCTAAGATGACAGGGTACTCTTTAAGACTTAGATAAAAATGCGCTGCTGTGGCATTAAATTTCTTTCATTTCCAACAATGTTGGACGCTCCAGTGCATCGTGGGAAGAATACAACCCATAAGACTTTGTAAAATCCAAGTAGACCATGTGTGCTGCGCGTGTGTGGCCCCAACAAGGCAGGAAGAACTGTGCAAAAAAGATCCAACATTTTTGCGCTTCGCTTTGGCGATCACGGAACAAAAGACGTGTTGGGAGTTAGTTGGTCAAAAGTTTGACAGGTTTCAAACTTTGCGCAACAACTCACAACAACACGCAACACATTGCAGCAGGATGTACAAACGGGCGCGACATGTAATATAAAAAAATGTTGGGAGTTGTTGGCCAAAAATAACAATACGTCTGTTTGCACGGCGCTTGAGAGTATAAAAAGAATTTTTTTCCCTTTGTTTTGTCCAACACGGCGTAAAGTTTTTGAAATGTTTGGGGGATAATTCCAGGCGGAAACGAAAGCCTCGAGGAAAGTCTAGCAGGAGCTGTTAACAAGTACGAAGAGGCAATATTCGAGACGAAACGTTTTCTTGTTAGCTTGGAAAATGGCTACAATAAAAATAAATCTTCAACCAGTCCGGCTATTCGAGGCATGCTTCCATTTTTAAAACAAATAGATTCCAATCTGCCGTGCGTCCCACTCTAAACATTATCTCTGTACTCTATATCGAATCTCAGAGTTTAGCTTCTTAGTCTGCAAAACAGGTGTTATTTTTTTCTCGTTATTCAGACGGGGTTGGGCGGGCGTGGAGCGCCAGACACGCGCGAAGGGGGAAGGCGCAGAGCGCTTGTATCGTGCTTCTCGTCTGGCGCACTTCGTACTTGCCTTCGCTAGTCTGAAAAACGCGTAAAGGTAACACCTGTTATACAGGCTAGTAGCTCCCCCAATAACATACACGCCACAGCAGCACATTTCCGGAAAGCTTAAGCAAACGAGTACCCAGCAACCCCCCCGCCCCCTCTCGCCAAACCCCACCAAAACCCGGTTGGTGAAAGCCGTCCGAGAGCTTTCTAAGCTGTTGTGATTTCCACTGCTTCAGGAGCCGCATGGCTGTCTCCAGGCAGTTCATCACTGACAGTTTCAGTCCGACCAATGATGGTCATGGTAGCAAGTCGAGCTTGACGGTAAACACGAAGCATGTTCAATCCTAAAAGTCTGAAAAGCAAAGTAACTAAATAACTATTGTGCTCGCAGGTCAAAACATTAATCAACAGATCGTGAACGGCGTTGATTTTTCTAATGTCGGGCTATAGTAGCTAAGAACAGAACATCACTCCTTCTTGCAATTGTGATAATACATCCGAAGAGCTTAACTCATTCACCCTTAATCGCACCTACTGATTGAACAATCGACTGACCAATGAACTTGAATGGCGATAAATGAATTGCCCGAAATAATACCTGACCCCGGAAGTAGGTTTCTTGGTGGGGAAAGGAAGCGAATAACGGAGCGGAAGCGAACCGAGCGAGGGACTGGAAAAGAGGAACGGCAGCAACCGCTCCGTTAAGATAGGTCACTACGGTCGCCTGGGACGGTTAGATAGATGTCACGTCACGCAAAAAACGCGTGACCTTTTACCGTCGTCCTTCTGGGACGGTATGTTTTCGCCGGGTTTCTCGTCGTGAAGACAACGGTGAAACCGATAAGAGTTCATGCATACTTATTGTCACTTTTGTTCTAAAACTGAGTAGCCACTGGGTTAAATACGCGTTGGCTTGTGTTTACATTGATTTACCTATCGGTGAAATGAAAAAAAAAGCGAAAATGACTGAGTTCATTCATAACTTAGCTCACGGTCGCATGGCGACTGCTTGTTTTCTACCCAGTGTCGTCCGCCATGGCAGAGGAAAATTGCCGAAAAGGAAGGTAAGGCCCAGTTCAAATGTTCATCTTTTCATGTACCGAACTTAATACCTATTTAGGTCGACTCAAATGGTTCAAGGTTGACTCAGGCGTCGAACTTAAAGTGTAGTCGAACTCGATTCATTTTCACGATGTTCAATGGTCTAGAATGCTTTAAACAAGTGAAAATAAATTTTAGTTATTTGTGCTTTAGTTTCGGCACATGAGAAGTTCGACGTTTCAATTGGGCCTAACAGTGAAGATTGTAGCCGTCTTCTTATAACTTAAAACTGCATTTTTTATCAAGAAAAAGGTGTTGGCTTTAATAGGAAAGGGAAGTTCAAATAAAAACATCGCCTACAGTTTTGAAAACTAGCTAGCTAGCTTTAATTTGTACCCTTATTCTTCTGATTGGTATTCTTCGTATAAAATAAGAAACTCTTCTTCAGTAATTGAGCCTTCTGCGAAAGAAATGACAAGCGAGTTTCGCACATGACTTCACCGTCCTCTGTTTTGTTGTCCGATCTTAAATTGAAAATTTTCGCGGCTTCTTACCGTCATGGCCCCAGGCCGCCCGTATACGCATCCAACCGTCCCAGCCTGCCATAATGACCTATCTTAAAGTCCCTTTTCTTTGCGCTCGCTCCGTTATTTGCCTTCTTCCCCCGAAATTCGCCCTTTTTTTCGCCATCAAGGAGCCTGGTCCCTGTAATAAATAAATGCCTTCGATTCTAGACAATTATCTCTTCATGGATCACCAATTGCTACCTCCGTACACAAACAATTAAAAATTCAAAAAAACTTCACTGTCTAGTTCTTACTTACCTTAGCCACGCGTACTCGAGCACCACAGCAAGACCTATGGCAAGCATCTTGCAAGCGGGAGATATACTGGTTAAACACACGAAGTATACACCGATTGGTGTCCCAATCATCATGGAAAGTATAAGGGTCGTTTGGAGCCAATGCCTGAGAAGAAAAGTCAAGAAACGTAAACGACAATGCTACCTTGCTTAGCTGGAGGTTTTGCTTGACGAGCGCGCTTGACAAGTACCCTGGGTGAAAGGGACTTTTTCCAGAGAGATTTCCGGTTTCGGTCATTTCGTGGCTTCGGCCAAAAAACCGAAGACGTTTCGGAGTGCGGCCAATTCCGAAGCATATCCACCGCACTCAATCGCCGCACGCGAGAAAAACCCTCTGGTACTTAGGATAGCAAATGAGCAGCGAAGCCAAGAGGAGAGTGGGGCAATGCTGATCATCGCTTTCCCAATCAGAAGGTGGGCACTTTTTACAGTTTCAACCGTTTACAGCAAGACCTGTTGTTTGCAAATGGGATAATTTCTAGTCCGATCTCTTTGGATAAAAACCCTCCCCTTTTAACAACTATAGCTTGCGTGCAGACTTCTTTCATTTGCTTCGCTGCTTATGTGAGATGCAACTAACGGGGTGCGAGCTACCTAAGGTAAGGTAACATGTGTAAACATGCATATCTCTCCTTCCTTTGACTCCGGACGCTTGTTTAAGAAAAACGCGGCAAAAGATAGCCTCAATTTCCGCTGCTCTGTCAGGTCTGGTCTTGTTCTTTCCCGAGAGTCTTCTCGGAGGAGGAGCGCGGGCTCATTTCCCGAACAGCAGTAACGTCACGTTACCACGGTAGCAAAATTTGTGGATGTCAACAATCTTTCTTGACAGAGACGGCCATTTAAATTGTCGAACGATAGAAGAAAAGTATGGGTTACCGTTTTGTTCCTCAGCGCAATCATGCACAGGAAAGTCAGATCTTTTCAAGTTTTTTTTCCCGTCGCCTTTGCAGGACTAAAGTTTTTTGAGATCCAGAGAGTTTTCTACCATGGCAACATGACGTAACGATTTCTTTTCCAAATCGAGTCTAGACAAAACAAAATACAAGAAACCTACCTAACACTAAGACCGCTTGGTAACCAGGCCCTTCCTGTTAACAGCTTGTACTGCAATAAATTCAAACCATTTACGTCACTTTACTTTTCCACATATTAAAATGCATTGAATCCTGATTTTTTGAACCTCCGGAGAAAAAGGAAATGGATTCACGAGAAACCAAGAGTTCAGAGAATTAAGATTCTTCCGATGTTATTCTTTAATTCCTATGTTTATTTCCGGCAAAGTTTCTGTTGGCACTGTACTTAGCATAATCTCCGCTAAGATCCATTTTCTTTTCTTATATGCTTTCTAATAAGTTTTCACACTTATGAAAGGAACGGGTGACGAAGCCCTAACAACGTCTGCGTGGCACGCTAGGTCGAAGGAACGGTTGTTCATTAGTTGGTTAGCGCTTTCTACCGCGGATAAATTGCTACCCAATGGACTCAATTGCGTTATCCAGTGGATAGAGGTTTACCCAGTTGATAACGCTATCCACCTTTTAAAGTAATTTTAGGGGGCAGGCCACAGTTGTTAAAAGTGGTGGTTTTATATTTGGCTGTTGGGACACATTCCCCTTTTTGTGTTTCTTGTCTTTTGGCACCCGCGTCAGGTTTCTTCTCGGTGATAGAGTTCAGCGTCGTCTCAAAGGTCAATTGCGGCCTCTGCTCGCTTGTTTTACTCTCCCCACCCTCCCTGGGTTTTATTTCATAACCTGTAGTTTCAATAAATTGTTTTTTGCCCCATGAAACTCGTTGCGTTTCTTTTGTGTCTACTAATTTTGGATAAAGCTATCCACTGGAAAAATCTCTATCCTGTGGATAGCGATTTATCTTGCCCCAGTTGTTCAAAAGCTTGATAACGCTATCCACTGGATAAATCACTATCCAGTGGATAAGAACCAATTGCATTATCCACTGGATAAATCTAGCGCTATACACTTTTTGAACAACTGGGGCCACCACCGATTGACATCGGTTGTGTGACCGATGCACATGATCCGCTTCATCTTCAAACAAGACTGAACTTGTGATCTCGTGATTCAGTTGACGTGCTCCAGGCGAATAAAAGTCCAACAAGTAAACAATTCAAGCAGCATTACTGGAGAATCTAACTTGTTGGAAGAATTCACTCAAATGGCTGCTCTTCTTTGGAACAAATGCGTAATCACCAGCAAATGGAGGATATGAAATGACCGAAAAGTTGAAGGAATCAGTTCTGGATGATAAGGTAATAACTAGCCTGTTGCAGGCTCCGAGATAGTGGTGAAAAGTCGCAAGTTGCGCGCGTCTTATTTTCGCTTTGCTCGTTTTAATACGTCCACACTATACTATCTGAGAGCCTGGCACAGGCTAGGTAATAACCGATGTGTTTACGAACTTCATTTTACTGTATCATGCTTTAATTTACACTCCATGATCCGGCCGGCAGTGCCTTATTTTCAAATGAAATGTATTATAGGAAAAACATCAATTTAGTTTGGCTATCGAGTTGAAACGGACGCTGATAGTTGATCCAGACGCACGATTTTTCTGTTTCGGTTTGCCCGTTTTATGCTAACTAAATAAGCTTACCCAGGTTCATCCTCTCTCTTGTAAAATTCAGGGTACAGTGGCCCTTATGTACGTTAGCGTTAGACGAGCAAATTTGAACTAGCCTTGTTTTAAAATTGTAAAGCTGTGAAGTTTTACATAAATGAATTCCCATGCAAGGCAGCACAGTTGAAAAGAATACCCACGCACAAAGCGTGAAAATAAGAAGAATTATGCTTTAAGCATAATTCTACAAACGAGAATTTGCTCACCTGACGTAATCATGCATAAGGGCTATTCCGGCCATTTACTTAAAAAAGCTTAAAACGTTAAAAAAACATGTTATCAAGTAAACATGTTTAATCTAAAAAGAACACCCTTTTAATTATATTGAGAGTAACGTAGAGTAACGTACGTACCTCCTCTCCACAAACTTTGCACTTATGAGAATCCGAGCGACTATCCCCAGATGACTGAGGAAACACAAAGGAAAATAAAATGTTACGTAAGTAGAATACCGAGGTTTCCAGCCTTCTGGCGAAAAGGGATTGCTTCAAGCACAGTACCCTGTGAACAGGCTCTCTGTTTGGGGAAAAATAGCGAGGAAAGGGAAGGGAAAGGGGGGGAGAGAACTTTTCGCTTTTCCCTCTCCCCACCCCGCTCGACCAAAGGCCTTTTCACAGGCTAAAGCACAGGTACCCAAAGCTCACAAGTAAGCATCGTTGTTGCGTAACAGAAAATGTTTAGCGATCGTTATGTGTGTTTTTAGCATTTTTAGCCGTGTGAGGGCGATTCCAGCGAGTTATAGTCCTGCATTTGTTCTCTCTACAGCGAATTAACGATTGCAAAAATCCCCATACAATCCCTCATAATACTTCTGTTACACAAGAATAATTTTCACCTGCGAGCTTGGTTTACCTGTGGTTTAAGTCATCAAGTGATCACAAGGTTTGAAGAACTGGGCGGGTGTTCGACTTCAGGTTGTGGGGGTGGGAGGTGGGGCGTTCGATGAGAGGAAGAAAGTCTGTTTTAGTTTCGTTAAGCTATCGGGAGAATCAGGAATCCGTGGGAAATCTTTGACTAAAAACAAGCAAGGCAGTACACTTGTCTCCTGTACAACAGGGTCTTAGCTCATTTCACACAACAAGCAGGAAATGCAGACATCAACAGAGGCATAATGAGAGATTCAGAGACGGGGTACTTTCTTGGCGAGCCGCCGCGAGACTCCAAATTGACTTTTATCCACTCTTCTCGCGGCTCCGCCGCTAAAACAATACAGCACTGCCATGCTAATCCCGCCAGCTACGCACACTAATTTACCTAGCACCAAAACTAAAGTACGTATAAACAAACTTACGGGTATACTGACTTAATGAGGCCATGGTCTAAGTTCGCATTCGTTCAAATAACTACCATGAGTGGCAGGCGCTAGTTAGCTGTTATTTTTTGGTTAGTCTTTTTAAAGCGCGCGAGGGGAACACGCGAGGGGGAGGGCCTCCTCTCCTCTTCTTTTCTCCACTCGCGCGCGCGTCCTCGAGATTTCTCCCTTTGGCCCAAAAATACCAGCGTATGCTACGCAAGCAATCCAATAACCGACCCACATAGTGTCTTTTACCTCGATGAGCCATCTCTTGAGACAGTCATGATGAACAGCGGCTAAATCTCCTTTGCATTGACATGGGAATATCATTGGTCCAGCATCCGTACGCTCACTGTCATAACAAACCCAACATTCTCGGCGAGGGGAATCTAAATCTGTCAAAAAGACAATGATTAGAAGAGGCACCTGCGATAATTTTCTCCAAATAGCGTATCACAGAGGAAACTGAAAGAAGGAAATTTTGAGAGATCAAATTTCTGTAACTCAAATGATAGGTTTGAGATTTAAGAAGTTTTTTCTCAGTTATAACCTGTACGGGTTTTTTGCATATCACTCAGTGGATTCTCAACAGATGAATGGATAGCCTTATGGATTCATTAAGGCTAAACCTGCCCCCAAGAAGACTTAACACAGAGAAAACATGTAGTACCGGCTAGTATGCATATTCACTCAAGAAAGTCTAAAACAAATTTTATGGAATTGGGGAAAACGCATCGTAGGATGTGAAGATAAGCCTAGGAATTACGAATCCTAGCGACGTATTTTATACGCTCGAGAAAACAAGTGCAGCTTATATTACGCCAAAATTTTTTAGTACAAGACTGAATATTACATAACCGTAATCACTACCAAACGAAACATTAAGCCTAACTATAACTGATTTTCCGCTTCAAGAAATCTCATTAGCATACAGCAAGAATGTAAACTCCGTAGCTTTAACTTAAAAACTTAGGAATGCTGGCTCACGAAACAGCCTTAGCGTGATTCGTGCAGAGGAAATGATCTGTTACGAAGAAAACCGCTTCTTTTTTCATATCTCCAGTACCGATATGTAAATTCTTCTTTTTCTTCACCAGAAGTATCTTACAAGAGATATGGGGTTAAGTTACATTAATATACCAAGAGTTTGAACTAAGTGATCATGTCACAAAAGAAACATGGGTGAACAAGTACAAACAGAAAACAACAATGTGAGACTTCAATACAGTAAAGTGTGAAAAGCTGAAGCTGCTAAGTTTTTTTCTGAGTTTAAAATAAAAAAATATTGGCAACGCATAATAAACGGTAAAACACCCCCCTTCACCCATAAAATTGGCATGGAGTACGATATCAACAGAATGGCCTCAATCAAGAATACAATTCCAAAGCGTGACGCATAATTATGCTCCAAACCATTGCCGACTAAAAAGCTTTAACAACAGACGAGCAGAAATAATGAAAGACACGGCGTATGAACCAGCCAGGGGTTAACCCATCGAGTTTGGCCGGTCTAGCTGAACAAGGTAACATGGTTGGAGCCCTTTGGAGTGCACAAAAAACTTAGGATTCGCTATTTCTTATTCATTTTTTTCGTTCGTCGGGTTTCAACTGAAGTTCATGCTTTGAAATTACGACTGAAGCTGGAATCAACTATAAACAAAACCAATGCAAATACAGAACACAGTGCAACGTTACCGAGGAACCCGCGATGTCTGTCACACTTCGTGCACCTTACTAGCCTTCCTATCAGAAGGTCTACAGTACTTGGACGCTCCATTGGAGAATTTCTTTCGAGACTACCTCGAAGTTCAGCCCGGGCTACAGCAGATTAGGAACGACCATAACCCAACATATGCCACCTAGGTGCCATGAGCTGTAGGTCGATCAACGCATACAGAGCATTACATATACTGTTATTTTAGGCAACGTTGTAATGTGTTGAGTTGACGTCATTATAAACATAAACGCGGCCAATAATACACTTGACTTTGACTTATGCTTTCGCTGATCGTCCTTGACAAACTGAGTGAAAGCTATTTAGGCTGCGCGAAAAAGGAGCGGATTTTACTGATTTCTTCCAGTAAATGAACCGTACAAGATCGAAGACCACCAAGGAAAACGGAATTTTCAGTGTCGAGCTAAAGTTTTCTCTCCCTCTCCAATATGACGCCTTTTCGCGTTATTTAATCCTCTTGTACGCATCGACCGCCTTCTAATCTCTTAACCCTGTCAGTTAAAAAATGATCAGCATCATATTTCTCCTTGTTACATCAATGATATTTTAAAAACAGAGCGGTAACGAGAATTACGTACATGATCGCACAAGATGAATGTCATTGATATAATAACAGCTTCTCCTTACTTAGTGACTCATTACGTCAAACACTGAAAATATACACACGTATATCACACGTATATCTATACCTCACCTTCAGCTTGGTTAGGCGGTATACTACTGTAGCTTGTATGCTCATGAGAGCCGCTACATAAATGCCTCGATTCCTAAGAGAAAATTAGAGACACGTTTTGATTTAGCTAAGGCAGTAATGCAGAGGCATTTGACGATGGACACAACATTCCACTGTATGTTTTAAAGCCTGGGCCGGGTTGTTCAAAGCTTTTACTTTTACTTTTACTTTATTAATCCGCAGTAACCATCGCGCGGATAAGCTACGTTGAGAAAACCCAGGGTTAATGTGAAATTTGGATTCAGAAAATGAACGCTTAGTCTTCTTCGGCGGCCCTAAAAATGGCTGCGAAGGTGACTAATGAACGCTTGAATTAAGTTTAATTCTTTTTGCTTACAATTTGATGATTGGATGCTCAAAAAAGAATAGCTAAAATACTATGAATGAATACTATGAAAAGAAACCCGGATTTACGCGATTGAAATTTAACCAGGGTTAGCGGTAATCGACCTTCCAACAACCAGGCCCAGAACACTTAAGTATGCGAACTTTATTACCGTCTTTAACAATTCATTTCGAAATATCGATTCGGTCAAAAGCAAATAAAGGTCACCAGGAAAGGTGAAAGTGTTTCCTTTTCTTCCATAGCAAGCGTTTTTCATCTTTGTTTGACAACTGATCAGATTCAACACTGAATTCCCTTCTCTTTCTGAACTAACATAAGTCGCGAAAGACCATTAATCTTTAAGCCAGCCCATCTTTGATAACACATTTTGCTTTCACATAGCACTTGACTGTGAAATCGTCCAGTCATTTTTCTTCACGTTGCTTGTAATATTAAAAGGTAAAATTAATGTTCAGTAAGACGTGCAATTCGTGTGAAACGTTTGACACTTGCGAACGTCCTAACGCTCTAAGGAGGTGAATCATAACAAGCCACAGGTACGTACGATGTTTACCGGGTCGAAAAACAATTCAAATATCATTTTAAACCACTCAGGAATTTTAGTGAACTCTGAAACGCCATCTCTCGCTCCAGCACCACGCCCTACCCCAACACCTTTACTCTCCTCGTCGATTAACCTCTGTTTCTACTACATGTAAATATACCTCATCCGTCTCAGGGACCAGGAGTCGTCTTGGATTTAAGATCCACAACTGACTTGGACTGCAATTAAAATAATTAAACGAAAAGTTGGAAAAGTTTCATCTCAGAAGACCCTGCACAGCATGTGGAGCCTTGATAACCTGACAAATTAACTTTGCTTCTGTTACTTAAAGAGGAAAGAATCTTTCTCAGTGATTGTAACTTGTTCGGCGCCAATAATTATCACTTAAAAATCGTTAAAAAAATTATCTTCAATTCTTCTGCTGTAGTATCATCTATTACATAAACTAAAACAGAGTAGCACCAGTCGTACTGACGCAATGTAACGTAGTCAATCTGTTACATTCTAGTATGAACATAAAATACTTCGCTTCGAGTTAACACGACGCGAAGGCAACAGCAATGTTTTGTTGACAAATCAACGGTGAGTAATTAGCAACGACTCTCCACGTGGATCACAGTTTTTACAACATTCCTCTTCCGTCCTAGTTGCGCAATCACGTCGTGAATTTTCCATTTGCCACGTGTTAGGAAGGACACGACACGAGGTTTTCATCTTTCAAAATCTGGAAACAGTCTTTAAAACAATTCAACTCCAAGGGAATTAGATTGACCTATATTTAACAGCCTGGAAAATTTAAAATGACCGCGATGAAAGTCGAAAGAAGGTGAATTTACGCTTTAATATTAAACACACCTTTTCCAGTTCCAAAGACAGCAAGAAAACCAAAGTGCCACACACAGTTCGAAAAATCTGAACACGACTTCCATGGCATTTCTACCCTCTATAGGCAATCTACAAGGTAGAAAAATTATTTAACTCAGTAATACCATATGGCGCTTTTTTCCACGATCTTTTTTTTTGGGACGTCGCCGTTGTCGGATCGTAAGGTCGTAGTGGCAGGACAAATGCAAGAAGTTTTATCATTTTGCTATCGGGAGGGGGCTTAACCTCCTTCAGTATAAACAACCGTCTTACCTTTTTTCATGAAAAAGGTAAAATGAAGCTTTCCAGGGTGTCTTTCTTTCTTTGAGAACACGCGCAAAAACTTCAAGTTAAATCTCGTACTCGTACTCAGTCTCGTCCTCAAATGTAAAGCTCTCTATTTACTTATTAATTTTTTTTCTCAGCAAAATCGTAACTGGCCGCATTGACCAGGAAGTGATGGTGTTTCTAACGCTGTTTCGCTGTGGAGGTTACGATACGTTGTGAAGCTAACCTGCTTTTCCATTTCTCTCCCATGATATCACCAAGAAGAAACAATGAGGTAAGCAGCTGCAAATGTACAAAATATACATGAAAAAAAATTCAACAAAATACAATTTCGTACTTCATAATTTCAAGGCAGTTAGTTTGGCTCACTGATCACATACACTACGGCTGCCCCTATTTCAAGTGACGGGATGATTGAAGGTTTTGAAATTTTCGGTTGCGGGATTTTTTGGGTTAGAAAAATTTGCAAGTATTTTTGGGGTGGCTTGAATTAAGTAGGGATTCGTGGTAGTGCCCGCGTATACCGGCCGAAAACACAGAAATCAATTTCTACTTTATTTTTCGTGTTATATCATTTAATACTTTCTGGAAAGTTCTAAAGCTCGGAAATTCGGGATGGGATTTTTTCGGGGTTAACCTTTGGTCCAGGGACGTTTTGGGCTTTTGTTGGAAGCCCTCGGGTTTTTTGGAGGTTTTGATTCTTGCCCCATTCGATCATCCCCGTCACTTGAAATATGCACTGGCATTCAAACCAAATCTAACTTCCCTTGTACCAGTCAAACACTCTTATTTTTACCTCGATTATTTAAAAACTCCCGACATAAAGTTGAACCGATTTTCTTTTCCCACGGTGGTTGGACAAATTAAGATTCCACTGAACAGTAACAAAAAGAAATGTACTTAACAAACAGAAGTAAGATTTTTACAGTCGTGACTTACCTGAAAGGATGCCTGTGAAAATAGCCCCACCCTTGACATGGTAACTTGGGTGGTATCAACAGTTGCAGATTCTATTAGACTTGTGATAAATGCTCCACGAACCTGGACAAAACGACATGATGAATCCACTTCACTAAAATTTACTTGTATGCACTTTACAGCCAAATGAATAACGTATTTCTAACAAAAGGTAAAAAAATATGGGACAGAGAGGGGATCATAGGGCATTGGCCAGGATATGTGAATTTTACTAATTAAAAAAGTTATTTTTAGAGGTTGTAATTAAGCGGAAGTCTAATTCCTGGGAAGTCCCCAAATTTCAATCAGATGTTTGAAACGTCATGAAGTCCATGCACGACTGGCTCAAGGCAAAAAATGCAGAATATTGTAATGACGAGTGTTAAATTGACAATTTTCTCTTGACAACAATAAATAAAAGTCTGCTGACCTCTCACAAAACTAACTTCATCTTAAAATAACTTTAGTGAAATTCACATATCCCAAGGGCTAGACAGGGTGTTTTTCCCCTCTGTCAAATTATTCTGTCTTGATTTCTAATTTAAAAAAAAAAAAACAGACAAAAACAGACCATGATAACTTGTATTTTAAATACCTTGTAGAATAGCTCAACTCCATAAATAAGGAAAAATGTCAGCACAAGAAACATCAAAACAACAAAAAAGCCGTTAAAACTGTTGTATAAATAAACCTGAAAAGAAGAACAAACAATCAAACAAAAATTTAAGACATTAAAGTACTATGGCAATGTTGTAGCACACTGAAGAATCATGCAGCACAAGCACCCTGAATCTAGACAATTTTTAATTTTTTCAATCAAATTATTATGAAATAATAATTGATAAATGAATTTGATAATTTATTAATTTCTATAGTGCCATTATCAAAGTAAAGATTTTCATTTGTACATTTCAATGATACTGTGAAAAGCTAAAAATAAAAAAATAAAATAAAATTGACTAGCTATAAAAATGTAGACATAAAATTTATTTAAAAAGCTTGATTGCTTTCTTGAAACTTTGCAGAGATATGTTTGTTATTGTACTTGGAAGATCACTCCATAGTTTAGGGCTGGCCACACAGAAAGAATGATCCCCAAGTGTGGTGAGCAATTTACACAGACAATAATTAAGGCGTAAACCACTGTTGTATGAAAGATATCATGTATCAAGTACATAAACATTAAATTTCACACAGTGACACACAGAGTTTTCATATGAATAGCATTATATAACAAGACCAACCTTTGTCTGTTTATCTGTAAGTTCCGTTGTAATAAGATGTATCAGAAAGATGACATACATAAAGACATTAAATATGATAAACCCTACAGAAGATTTGTTGAGAAAGCGTGGCCTGTCCAAACGTAAGCCAGCTACATGAAATGTCTACAACAAAATAAAAAGTAAAAAATGTCAACAATGTTGCAACTCTCAAAACATATTAACTTACCCTAGTTAAGAAAATTCACTTAACTTAAAGTTTCAAATATTTCATTTACCAGTTTAAAAAAATTCCATCTCTTTTGTCAATTATGTATTTTTACCCTAGTTTGAAAAATGTTCAGTATGAAACACATAAATGAATTTTAAAAAAAACACACAAAAAAACATGCCTTAAACTGAACAATTTAACATTATTTAGTATTTCTCTTTGGCTTGTCTTTAACCAATATCTCACAAAAAGTTCTTAAAACAGTTACTTGGCTGATTTTTTCCCTTTTTTCCTCTATGACTGTTACATGTAATTGATTAATGTGAGGAACAAAATGATTCAAAACCCCTACATATGATTTGACTCTTGAATAACTCCAGCATAATACACTCTGTAAGTAGGAACTGAATACAGACTGTGCAGGACGTACCTCAGCCCAAAAGCAGATAATTATTGTGAATCCAGAAATAATCACTGGGTAATAAGCATTGAAAAGATTTTCTCCCACGGTGTCTGGAAGATACCTCTGCAAAAAAAGTTGGATAGTCAATTATTTTAAACGTGACTTGATGTTCCCAGAGTTTGTTTAAATCTGCAGTTTATCCAGGCCAGCGCTCCAAGCTCATTTTTTCAATAAGTCGCCTTTTGGCGACCTTCATTTTTAAAATGGTCGCCAATGGAAAATTTCGGTCGCCAAAAATTGTCGTTTCATTAACGCAAGACACTTCATGCTACTTACATGAAGGAGCTACTGCTGAACGTTGTGTACGGAAATAAATCGTGTTTTGAACACTCCATTGTTACTTGCCTGCGGGTTGTAAACGCAGTACAAGATGGCAAAAACAGGCAAAGACACTTATGAGAGGTAACCAGAACAATTTACTACAAAGTCGGATGTTGAAACCCGGAACATGTATTTGCAGTGATATCATTGAAACAAATCTGATCAGATACGATTACGTGAATATACATTTGTTCGTACCGTCTACTTGCTAAGAAACATCTTTCTTTAGCTAAATCACTGGCATTGAAACCACTCACATATGTAAATTAAAACTTGAATCAACAATAACAATAACAATAACAATACTTCTGGCCTAAATAAACGTTTCTTACTTCAAAGTTGATGACAAAAATACTGTTTGTACGTGCTAAATGAAACTTGCCTGAATAACTTCCACTCATTGTTGACGTATATCAGTATCAAGTTATTCTTAGTTATCCTAATAAATATCTATATATGGTTTTCTAATCACGAAAAAGCAGTACTAACACTTGAATTTATCACGACAACGTATTCAGAGGAGAATGTAAAATATACATTTATCGCGATTCGGTGACTAACTGCATTTACCAAAACATCGATCAATGGCGCTGATGTTTCAACAAATTAGATTGCTGGTTTACGTTGGTACTTTGTCTTGAATGATAATATTATAAACAAGTAAACAGATTGGGGATTTAACTGATATTTTTGCAAGAAAATCACGTTTACCACTGATTTCGTCGATTTTTCGCTGATTTTTTATATCCAAAACAAATCCCGCTCATACAAAGCCTTTGAGCTGACTGCATGTAAACTTTGTCATTCACCAAGGGGTCTATCTATTTTTAGTAATTGTGCACAGCACCATCAACTCCACGTGTTGCCTAACCTGCGAGAGCATCCGGTTTTTTCGGCACTAGCTTCACAAATCACAACGCTTGTGAAACTAGAGCCGATAAAACTGAATTCTCTCGCAGGCTACGTGTAGCCAGATCAGCGTGAAAAGTGCCTGACTTAACTTTTCTCACGGGAAATTTAATATTTCTTCATGAAACACATTTACTCCAACAAAAGTATTTTTATTGATGAATATAATAAAAACAGCTTTTATTTAAAAAAAAAAAAACGCAATAAACGCAACTTACAAGAGCATACGACTTGCCATCTTTTGTGTCAAAAATTTAACTGTTTCTGTCGGGGTGGCCTGGGTGTAAGTCAACCCCCGCCGGAAGTAGTTTGGGCTCTCCCCAGTTTCTCCCACCTGAGTTTTCAAAATGGCCGCTCAATGAATTCGAAGCTGCGATACGCAGATCCTTATGCCAGAACTGTACAAATGTCTTGCCATGCAAGAGGAACAGATTCATCATTGAATTTACACAGAAGAAAAGCTTGGTAATATTTCTTTAATTTAACGATGATTCAGTTAAAAAGCGATAAAACGTGAAGTCAACTTTATTCTTTTGAGCTTATATCCTTTGGTCGCCAAATGGCGACTTTCGCCGATAATTCAGTCGCCAATTTTTTTTTTCACTCGCCATGGCGACCAAAATGGTCGCAGCTTGGAGCGCTGCAGGCCTGCTATTATAAAAGAAAGGATTAATTATTTCCCTTTTTTATATAAAAGTGCATTTGTAGCTTAAGGCTTAGATGTACATATACCACTCATTATTTGTAGGCCCAGTGTTTATTGGGGGCCCCAGTATCAAATCACAAAATTATGTGGCAATTACATGTACAGTACTAACAGGTACAGTGTTATTAACAGTTACATATACATGTATACCAGCTCACCTTTATTGAAAAGTAAACACCTCTTGAACCACACGCTATAATCATACACAGGTAAAGAGTCTTTTGTACAGTTAGACGACAAGCTTTAGCTAAGGTTGGACTCTTTAGCTTCCTAAACTCTGACCGAACACAGAGAGCCTGCCAAAACCAAGAAAAAATATTTTTATATCATTGGCTGATAAACTTCAATACAATCCCAAAAGCAAAATGGGTATAGTACAACAGCAGAGTCAGAGCAGATTCTATAGGCAGTGATTTTGTTATCTCTGCATCCTATGTCCGACGCATTAAAATTCCCAACGACACAAAATAACTTGTAGGATGCAAGGATAGATTGATCGACCTGAAGATGTTTTTGCAGAGTATCCTGTTTGTGTGATTTCTGTGGCTGTTCTTGTGGCTATTGTTTAACAATGCATAATTCTTTTAGTCTTTGTTGTGCTTGATTATAGAAGGAGTAAATTTTAATTTCAGTAAACTGCATGTAACACAGAGTTTTTGAGTCTGTCTTCAGATTAACTGTAGATACATAAAGACCCAGGGCCTCATTGTTCCTTGAACTGGGACTCAATGGTTCTGGAGTGGGACTCACGCTTTTTCACAAGATGAGACCCAGGACTTACCATAACTATTTGAAACATTATCACTGTATAGTACAATTGAATTAATCATTATCATAATGCAACAAGTACGACTGTAGCCCGAGTAAAACAGCCACCATTTGTGATGCCAGCACTGGTTTCCCCGTAAAATGACATCTGAGAAACGAGCAAGAAGAAATTCCATACTGATGGCACGTAAATACACAGATCTGGGTTGTGCTTCTGATTGGTGGTGCTGCATGGTAAATTTGCTTCAGCCAATCAGAAGCTCTACCCAGATCTGAGTGGTGAAGCGACATTAGTACAGAATTTCTGCACCCATTTCTAAGACATATTTTCATGGGGAAACCACTGGTGGCATCGCAAAATGTTGGCTGTTTTCTCTGCTGCGGTAATATAACTGACAGTATTTTCATTACTTTACTTTTTTTATTATTTTGCACAGAAATTATTATTACCAGCTGAGCTACAGAAATAGCACAGACAAAGAAGAAGACTGCACTAAAACCAATGAAGTATCCAGTATTTGTGTCACTACATGATCCACCACTGTACTGGACCTGGAGAAATAACAAAAGGAACACATTCATTCACTCTGGTTGCTGCTGCCAGAGTCCACTTTAGTACCATTGATTTATATAGCTCTGATCTAATGAAATAATCCCTAAGTTAGCAAAAGGCTCATCTTTATTATTGTTTAACAAACTGGGTGGACCACCAGAGCCAATTTACTGGAAAGGTGAAAGCCTCGATGTGAAACAAGATGATAACTCTTTTACTAATAACAGTTCTTCGTCACAAGACAAAAATTTAAAAAGACATTATCGTAGTTCTTTGGTTTTTGTTGACTTGAATGAAAATGGCACCAATCGAGATCATCAACTATCATCTGATCTGATCATTATATAATTTTTTTAGAGTTAAACCATCCATGAACCTGCAAACTGACTCTGTTCATGTTAAGTGTTTGTTTAAAGAATTGTTTTGAGTGCTTTTCATAGTATAATAGTTTTAAACTATTTAAAAATTTAAGAATTTAAATGTTCTCCGTTTTCACTGTCACTCAATCAAAAATAAAATTGAAAACCATTCAATACAGAAAGTCCAGAACCTAGGAAATAAAAGAAGATAAAAAAGCAAAAGGCCTCGCCAAGAATCAGGTCTGTGCAATATTTCATAAGTGAGATATTCGGAAAAATGTTTTCCTCAAATTTATAAAGCTTTGTCTGGAGACGCCATGTTCGTGTCCCTTTGAGGGGCACAAATATGGCCGCCACAAACCAGCAGAAACATCTGTTTTTGAGTTTTCCTTCTACTGCGTGAATTCATCACTTGAAAAACTCATAAAGGATTAAAGCGATATTTATTCTGAGACAAGAAATGTTTAGAAAGCAAAATCTCCCAAAATTGGTAATGTTTTTAACCCACATAACAGCCTTCCCAGCCGCCAGCTAAATGCCATTCACACAAAAGCCTAGAAATTCAGTGTCCTCTATCGCAAAACGAAGAACCCTTTCGAACCAAAACTTTGTTTAAATAAAGGTGGTTAGGTGCTGTAATACCTCATGAAACTGAGAAACTCAGAAGAATCGATAGTTTCTTAGTTTGAATTTTGGTGACGTCATGTGAAAACAGACAATAGCTTTGCATAATCTGTTTCTTATAGTCTTGAAAGAAGTGCTACAATTATGCCGAAAAGACTTTTTTTACAGTCATTTTTTATTTTTACCAGCATTTTCTTCAGTAAATCGCTGTCAATCAAAAGTGATGAGGGCCATAAAAAACTAGTTTACAGGTACCAAATGTCACCATTAATTTTTGCTATTTGAGAACTGATGTGGTTTTTGCCAGTGGGAAACTGGTGTTTCCGGCATTGGAAAATTAATACAGAAATTTTATATCCTATTGTTTGGATATCCTAGTCTTTTACACTTTCCCTAATCTTCACATAACTTGAAAGAGAAAAAAGAGAGAAAAAAATCAGCATAATAAAAACAATGGAAAGACTAACGAAAGAATAGCACGTCTGTACATTATTTCATATACGTTGCATAAGCTTATCAAAATGTCACGATATAAATCTTAAATGTTAATGAATTCCCCGGTGTAAACAGATAGACCTTGATATGAGTCACTATTACAACATATAACGAAAACCCTGATTATCGTATCGCCATATATATATAAGCCTATACAAGCTGAAAGATTTCTTATAGGTGTAATATAAAGACACTGGAAGTGGCATAACGCACTATGTAAAAGATTTTCTAATTTGGCATCGTTTCTAAAGAAACGCAATTAGAAAACACAATTTAATCTTATTGTCTAGATTGCGCCAAGCCAAGAGCATCGTTCAGCACAGAGTTGAGCGAGACACATCTTCAAATCTCGCTTTCTTTCGTGCTGACTTAAAGAAAGTATTTAAAATTACACAGAATTAAAGAGGAAAACGAAAGAATGTCCTAATATAACAGTTAAGCTTACCTCGCAAACGCAAGAGCCTCTGATACATGAACCATGGCCGCTACAATCACTTGGACAGTCTTGCGATCTGCCATCGTTCATCTTCATCAGATAATAGCTCATAGTTGAAAGCAGTATTACTGAAAACTACTCTTCAATCAAATCGGTTCCAGAAACGTACCTGACGTATATCTACTTGATGTTTCGATAAACGCGGAAAAAAACGAAGCAAACACAGCTCTGTCATCAGCTTACTTTACAATGTATGCAAATCGACGTCATTTTCCGAGCTGTCTGAGGGACTGGGTCGGTTTGTGGGTCGGCCGTTTGGTCAGGCGTTGGTCAGGCGAGTTCGTGGGTTATTCAAGGTGACTTGTATTTTTTCGTTACTTATTTATTTACCTATTTATTTTAGATCCATAGACCCTCCTCATCATGACGGGTTTTATAGTTCAGGGCCTAGTTGTTCGAAGGCTGATTAGCGCTTAGACCCGGGGTTAAATTTAACCCGGGTTTCTCTTTCTTGTGTTCAAAAGCATTTTCTCGGATAATTTTCTCTGTTCAGTTTTAGAGCTTCCAATCATCAACTTGTAAGACAAAAAGAATTAAAACGGAAATGTCGAGAAATACTTTTTAAGCTTTCAAATCTGAATTCAAATCTCTCTCTAACCCTGGGTTATCTTAACCCAGCTTTGAACTGAGAATAAGCAGTCACAAACTTAGGATTGAGACAGGTAGATACGACAATCTACCACGTGGCGAAAGGTTATGCAATCTCTGCAATTGTAACAGAATTGAAGACGAAACTCACTTTTTATTAGATTGTCCAAGTTTCTCTTCGATAAGAGATATGTTCTTCTCTAAACTAGAACCTAAAATACCGTTTCTACGACTACAATCACATGAGTCCCTATTATCACATCTGATGAATTCTACTGACTATTTTATTAACATCCAATTAATTTCATTTATATCAACTTGCTTTGAATTGAGAGACAAACTTATCTCCGGAATAATTAATCCTACTGATGGTTAGAAATAAACAATGATTAATAAGTTTCAAATTATTTTAAATATTTAATTTACAAGGAATCAATGAGTAATTTCAAGTAGCTTTTGCAATACTGTAATACTTTGTTATGGTCATGCAAATAAAGCTTATTGTTGTTGTTGTTGTTGTTGTTGAACAACTCGGCCCAGGGAAGAAAGACGGCGACGGTAACAGCAAAGGAAAAGTCAAAAAAGCAACAGGTTCGGTAAAAGCTTCGTTCTGTTACAGATATAGCCTGGGACCAGGCTCCGCATTGTGGGAAAAAGAAAAAAAAATCAGCGAGCGAAGCGAACCGAGAGGTAATCTGCGGGGGAGAAAGGGTGGCCAGACCACCGCAGTCTCGCTTCGTTCGCCGATTTGACCCCGTTGCTTGCCTTTTTCCTCCACTACGGAGCCTAGTCCCGGGCTATTACAGATATCGAGCAGAAATCACCATTCCTTATGTCCGGTACGGTTTTCGTATCAGCGCTATTCTGTGTATCGTTCAGGCCCCGTCCACACGGATCCGAACATTTTTGAAACCGCTAATTTACCCGGATTCGTGTGGACGGGACCTTAAACCATTCTGGAGAGCAGTTTCAAAACAATGCCAGTGGCGAATCTAGGGAAGGGGCCCGGGGGACCCTCCCGCCCATTATTTTTAGACCAAACTGAGGCCCGAAGGGCTGAAGAAAAAACTTTTTGGAAGAGACCGCCCTCCCACTCACTTATGTCAGGGTCTGGATGAACCGCCTTATCTGAAGGTCTGGATCCCCTACTGAAGGCGGTTTCGGTAAGCGGAGTCAGTGGTTTCGATTCGTGTGAACGAAAGGCTGATTCGCGGCGGTAAAAAAACACGTACTGTCGGCTCCCGATAATTCGAACCCTCAAGGGAAACTGAAAAAAGTTCGAGTTATCGGGAGTTCGAGTTATCGAGGGTAAAATTGTATAGAAAATGTCCTGAAGGGAATGAGAATTGCTTGGAGTTAGCGGGAGGTTCGAGTTATAGAGGGTTCGTGCCCGGGGTTCGAGTTACCGGGACTCGACTGTATTCAGACCGTAAATCCTCTATTAAGCACCCCAGGAGGCTTATTTATTTCAAGCCAGTTTGAGGCGGGAGGTGGGGGGGTGCTTAATAGAGACGGAGGGCTTATTTAATTCAGAAAAGACGATGGTATCAGTTATAACAACGGCAAAGAAATGTAGAAAAAAAATTAAAAGTGTACTGCATGTGCAAAGTTGCTTTTTGCTAATTAGACCTACTGATTTTGTTTGGCTGTTTTTGTTGCCGTCGCCGCACGATCGCATTTTATTTGAGTAAAAGATAGGTATTAAGGAGAGCTTCCCTTTTAGCCCTAGCTAAATCTATATATTAATTCTGTTTCACTCAGTTTTTAAGTTCAAAATTGCAAGGGTTGCAGCACTCCACGTTAAAACTACATAGAGGGTGAACAAACGAAAGAAGGAAGACTGATTTTACAGTCGGGAATATATATATTTTTTGTGTCTATCAATATTTCAAAAGGCACGGCCAGGGATATTTACTGTCTTTCGAGTTCGACTTAGGCACTTGACTTATTAGGAGATAAGCCAGATTACATACAGTTGTTCTAGTGCTGTGTTGTGTTGTAGCTTAGTACACGAGTACAGCGTAAAGTAATAAAAAATAAATGTAAACAGTTACACAAAATCAGCTTTGGAAACGCTCTGACCTATTTTTGCCACTTTGAAAACCATTTACCTCAACCCGAAATCAAAGCTACTCGTCGGATACAACAATGTACATCAGAAATCCTCTTCAATCTTGCCTAGTGTTTTGATTCAATCTTCGATCTTTTACTGATCATGAAAACAGCTGAGAACCTGTTCCAGAGTAGTCTTCTACTCATCCTATAATATTACTTTTTGCATTTGATTTAATAACAAGAGTATGGATCGCGTATCCTGTGATATGCCAATCAGCTACGAAATGGCATCCCGCGAAAATGCATCAGCTGCCGGTCTCCCTTTAACTGGGAAAACGCTGGTGTTTAATGAGTGGTCGTTTTGGGAGCTGGTGGCTTACGAGAGAAGGTCACACGAGGGGCCTTACCAATGAGATTGTAATACATAGTATTGTTTTGTAGAATCTTAGTTGAATATCTGAAATGGCAGTTTGTTGAAAACGAAGATATCAATGAGAATCTTGATACCACATGATAAAATGACAAAAGAGATTCCCATGGCTAAGGCATTGTCCAAATACCATAGCGATGGAAAGTGATCTACGATAGCCTGATCCAACGCAACGACGAACATCAGACCACCCGTGAGTACGTCACCGATGCACAGGGTAACAAGAACTGAGCTTCTGATTTTTGAAGCTATCCATAACTCAGTCGCACCAAGTACACAGTAACTGAAGCAGAAAACTAAGAGTGTGGCCCACATAACTTCAGAATGTCTTGGGCTGCTTTTGTTTTCTAAATTAACATAAGAAAAGGTGATGATAATCAAGGCTTTTACGACAAAGGCTATTCCAAAAGCGATCGATCCTTGTCTTTCCCTTTTCTTTGCATTTTTTCTTTTTGAATTGTTCCAGAATCTCCAAGGGATGATTAAAGCAGTGAAAACTTCGAAGAAAGTGTCAAGAGCTGTGGCAAGAACGGCCGAGCTGCTTATCTTCACTGAAGCAGTGAACAAAGCCGCACTAAAAAGCAGCGAGGTGATTAAACTGGCTAGAGCAACTGCGAGCGAAGCTTTTCTCCACTTGTCATTTTCTCGCATTTGTAGTATAGTCTCCGGTTTATCTTCTTCTTTTTCCTGTTCGATAAAAGAGAAGCATGGCGATTTGCCAGAAACGCTATCCCGTTGCCCCGGATTAATTTCAGCTTTGAAACGAGCGGCTAGCCGTGGAGAACTCGGCGTTGAGAGTAAAACGCTAGAATTAGCCACGTTTGGTAAGTCTCTGTTCGGTCCTCCACTTTGCTGTTCGTTGGAGTCACTTGCCTCCATTCCTGAACTTTTATGCCAACTCCCTTGAAAACGGCAGCTGGGCCTTCTGAACATAGCCGGCCATCAGTTTGGCGACTGCAGAACAGCCGGGGCTTTTCAGTAGTTTAAATTATTCAAGACTGAACTGAACTCGTTAAGGGGCTATGCATCACTGAAACGCCCTTTCTCGATTAACTACACGAACAAACAAACCGTGACCGTGGTCACCTTGTGTAAAACTTTCAATTGTTGTTATCCGTCCCTTTGCTGTCGATTTTCAATAACTAGAAAAATCACCATTCAGTCTGAGCGCTGCGTATCCTCTAATTAAAGATTTTAATGCATTCTTGTGGCTTAAAACACGGTACACGCAATTTGCTTTCATTCGTAGGTCGCTACACTGAACCACATTACGTATTATTTTGCATTGATGTACATTCAAACGCGTTTTGCCGGAAATAAAACCTTGAACTGTATCCAACAACAAGCTTTATACTTGCATGACTAACTCATAGAGTATTGCAAAAGCTAGCGGGATTTCGTTTTGTGAATCTATTTCAGCTATTCCATATATGAAACTAAACTACGCTCTCAGTTAGTGTTCCGAAATAGCGTTATATCATGTCGTGAAGGGGAAAGTCATCGTGAAGCACGTCTATACTAACAGAGAGATTAAGATTCATGTTTACGCCAAACGGCAAAACGTGAATTTGAACCACGTGACCAATTTTTCCCTTAAAGGTCAAATGAACCAAAAAAATGACATATTTTCTTTTGTCGCTTTAACTTCACCAAACACTAAAAAGAACCATCCTAAGTGAGATTTGGGTAAAGATTTTTCTTCCCAAGCCTTCATGTAATATATCAAACATGAGACGCAGTGTTTCATCACCAGATGAAACACCGAGAAGAGAGTTGAAAATACGACGCGTAGCGGAGTATTTTTGACGAACTTCGAGGTGTTTCATCTGGTGATGAAACACTGTGTCGAATGTTTGATATTTCTTCTCAAACAAAATCATTTTTGAAGGAGAAATTAAGGATACAAAAATGAGCAGTTTTTCATCCGATATCCAAACACTCATTAAACATTAATTTCCTTTGAATTTTCTTTATGAATTATTAATGAGTTTGAGAAAGAAAGATAAAAGATCAAAATCCGAGCATTTCCGAAAACTTCACGAAAACGTTTCTGAAATGGCCGCTGATAGACTGGAGACTACGTGACGTCAATGTTGGTCTTTCAGGGCGGAAAAACGTTCTGCGCAAGCTTCTGCGCATCCCTTATCGCCTATCGCCTGCGTCGCTCTGTGAGAGTTCTGACTGAGACTGAATGAAATACACGAGGTGCGAACGTTTGCTCCTTGTAAAGGCTTTTTTTTTTGTTTTTGCTGTTGTTGTTGTTTTTTCGTCACTTGAAAATTATTTTGGATTCAGAACAACCATTGTTAGAGTAAAAACAGATCATCCGTCACTCTGAGGAGGAATAAAACGTTTTGAACATTTCCAAAGAGGTTTGTATTTTTCTGATAATTGTTCATTCGATTTGTGAATTAATTTTGTGTCCAGTTCTTCGCCTTCTTTCGCCGGACTAAATTAAAACCCGCTTGTATTCTGTTATTAGTAGTTACGGTTAGTTTTTTTACATGCCCAGATTTATTTAGCTTTGCAGAACCAGCTTTATCCTTGTCTTATGTCAAAGAACCGTAATGCTAACGCTTGCAAGTGAACAAACTTGAGCGCTTAAAACTTCAACCCTCGGAACTTTAGAAGGCCAGCAAGCTTACTCGAGAAGAAAAGACTACTTCGATCATTTTTCTGTTGCTCAAGTAATAATAGTCAGAGTTTTTTCCCTTTAGTTTTTTCAGTTTTAAGGTGACTCGACCCGGTTTTTTTGGGGGGGTACCATCCTACTTTGAAGCTCTCTGGTATCCCCACCTTTACTTTTATCGTAAGTCTAACACATAGAATGGATAATATATAGATCAATCTACAATATAACATAAAATTTTTGGCGATCGGAGTAAATGTCACGTGGTTATAATGCCACGCCCCTTTGAGGTCTGAGTCGAAAATCGGCTGTTGCCGGCATTTTTTTGTGAAAATCTCTCGGCTACCCGTAGTGCGCATTAGTGCCTTGCGCTGAACAGAGTTTCACCAAAATCGCAAAGACCCAATTCGAGAAATTCAGCGGTTTCCAAATTTAGGTCATAATTTATGCGAAAATGATAAGCAAACTTTACACAGATTATATCTAATAAACTATGAGATTCATCTCCTTATTTTGGGCATCGTTATAACAGATGAGTCCTTGCAAGTCAGCAAAATGCTTTAGGGCCTTGTAAATGCGCGCGATTTCGAGCAAAGCAAACATATAGAAATTATAGTATTCGCTATTTGTTGACGTTTGTCAGCGTTTGAGAGTCCTTCTCACGAAAAAAGCATTTTCTTAAAAAATCGTAGTTTTTTTTCCTTCAAATTTTTTCAGGGCCACAATTGATTAACTAACTACCCGGACTCTGAATTTCATGGTCATTGAAAAACTGTGACATTATCTTCTATAAGCTCAAACTTGAGTAAACATTGAAGATTTTTAGCGTTTTGGCTGAGTTTGTGCTTTGGAAGTTGTCTATTGTTTCTAGTCTGTCATTATAAAGCATTCTTGTTCAGCACGCGTGCAATGACCGCGCTTGGCTGACTTCCGAATGCTCCCCGAGATATTATAAATTTGGTACAGTGAGACAGGCCATCGCGTGATACATAGAGGTTTAACTAACAATTTTTAATCAATTCTCGTGCTTCCTGTGTCTTTGCAAAAAAATCAAGAAGTGCTACACACTAAGTCTACTTACTATTACAAAAATATCATTTTTTCATAGGTTTAATGCAAGCCAATAATTAAACCAACTCGTGACGGGAATATCTCGGTGAGCATTCGGAAGTCAGCCAAGCGTGGTCATTGCACGCGTGCTGAACAAGAATGCTGTATAATGACAGACTAGAAACAATAGAAATTTGAAGGAAAAAAAACTACGATTTTTTAAGAAAATGCTTTTTTCGTGAGAAGGACTCTCAAACGCTGACAAACGTCAACAAATAGCGAATACTATAATTTCTATATGTTTGCTTTGCTCGAAATCGCGCGCATTTACAAGGCCCTAAAGCGTTTTGCTGACTTACAAGGACCCATCTGTTATAACGATGCCCAAAATAAAGGGATGAATCTCTTGGTTTATTAGATATAATCCGTGTAAAGTTTGCTTATCATTTTCGCATTAATTATGACCTAAATTTGGAAACCGCTGAATTTCTCGAATTGGGTCTTTGCGATTTTGGTGAAACTCTGTTCAGCGCAAGGCACTAATGCGCACTACGTGTAGCCGAGAGATTTTCACAAAAAAATGCCGGCAACAGCCGATTTTCGACTCAGACCTCAAAGGGGCGTGGCATTATAACCGCGTGACATTTACTCCGATCGCCAAAAATTTTATGTTATATTGCAGATTGATCTAGATGTTATCCATTCTATGTGTTAGACTTACGATAAAAGTAAAGGTGGGGATACCAGAGAGCTTCAAAGTAGGATGGTACCCCCCCGAAAAAACTGGGTCGAGTCACCTTAATTCCATAGTTTTGTGATCTTTCTGTACGCAAATTTTCCTTTCACTCGCTGTGAAGTAGCGGAGAACGACAACTGCCAGCAGTGACTCCAAAACAATCGACTCTCTGCCCGTAAACAATTGCTGGAGCTGGATTTGACTAAAGCGAGCAAAACAAATCCTTATGTGTAGTTTTCTGTATTTTCTAATGATTCAGTTTGCTGAGTTTAATTTGCTTGAATGAAGACCCTCGCATGGACCAGTTATCACTAAAAAAAGTAGCTAATCTAGCTAAGTAGTCGGAATCATGGCTTGGCTGCGAAGCTTGCAACTGATCTTTTGCTTTTAAGATCCTTAGGTAGGTTGTTTCCGTACAGAAAATTCACTTCTTCTTTGTTAGCAGGTATAGGAGCCTTAAGCCTAGACTTAAGCCTTATGTTTTTTTAATGAAAATTTGTTGTTTTGCAACCTCATTGAAGCTTTTTTTAGTTCACTTAAGCTGAATTTTATGCATGATGGAATTGTTCTTTGCTTGTCGCATCTCTTTGCCAGCTTAAAGTGGCGTCTATGGTCCTTACAGTGACCTCAATCGGTAATTAAATCGTATACATAATTGGAAAGAAGTTTTTGCAATAATATAACTCTAACTTTGTTTGAAGGAAATCTTACTTACGCGTAGGTTTTTTTACAGGTGTTATGCATGTTCAACTTGACAACACAAAGCAAACTTAATCTGCGCGAAACGATCAAGTTTAAAAAACTATGGTTTCTTTGAAAACCATCTTGGGGAAGATTTACTAGATAAAGATTAACTCTTTTTCTGCCCACATATCAACCCCAAAACGTCTTCATTGAGGATTTTGTTTATTTTAGTGATCTGCGAAGCTAGAAATGTCCGATAAAGGGTGGGTTTTAAAACATCAGCTCGAGTGCGACAAAGTTCAGTGATTTCAAACACATTGTGGGCAAACTTGAATTTCTTTGGGCAGATTATTATTCAAAGATATTTTGTTTTTGTGTCCACAGTGGAGCTCCGAACCTTATATATCCAGGAACTTCCTTATATGAACACATTTTGTGAATGCATCTTGAAAAATATCGGACTCACGCACGCACATTTTCAGTACAACTCAAGGAAATTAGTAAATGTCGTTACAGTCCGTTTTACTATGATGTATTCTTCGAGAAAATTAAATAATAAGAAGAAGGTTATAACCACAGCTTGCAACTTTTGAAGACAAACTGCCTGTTCTTCCCCGCACAAACCACTTCTGCGCCAAGTCGACTCGAAAAACTCTGTCTTGAATTTCCCGCTTTTTTTCACCTGACCAACATTGACGTCACAAGCTGTTTTTTCCGACAATTTTTCCGACCGCTCTACGAAGATAAGGGCCAAAAAACAGCAATTTTTAATTGCGAATATCTCGGAGATACGTGCTTCAATTGAGCTGAAACTTCATAGTATGTTTATTTGGTTCATATTAAACACATTTCACTAGAATTGAACTAAAATAAAAAAGGTCGAAATTTTGGTTCATTTGACCTTTAATAGGCCATTTTCACGATGACGACATTTGACTACAACTACCAGAATTCATTTCGTTTTTGCTTTCTTATTTAAATTTCTCAATCCCACTGAGGATTAAAGAACAATAGCCTTAATTTGCATAAGAAAAAAACACACTAAAGGATTGTGGGAGTTGTAGTAAAATGACGTTATCGTGCAATTGTCCTATTGTCTTTAACTGGCTTTAACTAAAAAGCAAGTAGTTTCACGCCAGTTTTATACATAAGAATTGCTCTGGACAGTTTTCGTCTGCTTATTTTCTATTCTGAGAAATTCTCAACTTGAATATGACGTTTGCCGTTTGGCGAAAACGTGAATCTTAATCTCTCTAATATCTAGATGATCCCTCCATCAGTGCGAATTGGGATAATGGCCGTATTCACACGAGAGACGGATTATTCGTCTGAGACGGGTTATCAGTAGGATATGCGTCAGACAGATAATAATGGAACCCTCCGCTAAATTTTGAATGGACAATCCGCCTGACCTTATCCATCTTATCCCGCCAAAGCATTTTCTGGTCAATTACTTATAATTCCCGGGAACTTGGCTTGGGCTGGTCACGATTAAAGCCCTTTATTTTTAGTATCTCGGCAAATGCCTTTCGGTATTTTTGGCTCCTTGCACAATAAATATAAGGATTGACTGCCGAGTTACAAGCCAGAAAAGTTTGAACCCAAGAATACCCTTTTCCAAACTGTTCTGGTTTCGTTGAAGGATTAACAATAACTGGAAATAAAAGCATTGGTAACCAGCATACGGTATAAACCCCCACAACTGTGAATATGGTCCTGGCCACCTTTTTTTCCACTGATGAGCCCCCAGATACCATAGTAATGTCCTGGATTCTGTTCTCTTGGCGTTTCGCAACTACAAAGATGTATATATACATTGCTATTGTGCCAAACAACAGGACAGTGCTGTAAAATGCCACGTAAATACTCGAGAGGACTTCACGCGCGTAGAGGGCTCCAAATGTTAGAGCGATCACCCAGACGATAGCGATCTCGGCCAGAGCGTGCATCTTTGTCATTCTTGCTGTGTATTTGAAGGGAAATCGAAGCGCGAAAATGCGATCAATCGTTACTGCGAACATATTTGTCGCAGATGCGACCATGGAGAAGTGGCCAAAAAAGATCTTTGTTAAATAAAATGACACGTTTTCGTCTTTGGCATCTGGGTATTGAAAGTGATAAATGGACATCGGTAGAAACAACACGCATACTGTTAAGTCAGAGAATGCTAAACTGGCGATAAACAGATCGGGGATTGTCCTGAGGTGGTCGTATTTCGAGACCGCAAGTAGAACTACGGCGTTGCCGGCGCTTCCAATGAGGCTGGCGAAAGCGCAGATCAAAGAAAGAACAACTACTGCTTCCTCGGTTAAATAGGAAAGTACAGAAACAGTATCTTCAAATTTGTCATCTTGAGCTGTGCTTGAGCAGTTCCAACATGTTTGATTTGACAGGTTGGAAAGCCGTTGAGCCATGTTTTACGCTTTCTTGGCTTTAGATCTACAAAAAAGTGTTGATTTCTAAGTTTGCTTCATAAAGACTCTATAAATAAGAGATTGAAGCTTCTAGTTTTAAAGAGAACCTGCAGTAATCTAAATCTAAATCTTAGTGACCGGTCATTATTTATCGCCTGGAAGGGAGGAGGGGGGCGGAGGATTTCGGGCTAAACAAGGTGAAATTTAGCCGATCCCCCCTTTGAATGTTACTTAACTGAAGTGATCCCCCCCCATCACGTCTTCATTTTCCGAGCAAATTTGAGTGGTCCCTCCTCTGATTCCTTCCAAAGTTTTCATTAATCCCTCCTTTTGTTTTCCTAAAAATCAAGTAATCCCCCCAAATCCTCCGCCCCCACCAGGCGATAAATAATGACCGGTCCCTTAATTTTTTGTGTCATATGAAGCTGATTTGGTGACGTCATGATTACGTCATGATCTTCGAAAAGGGACCATCTTTAGTTTCGGTAAGGTAAAAAACGGCTAATGGATTAACTGAAACCAATTTCAATTGTACGGAAAGATTATTGAACGAACTGGGATTTGCAAAATCCATGTGGGACCATAAATAAACCAAATCAGCTTTTCATCGGGTATTTCATGAAAAAACTGGAAAAAAAGGTGAAAGACGCCACGCCTGCAGTGACTAGTTGCCGGTTTCCCCCCTCTCAGGGCCAGGGTTATGTTTTTACTTGCTGAGATATTTTTAAAGGAAGAATAATAACAAAAAATTCACCTTTCCGTGTAATTTTCAACGCAGCTAAATCTATAAGGTTACCGACTGACAGACTAAACCGTATATGAAAAATATTTTTATTTTCCTGTCAAGTACCCTTAATGGCAAAGACGAATTGACGCCAATATAATCTCGTCACTAAGCCCCATTCACTTTTATTGGTAAAATACAGGTGTGAATTCGACATTTTGGCAAATTAGACAATTTTGCAAGTCAATCAGATAGCCGGAGGCAAAAATGTGATATTACTGTAAAATCGTGCTGAGGTAGTTTTGCATAATTTATACTTTTCCGGCAAAGGTTTTCGCGTGATCAATTCCAGACCTATTGTGTGCCAATATCTTTAGAAATTCAAGACAAAAGCTTCGATTTTGACAAAAATGGGAGATTCTTTAGTTTATATTAATCCTTATTTACTTTTGCGTCATTTTAACGAACCCGAAAACAAAAAAACCGAAATCACTTAACAGGCAAAATAAAAGATATTGGGCTTTAAAATGGCGAGATCACTTTCCGAAGAAAACTTATCAAATGAGTATACCTAGTAGTACAGTGGCGCATGTTGAAATTGTTTGACCTGATGGTTGGAATGGAAGAAAATTTTACGGAAAACACAACAGAATTCAGTTCTTATGTATCCTTCAGTACAGATGACCTCCTAACAGGTATTTGAATATTACTTTTGTGGGTGTCAGGGAAATAATTAAAGTTGGTAAGAGAACCTTTCGGCCTTTGAAGTGAAAATGAAGCTTTTTAAATTTCAGGAAAGGTAGATAGTTTAAGAGTGGTACGAGTTGTCGAACACTATGAGTGTCATACTGCTTTGCAAAATTACTCACTTATTTAAAAAATTTCAGGGTTTCCCAATTCAAACCCCGTTTTCTGGCATTATTCTTTTTTGTGTGTGTGAGACATTAAATTCAGAGAAAATACTTATTAAAAAATACTGTTGTGTTTTATTCCGGCCCCTAATCAGCAAAGCGGATTTTGAGCCATTGGCCAAAGATGACAGTATGTTCTCACTTGGTAGTTGCTACGCTGTCCACTGGTTTGTAGTTAAATGACAGAAGCGAAACAGGCGAAAAGGATCTTATATACTCAGTACCAGAACAACAAAGCATCCACCTACCTGTTGAAGACCCAGAAACTGACTTGGAGCCCAAAGAAGCTCCTTCAGCGGGACACACTGATTAAGAATTATAATGATCGGCTACAATGTTATGCAGCGTCTTCACTTCTGCGTCATTTACCCTTACAACATGTTAGAAAATTTACGGCCGATCATAACGTGAGGGAAAGGGTGTAGGATATGATAAACTGTCAGTTAAGCATACGTTATTTGTTGACTGATGTTTACCATGCACAATCATATGACTCAGCCTATTTAGTATTTGCTAATAACTGCCCTGCGGCTACTGATCGCCCATTATCATTTTGTCAAATTGAAAACCGAAAAATTATGTGAAATACATTAAGGGCTAATGTACAGATTAGCCAATGATATTGCTAGAGCCATATAAAGTAAATGGTCAAAACAGAGTCATGCAGTAATTTGTAAAACCCATCTGAGCATCAAACGAGAGCAAATCCTTGGAATGAAATTCAGTTTCAAAGAATCAAGGAAAGTTACCATCTCAGCTGATATGCATATCTATCAGTCATGTCTTCCCAGGCCAAACAACTCGTATCGCGTCAATTGAAACTTTTGACTGTTAAGAATCTATTCGGCAGGTGCCAATATGAAATTGAAACGCGTACACGCAGTTGGAGTAAATAGACGCTTGTAAGCAGACTCCGTGTGGCTTTATGCCATGCCATTGTATGTACAGAGCCAGACGGGAATTCACGCGTAAAAAATTAAAATAGAGAAATATTCTATCTTTTCAAAGTTTCTTGGTGATTAATTTTTAAAGTGATTTTTATTTTCAATTTATGATTTTACATCACCTGAAACTGTTTTTCTCTTATTTTGCAATTATAATAGTTATCAGTGAGTTATCGGTCTGGATAAAGACTGTTTCACGGTTGCATTCGAGAAGTCTCGCCCTTCGATTCATTAAAGCGGCAAGTTACAATTAAGTACACCAATCTTGTTTTTTTTTTAACTGTGAGACCTCCTTTTCGTTCAGAAATACTCAAGCATAACTACTTTTTTCTTGTCGATCAAGGCTACAAGGAAAATTGAGGTATCTCAAGGTGACTGCGGTATAAACAAGGATTCAATACTGATGCCACCCGCTCGCTAACGACCCAAAAACACGACATTGACAACAAAACAACCGAGCTGTCTCTTTTTAGTTAATGAAATTAAAAACAAATGGCATTTATAATGATAAGCTAAGGCTAGGAATATTCAACCTCGTTCGAGGTTGCCAAATTAAACATTCACCTTCAGGCGACCTTAACCTTTAAAAATGTTATCTAATATACATTTCTGAACAGTTTTATGTTTATATTCAATGGTTTGTAGCATAGCTAGTCCATTACATGGTCTGTTATCCATGGCAGCTCAAAACTAAACTATGTACTAAATTTTTTGTCTTTCTTCGAATTACTCTTCTCTTTTCATCAAAATCTAGACTAACTAAATAAATACAATACATTAAAAGCGCAAATTTAAGGTCTTCGAAATTAAAATGCTCCATCAACTGTTAATGCATGTTGATGTTGCCTTTGAATCTTCTTTCACAAAGTTTGTGTTCACATTTGATGCCCTGACAAAGTGCCCGAATGCTGTAAGCACTCGCTAAAGTGAACACAACCTGCTTTCCAGGCTCACGCAAGAGGTTGGGCACGGTGCCGAGCTCTAAGTTCGAGGTTGAACCGCCTTGTACTCGGGCACTTAAGTCGAGGCACCGGCCTCCTGCGTGCACTCGCTTTTTAGAAAAAAAAAGAAGATCGTTCTAAATCTTAAAAATAGTACTAGTCATTCTTGTCAGTCTACATTTTCATTTCCATTATCAACGACAAAGCCTGGGGAACAGCCATACTGAGAAAAGAGCGGGCAAACAAACATTCATCCGCCATTTTGGAGCATACGTTTCTTAGCGACGGAAGTCTGAGCAAGATGTGAGCGAACCGACTGGGCTTGTCTGGATAGGAACAGCTCACATAGTCCCGCAGTGCATCAATGGAACGGCTTAGAATGAAGTCGACCATTTCTCTGTTTTTCAATCCCGAGCTCGTCTCTGTAAGAAAAATGGACCAGCAATAATTATACTATGACTTGCTTGAACGAGGGCACCTGACCTTTGCCATAAAACATAACAACAAGTTGTGAGTGGAAAACATTTTTAAATTATTGTGTCCGTTAAGTGTAGTTCTAATCTTGTCTCTCGTGGAACTGTAATCTTTTGATACGTCTTTCCTTCATCGCCCTCGACGTCGAGACTGAATCTGAAAACGCGCATGCCCCAAGAGACAAAAGTGACCTCTGAATAAATCGACCTCTACGAGCGCCGCGTAAAAATTCCCACTAAAACACACGTAAGGATTCAGAATCTAGGGGGGTTAAAACGAATCGAACTAAACGTCTGAAATTCAGGCCACTCAGCATCAAGATCCAAAAAATAATCACCTTGCTCAAATAGCATGATAGCGTTGACACAAGCAAATTCTGCCATGTCAAGTTGCAAGCTTTGCATCTTATAAGCAAAACCTGCCATCTGTGAGGACCATTGCTCCAGTACCATATTGAATGAGTGTTCCGGATTCAGAAGTACATCTTTAGCCACCATGACAGAGCCTTGATGTGGACTGGACCGCTGGCATACTCGAAGGACCAGTAACTCTAGCAAAGCTGGATCAATTACATAGTAGTTTTTATAATTAGTGCATGACTCAGATAATTTTAAAAAGAATCGAGGAAACGATCATTTACATTTGGTTGGATTTTTATGTTTGGTCTTTGTTGAGGATGATAATGTACCAGTGTCTAGGGCTAAGTTTACACCAGAGGAGATTTTTCTGGAATCATAAATGATTTCGGATTTATTACAAATATGATATTCAGATTCGCAGGCTTTTAGACACATCAGTAAATCCGAGAACATACATTTAGCTTTGAAGTATCCACTTTAAATTTCAGATTTCGTGATCTTCGCCGGGGCACACGACCAAACCAGGACGTTTTTATTGTTGTTTTACTTAACTGCCTGTGAAAGGCAAAAGGAATTTAATCCGGTCTCAAAATGTTCCGGATTCGTCGTAAATACGAAGAAATCCCCTCTAGCCTAAGCCAAAAATGTATGTAGATGTCAATCCCGGCCTATAACAGTAACAAAACGCAGACGAAATGTTTCCATTGTAAATTACATCAAAACGTAACATAGGAATATTACGCTTTCAATAGGGACTCATAACTCGAGCAGTGCTTAGATTCTTCAATTTGGTGTTAAGTGCGGAATTATCTTTTCAAAAGATATTGTACTAAATAAACAAGCAACCTGTCAGTTTTGTGCATTTACCTGAAGAAAAGAGGTTAGCCCTATCTTCACGATCCAGCTCTCTAAATCCGGGGACTTTGTAGGCCCAAGCCACCATCAAGTCGACCTCCTGTAGCATTAACTCCATGACAATTTCCACAGGGTTCAAAGGGCAGATGTCAGCAAACCCAAGGTCCATGTAGTCTGGTCTATTTACAAAATAATTTCATTGAGCTACAACGTTATTCAGTGCTAGCAAACTACAATACCTATTGAATAGGGCAACGGTAATGTATTGAATCAAAAACGAGAAGTCCAAAGACTACTGCTATGTAATATTGTGATTGCTACATAAGTTCAGTAACATCTATACTACCTGAAGAAGGCTGGTATGGCCAGCCGAAATATTGTTATAAGAAAACAATACACGTTGTTTTAAATCAGCTTTGCAGTAGTCTTTGGACTTCTCGTTCTTGGTTCTTTATATTTTGGCTGATTTGATCTCTTTTCTAGAGATCCAACGTTTACAACTAGCAGGATCTTCGTCCACGGTTTTTGCAGTTAATTCAATGTATTGAATGCAGTGTAGTGGTTTTTAGAGCCATCACAACTCTTAAATTTATGATACTCTCTCCTCTGTAGGGGCTCCTACCGGTATTCCAAACTTCAAATAAAAAATAAGAATAGTTAAGCGCGGGGGGGTGGGGGGAAGAAGATCAGATAGCAAGAGCGAACGGGAGGCCTCTTCCCTTCTCTTCATCCTTCCCATCGTCCACCGCGCGCTTTCCTCTCCATTCTGCCTGCAGGGCAGAGTTTACGATATAAGATGGCCAATTAAGAATAGTGGAGGTTGGTATTCATGACGTAATTGACACGTGCTGTTGGTTGCATGTTGATTCTCTCAAGTGAGGTGAAGTCTCCTAAGTTAATGTTTTGTAATACCCTTAAAACTTAGAGATTAAAAAGGAATAAAATATTCAGGAATTATGGTCCACTCTCACGGAAGAGCATGCGCAGGGAGATGAGAATGGAAACGAGAGTAACTTTGACAATTACCCACATTAGCCTAAATCAGCATAACCAACGCTGCAGTTTGGACATTGACTTGAAGGAGGCAGCGGGGTGGAGTGGTCAGCGAGTTGGACTCGTAATCCGGCGGTCCCGGGTTAAAGGCTGGTTGCCTCCTGCCAGTTTGGGTTTTTAATCCTGTTATGTTCTGTTATTTTTTCTAATTATTTAAGTGGAAAGTCTGTAAACTAGCTTAGGGTAAGCAAGGTGCGCTGTCCACTACTGAACAACAGCAATACTAAAATCAGGTTTACGTACTTCAATGCTCCTCGGACGCAGGCCAGAATGACAGATAAAAGGAGGCCATTTAGAAGAGCACAGAATGAGGACTTCTCTGAATTATAAATCAAGCCGGGGATCGGACCAGCTACTGTTCCGCTGTATAGCCCAAGGATATAAGACCTGAAGCCTGTAGCCATTTGTAGTCCCTAATGATCATAGCACCTCACTCTAATTAAGTACGAATAAGAAATGTAGCTTTAATATACCTTCTCTTTGGCACTGCGTCAGGACGGGCTTGGATAAGTTGCGTGATCAGTTCTGAGGAGACGAATGTGTCCGCGTTTTCTTTCATTCCCATTAAAGACTTGATACGTGGTCTGCCACCCGGTGCTCTGTCCTCTCGAACAGCTGAAAGACGAAAGCGGCAATGTAAACTAAATTGGCGGCTGAAAAGCGATTAGGTTAGTGCAAGACTGCTTAATTGTTACACGTGGAGAACCTTTGTCTGAGGCCTCGTTTATATGGAGCAAACCTGTCCAGGGTAGAACAGTCACCCTCCCAGCCGAGTCAAAATTAGCGAGCGTTCATGTGAGATAAAACATGACCCCTTTGTTCCAGCCAACGGCACTCGCGTATGCTTTGATTATCTCAACCCTGACCAAGCTAACCCGGCTGGGAGATCCAAAATGTTTGTATGGAGAAAAATTGGCCCTGCTAGGAGGGTGACCCTACCATCACAAAAGGCTGACCTGGGTAGGTACTATTCTCCGTCTTTTGTAGTTAAGAAAATGTATGAAAAGATGGCTCGCCCAGGGTAGCTTGGGTAGGATGGGTGACCCTTCTACTCGGGGCAAATTTTCTCCATATAAACGGGGTCACTGAGGTAGAGGTGAAGAGACGAACCCACGGATGTTTCTGACTAAAAAATAAAACGGTTGCATAAATGCAGCATTCATCACAAGTAGGGCTATCTTCTTCTGATTACTTTGGTATCTTTGTGAATTTTCAATTAGTATTACATCGCAAAAGACTGGATTTAAAAAGACATACTAGTAGTAATCGTATATTCTTAGGGCAAAGGGGTACGTGATACTGTAAAGCAGATACTTGTGAAGCGGCAAAGAGTGTGTGTAAGATGGTTTTGACGTGAGAATGAGGCAAGTAGCTTGCGCGAAAAAGAGGTAGATCTGTGTGACAGACGAAATGGCCTCCGTTGTCAATTTTCATCTACATCTGTTAGAAATTAGGAACTGTCGACCGCACAGAAAATAAAAACTATTAATTTATTATATTTATTATATCCTCTAGTGGTTTTTTTCGTTAACCATTTTTCTAAAGCCATAATTAGAATTAAAGAATAAAGATATAGAAGCCGTTTAATTTTCGAAATCGGCTGGGTTTTTGAAGATAGGGTAAAAGCGGAGCTCTAGCAGAAAAATAGTTAACAATCTCAGGGCCCTAGTGATGGAAGGTGTACCCTTGCTGTCTCAAATAAGTTTACAATTATTTAGGAAGGCACAAATTTCTGGCAGAAATAGAAGAAGACATACGGCATTTTTACTTGGCCGGCGAATTTTAAATTTTTACCTTCCTTGAGCATCCCTAAAGACAGGCATTTTTGAAATCTGCAGAACTGGCATCGAATCCGATTATTCTTGTCGATCTGACATGACATGTTTTCCACGCAGGTATAGTGCAGTTGTTTCTGAACTGTACGTTTAAAGAAGCTCTTGCATCCTTCGCAGCTTTGTACGCCATAATGAAACCCAGACGAACGATCTCCACAGATGGCACAAATTCGGTTTGTGTTGTATGATTTCTCCATTTTCTGCTACTATCCTCCTAGTCCTCCTAATCCTAACGGGTAAGAGAATAAAAAAATGTGCCAAGATGGTTAGGCACTTTTACAAACATTTCAAACTGTCAAACGCAAGAAAGCCCCTTACTATATCTTAAAAAAAGGCAAATTTCGGAAGACTTTACAAACATAATATCAAATAAACAGATTGCAAAGAAGACCTGGACGAGAAATCATAATTTTGAAGAGGAGTAGAGAGAGAAAAAAGAAACTTTACAAGGCTTTAAAACATTGGCCTCTTTGCGAGCAGAACCTACCAAGAAACTTTGTGTTACGACAAAAAAACACATCTCCCACCCTTTGTACCCTGTTCACACCACATCGATCCTTCACTCACCGTATATAACGAGGTCACTGTAACAATCAAACGTCACACTCTTTTAAGCTCCAGTGTTCATATTTCACTTTGCCAAATACTGAAAATCTTAAAGAACCACGAAAACGTATTCCTTAAGAGGATTCATAGCCACACAACTTATGATTTCGTCCATGTTTAAAAGCTAGAACTACATTATTTTTTTCAATACTTTTCTGTGACAAAAAAGAGACTGGCTGGTCTTGGCTGAACCTTTAAATCATTTTGAATATTAAGGAGAACATATTTTAGCATTTTTAGGGTCTTATTGCATGTTCTCATTTCTATCAGAGCAATAACATTTTCCCAATATTTACACTCTGTTTATTTCTAACCGAGGTAAACTTTTCTCATAAACAGGACAAAATTGATCGATACTAAAACCAATCTTTCTGCCATTTATCTATTTATCTGGTGGTATAATTTTCACCCAAAGAAATGTAATTACAGTGTCTTTTTATGAATGAAACAAAATGATTCTTTCCAATTATATGATTCCTGTAGAAAGGCATAGAAAGCATGTGAAATTTCCACATGTTGTACAACCCTCTTTTTGTTACATTCAAAAGGGGACAATATCCTTTTAAATTCTATCAATTGTTACTTTCACTGAAATGTTTCGAAATAAATCATATTTTACTCAAGGGGAGGACAGCTTTCGATTTGTCGTCCGCAGGTGCTTTCACGGCTCAATGCGAATGGCGTTCTAGATAGCGACTTTAAGTTCTCAAAAGCTCTACAAGTTACTGAAGATATATTTTACGTCTTTGAAGAATACACTGATGTTTTAAGCTGCACTTAAATGTAAGACATAATATATGGTCATTAAATAAAGACAAAAAGGCTTGACTTCTTCCCCGCGTTTACTTAAGCTCTCATGTATGGTTTATCACCCTCGGGTAATTCACTATTAGTGAAAGAACAGTTTTCGCTAAACAAATTCAAATGTTTGACTTCCACATTAAAATTTCTTCTTTGTCAAAGCGATTTAACTTGTAAAGCTAGCTCTTCAGTTCCTGTAGCTATAACATTAAAACGTCCAGAGGTATTCCTGTAAATATTATTTCTTTTAGTTCAACGAGAATAAAACGTATTCAATTAAATCTTACTCACCTGGGTAACAACACCGAAAATCGTTTCCTTGAATCTATTTCGAAGCAGGAAACAAGCCCATAAAACGCCTCGGCTCTTTCCGAGATTTCCGAACAAAGCAGAACTGACGAAAACCCAAAAGACTCTGTTCTTCCTGGTGTCAGTAAAATTTGCGAGAAAGCTAAACTGGAAATGCGGAAATAAATGACCTGTTTATTAAACAAAGCATCATAACTTAATTTTCCGAAAACGTTTACTCAAAAGACCGACGCACAAAATATCATGCGCCTAATTAGAAACTCAAACTTTTAAACAAATTTCCATTTACTCGACCCACTGAGTAGGGCATTTATTGTTAAGAGCTCGTGGCTCAGGGGAAGTCGATGGGCTTGATAAGACAGGCGGATAAATTTTTCATTGTTGTTTATGAAAAAGCAGTTTTGCAGCTGTTGAAGTTCTCATTTCGTTAGCAGGAATTTAAATAGTATTTGATAAGCGCTATGCAAATGTGTCATTGTTACTGTGTGCCAAAAATCAAAATGATATTCTTTTAATGTTTGTATTCAACTCCAGCACGTTTTTATATCTCAGTGGAGTCGGAAAGCGCTGTTCCACGAGCTGAAACCGTTTTTTGTTATCGCTGAGAACTTTTGATGATATATTAAAGTTTATTTTTCATCAAGAAACCCGTTTTTATATTTACTATGTCATGCAGGCATTGCTATTGAAAAACACCGTGTGATCAGTTTGACATACTTTATTGATTTTCTCCCGCGGTGAGTAAAAAGAGCCATCTTTAGAACAGCAACGCCTTATATCCTTTTCATAAGCTTCTCTAACGAAAAGTAAACATATTTTGTTAAATTGCTAACCTTTTTACAAAAAGACGCCGCAGACAAGTGTGACAAAGCTGGTCTTTTAAATTGTTTACTTAACAGCCCCGTAAATTACCAAGTTTCGTTTCGATTTTTCTTATTTCATTTTTTCGAAATAGAATTGTGAGTAACTCAAATGTATCTTTTTTCTGAAAAATGTTGCTCCTCTTATTTTTAAAAAAATTACTGATTGAACAGTGAACAGGGAGGGAAATTTCGTTTTCCACTATTCATGTTCAAGTGCTGTCAAGTTACCCTCGACTACTCAGTGCAATAATAGCTTCAGACGTCGCGAAGTAATAACAGCTTTTGCTCGACTATATGCACGTAGCCACAAAACCGTTCTGTCTTCTTACTTATCTTTAATTTGCCGGACAACTAGTAATTTTCAAATAAAAGTAATGAAACATATGTTAGTGAATACGCAGTTCAAGGATTACCCTTCCTCCTGACAAATTCAGAACTGTGTAATATTCTCCCCTATGAAACAGAAATCCATACTAAGCAACACGACGGGAGATGAGAACGAAAACACATTTGTTTAGCCTCGAATTAGTGTCCTTTCAGATTTTAACTGACTATTGCAACTTGGGCAGATCAGTTGGTCTAATTCTAACCCGGTGAATTTTCCTTGAGTTGAGTTTTAAGAGCTTTAGCAACGATCGACGACGGCGACTGCAACAAACTATGACGTCACAATTGAAATGAAAAGACTTCGCGTTTTCTCTAACTTAATTGCGGTTATTCCAACCAGTTTTAAATGTCAACTATAGTTAACTACAGCCGAGTTTGACTAGAAATGAATTCTTATTGAACAAATACAAGAAGAACGAAGAACGAAGAATTCGTCGTTTTTTTTTTTCTGCTTCCCCCATAAAACGTCGCATAAGGGAACTTCACGTCGTGCGGCAACAATTCTCCGCTAGAAGAGCCGGGCCTCTTCACTGGTAATCTGGGGCTTCTCTTTACCTCCTGCCCGCCGAACGCCAGGAAAGAGGCCTTGCTAGCAATCTGCACCCGCAAAATTGTTGTTTTGCTTATTAAACCTATCATTTTTAACGTTCTTGTTGCTGTTGCCGTCAACGTTGCTATAGAAGGACTGTTAGGCCTTCCTTCTTAGGGAGTTTTATGAGAGGGGATTTTAGAGGAAAGAGGTTTCTCCCCTTTTAGTTTCTCCCTTCTTCTATCCCCCCCCCACCCCAGAAACGGCTTATACTCAGGTTAATACCAAAGTTCCCTCCACTACGACGGAGACTAAATTTATCAAATGTTGGCGAATTGGCTGGAGTTCAATTCTAAAGGACTGTATCTTCGTTTAGAAAAAGAAAAAGAGAATCGTTCACCAGTGTACGTGTTCACAGTACTGCGGACTAGGGATAAAACGTGAAATTAAGAAGTTTTAAATCGTAGTCGTGCAACGACAGCAAAAATATGTACAAAAACACTTGATTCGTGAAGTGCAAAGTTATCTTGTAAATCTGCGCTTGTTGCTTCTTTGCCGTTCTCGATGGCCGAGTACCAGACCTACCATCCTCTTGAGCCCAAGCGAGGAAAGCTGATATCGAGGGAATGCTAATACTATTCCTGGGTAATTTTTATCGACTTAAGTAGAGAACAGACTTGTTCTTTTTCTACCTTTCGTGATTCAGGCCTTGCATGTGCTCGATGTAAATCTGAAAGATCTGTTTTAGCCAGGGCCGTTTCGGTGAGTAAAATAGAGTCCTATTTTTGAGTCTAATACAGGGCCAATACAGTCCAGTTACCTAGTGCTGATTTGATTGAGCTTTTTTGACCAAAATTGGGCTCAAATGGCTCCAAAAGAGGCTGAATCAGACTTTGGCCTGCAGGGCTGAACTGACCTTTTGGGGCTGAAAAAGAGCTTTTTAATTTTCAGTGTGTCTATTTCTTTGTGCTGTTCTGTTGTGGATCCTTGGTTTTCTTCCCATTGTATCGGTGGATTAAATGCGAATTAAAATTTTTCATTAGTTTGATCAGAGCCATTGTGCTTAGAATTTCCAGATCCTAAGCTTCACGTACATTTCTAGTTCCGTCAAAAAGCAGTTTTCATACAAAGAACATAAAACATCAATATATTTGCACCAGCTTGGGAATTCCTGGCAAACCAAGCAAACCTTCGTTGCGTTAAGTTGTAAGACATAGAAGATTTGAAGATCTCTTTTGATAAAGAGGCGGCCATCCATGCAATGGAAATAAGGAGTAAATGGACTTAATAGCATGAGAGAAGTTTATTATGCAGTTGTAAGAGCAACAATAGAACCAAGTCCGTACAATGGAATCAAAGAATAGATGCTTCTTCAAATCGTCCATAATTACAAAAAAATGACTCAAATCAGCCGATGACGGAGAAGGGATATTCTTTTCTTTTAACGCCTCAGATAGTCGGAGAATGAACATAGGTCTATGAGTGTTAAGTCCGCTATGAAGAAGCAAACCGCTGATAAGGAAAAAGCTTCATCGCCCATGTTACTTCGTCACACTACCATAGGAAAGTCGCCTCCTCAGTCACCAAAGTTGGCGGCCACCTTCAAAGCTGAATTCAGCCCTACTCCTGGCGATAATATTTTTGAAAAAGCACCATGTGTGTCCTTCATCACCGATGATACAGACACAAATAAACTAGAAACAGTTACGGAAGTCAACGAAAGGCGAAAATGGAGAAGAGCAGCACTGGCTGTTGCAATAGCAAGTTTAATGGCTTCGCTTTTGCTCTGCGCGGCTTCGTTTTTCGGCGCGGCCACTATGGGCAGTTCGGCCGTCCTTGCTTCCGCCCTTGATGCGCTCTTTTCCGTACTTAGCGCTGCTATGATGATCTGGCGGTTTAGCGATGACAGAAACGGCTCAATTGGTTCCAAGAGAGAGAAGTATGGATCGATAGTGCTTGGCGTTATATTCATAGTAAACGGCGTCATTACAATAGTGGTATCCACATTTCACTTGATAGACCAACAAAGACCGACAGACTCTAACATCATGTGGCCAGCTTTACTTTGCTTTAGCTTTGTTTACCTTGTCCTTGCCATTCTTAAATACTGGATATATCGACAAAATAAGAGCTGCGTACTTTTTACGCTAGTCCTCGATGATGCGTCGACCAGTGCAATTATGTTTGGTGTTTTTATCAGTACACTGCTACTTGATCAAATCCCGAACTTGTGGTATTTGGACCATGCAGTTGCCATTGCGTTTGAGTTGGTTCTTATAGCAACAGGCTTGAAGATCTTTGTGGATATTTTTGTTTACAACGAACGTGCTTTCTATTAAAATGTTCAATACATAAATTATTGATAGACTTGATAGTGCAAGAAAAGGAAAGAGACGGCAGGTAGACGATTTATGGTTGTTTCGCCTACGAGTCGTTTCGCCAACGTGCTAGGTCAGTTCCCCAACTTCATTAACGTAATAATGGCTTAAAGAACGAGTTCACATAACACTTTTACTTTTTATAGCTGAAAAAACTTGGTATACACATGTTTTGCGCTCGTTTTGTTTCGTAAGCGAAACGATCTACGTTAGTAAACGGGACGTTGGCGAAATGACCGGGCACTAGGTAGACTTCGTCTGCAAAACGGCTTTAACGAATCAAAACACTCTTGTGTTCGGGCAAAGTGCTAACTTTCGACACATTGCACCACACCAGCGTTTATTTTTTATTATAAAAAGTCAGGTTATAAAGAACTTCGCTAAAATTTACGCAAGGCCTAACAACATGAAATTGAACGGTCTTTTATTAGTGTATGTTTACCAAATATATGCATTCAGCTGTGCGAAAGTTTTACCGCGGTTTCTTGTCAGAGTAAGGTCTGGTTTACAGAAGAAACCTGTAGTTGAGAGATGTATGCTTGTTACTGGTGCATCTTACAGAAAATATGGGAAGAAAACTTTGGAACCTACTGATGCTCCTGTCCGCTTATTTTCAGGTTCCCCATCCTTTCTACACCTTACTGGCGATGTTCCCCAGGGGTCATGCACTTTTCACTAGGGAACGTGTAATGGGACAATATTTAACAATTGTTGGACGAGTTTTGGCAAAATATCGTGATTAGTTAGTGGCGACTAATTGAATTGCGTGTCGAGATTGTGCGAGACACTGACAAATCACAATATTTTGTCATAACTGAGTTCAATAACTGTTTTTTCATTCGGTCACCCAGGTCGTTTGTTTTTTTTTAATGAATATCTCACATTTTGCCATTTTAAAGCAAGAGCGATCGCAAGAAGGAGTACAGTGTGCTTTCAATTACGCATGAACAGCATATTCATTTGCAGCCAAACACGGATGGACGACATTGCGCATGAGCACACCCATTATTTGTAGGCAGTTATTTGCAGCTCACTTGGTGGGCTCTTGACCAATCAAAAAGGAAGAAAAATTTGCATCCAATGATAAAAAAAATATCGCGCGGAAAAAAGGGGGAGTGGGGGTAAAAAGAGCACGTTTAAAGTGGTAGCATTGGAATACTTTTTTATTATTGGGCTGCTCTTAGACTGTTGAAATACATGCGACCCTTTTTTGTAGATTTCTACTGTTGATTTGTCGATGGCCTGCAAGAGAACAAGGACAACAAGATTGTTTAACAACAATACAAGAAAATACCTACAATAGGTTGTTCAACATGTTCCAAAGCGGCTGGGGTAAAGGGATAGTTTAGTAATCAGTTGTTCAAAGCTGGGTTATGATAACCAAGGGTTAGTGCGAAATTTGAATGCAGATTTGAAAGGTTAAAAAGCAAATTCATTTTAATTCTTCTTGTCTACGATATGATGATTGGATGATCGTAAAAGAACAGAGAAAATTACCCTAGAAAATGTTTTCCAATAGAAAAAAGAAACCCGGAATAAAATGTCACCTCAGGTTAGCGCTAATCAGCCTTCGCACTGGGCCCAGGACCATAAATTAAAATAACTTAGACCTTGGGCAATAAAAGAGAACCTTAAATTCGCGGACGACTACGAGTTCGAGATTTAACATATTCTAAAGATATATATACACCCAGAAGTCTTTTTTGGACTTTTTTTTTCACCATAAAAGTCAGAATGATTATTTTTATTGAAGGAGATTAAGTCCTCTCACTATCGCAAAATAATAAAACTTCTTCTTTTCCCTCCAAAATGACGCTGGTTTACGCGCGCACTATTTAGTATTCGGCATTTGTACACCTTCCATAATACCCGTTGTTTGCTCAGGAGAATTTAAAAACAAAGTTTATGCAAAATTTTGGTGAGCAAACAACGTGTTTTATGGGAGATGTGCAAACTGTGAATTGAGAAAATCTCGTCGCCGTCTCCAGTCGTCCTCATCTTAGAATCCAAAGGTCTATAAAGATAGCCTTGAAGAGGTAAAATAACAAAAAAGGACGACAACTTACTTGGCCCATTCGACATTTAAGATAAGATGATCGTAACCAAATCCCTTGAGCGCCATAATCGCACGGGCTGCATCATCGCGTCTTTGAAAGTTTATAAAGGCGAAACCCTGCAAACAGAGAAAATGGAAATTTTTATAGCCTACTCTTTAAAGTACCACGAGTGACCAACATCAATTTTCTTCTGACAATAGTGAGTTTAAGCAACCAGAAGGCAGAAAGAAGAGGACGGCAAAACGCTTGTGTCTGACAAACGCGACAGGCCTATTACTTATGTCTTTAGTGGTGATCTTCACTTAAGTTAATGTTTTCTGTTAAAGGCGGGTGAAGTTTGGCGAAAACGTTTTCAAACAAACTTATTGTCACGCTTGTCACGCAAGGTTTTAAGGTTTACGCCTTCTTTCCTCTCCCGTCCTGTTGCGTGAGCTCACTAATATCACCACACACATGTATTCATGAGAAAAAGTTAAATGAGAATCAATAAAATGATCACCGAAAGGAAAATACTTTCCTCTTTTACAAATTCTCCGAACTAATTCTACAAGGAAATGTACGGAGATAAGTCTGGAGAATTTGTATGTGGATATTGGGGTTAGGGCCGGTTAACTATCTGAAAGAGGGACAAAAAAGGGGCCGCCATAAGATTGCGAGCAAGTCAAGCATCATACCTTTGACTGGTTAGTTATCTTGTCTTTGGCTAAGAAGATCCTGGAAATATAGCCAAATGGACGGAACAACTCATTCAAGTCATTTTCTCTGGTGTCTTCAGACAAGTTTGTTACCCGAATAGTCGCTGTTTCATCTAATTAAGGTAGAAACAGAAACATGATAAATACATTAGTGCTTTACAGCCTGTTAAAGATGCTGGAGCAAGGAAAATAATAAAATAATAATTACCAAAGATAGCCTGAATTTCAGACAATTACTTCGAGTCGTTTTTACTCCCTCACGACTCGAAGCAATCGACTGTCGGCTATAGAGTGTTTTCACATGACGTCACGGCGGCCATATTGGTGTCCCAAAACGATGAAACGGCGGCCATGTTGGTTTTCCAAACTAATCCTGCGGGAGTTGAACTCTTTTCTTATGCAAACGCTTTCTTTTGTTCCAATAAATTTGCATAGATGCTGGCCACGTGAATGAAAACACTCTATACCAAAAGGAGAATGTTTAGATCTTTTATTAAATTCTCTCAACTAATTCCATAAGGGAAATGTATGGAGATCAGTCCTGAGGATTTATATATGGACACTGGGGCTTAATGGGTAGTAACACTATCAAAAATGGTTCAAATTTTAGAGTCCAGAAAGATTCATACATGTCATTGGTGTGACCATTCAGTTGAAACCTCTTTAGCAGTACTTTTCCATGGTACAGTACAATGTACTATTTGTTTTCCAGTATTTTACAAAGTGAAATGTGGACATTTTGATGAATTTTAAAGGCACTGCGTCACGAAATTCAGCCAAATTAGGTATTACAAAATGCCTGTTAAATCCAAGAGAAACATAAAAATAACCGCTTAAAACATTAAAGGACAGTCAAAATAACACAACATATACAACAGATGCCACGGATGGGCAAAACTGAGGAAGATTGAAACAGATTGAAATTAGGGGTTTTGAAAGCTGTTCACTCTAACAGTTTTTCAAAGTTGATCTCTGCTGTTCGCAACTTCAAAAATAATGCTCATGAGACATATTTGTTTGTCTTGAATCTCTGACTTTGTCATTTACATGTAATTTCTTTGCTTATTTTAAGTTCCATAGCGATTGAGGGCCAGTAATTGGCAAAATTAAACAAAATGATCTGGACTGCCGTGACACAGCCCCTAAGTTAACTTTAGCCACTTTAAAAGTAAATGCTCTAAGAGTTCAATACTACAATGTACCTTGACGCTGACGGGGCATAGTCTCTCCTCTTCGGTTTGCCGCACCTTCACGCAACCCAGGTGCAATGTACTTCCCAGTCTTGGATGCTGCAGATGGTTCTGCAGTACCTGCGGCTGCTCCTAAAAACAGAACCACAGCAAACCTTGACTCAAAACAAACAAAATCAAAAATGAAAAGTTCCTCACATAGCTTTCCGAGCAAATTTGGCGTTATTTCTTACATGATCACATTTTGACAGGCAATCACAAGAAACTCACAAGACAAAGTGTCCCAGTACATTGTCAGAAGTCTGATTCAATGTGACATCAAACATGCCAATATCTTATGCTAACCTCCAACTGCCCAACGGAGAACAAATTTCCTTTCCCAAGCTTAGGGACTGTTTTTCAGAAGGGGGGAAAAACTCATATTTCATCCCTAACCCCCACTGTTATGTTAAAAATAACGCCGCACCCCCCCCACAACACTGGTTAACTCAAAACTGGACGGCTGCCCAATGGAGAACAACAAGGATGTTTCCTTTCCCAGGGTGCTTAACAGGAGATTAGCAAATATCACACTGTACTTTCCAAAAACTGGAAAGTTGACTTTGACCGCAGGGTAACCTGTTAATTACTCAATCTGCAGGAAACACAAGGAAAGCTTTATAACCTCTAATAAATGTTAGACTCAGAGCGGCAAAAGTAAGATTTAGTCAGATTTTAGAATACTCCATGCACTGAATAACCTTTGCAAAGGAAAGAAAAGAAGAAAAAACGTAACTCTGGGGTCATGTTTTTACACTACCACGAGGTTATGAGTCATGTTTAGCGTATCAACAGTTTATTTCACAACTGATTGGTCACTTACCCTGTGAATAAAACAATGGGAAAGGAATGTTGTTCTCGGTTGAGCAGGTATTTAAGTGGGGAGGGACGAAATATGAGCTCCCCTAAAAACGCCTGAGTGGGCAGCTAGTCTTTCAAATTAAGAGTTTGACTGGACTTAACAGCAGGCAAAACTTTGCTAAACAATTTCTAGGATTGATGGACAAGAAAAATGACAAATTTCTCATCTTTTAGAGAGCAGTTATTACAAAGTATATATGTAACCTCAGTGATACTGTAAACACTTTACCGGTAGAAGGTTTAGAATCATTGACTTGACTTTGTATCATTTCTAGTTGATCTTTGTACGGGCACTTGGTAGTCCAATGGTCTCCTTTGCAGTGACGGCACTGTACAATCTTCTGCTGGCTTTGACTTAGCTTCTTAAGTGGATCATCATTTTCCTGTTGCAAGTCCTAGAAATGTCAATTGAGTAATAACTTTTATCTTTTCAATTTCAAAAGAGCTAAAAATTGCTCTTCCTGGAAAATCTTCAACCCTCTTTTGACCTTCCATCATGTGAAACTTACAAGTAAGCAAAGCACAGCCTTTGAGCAAGAGCATTTTAACCTTTGATCAATCTCACCTGCTCTCCCTAATCTTAAGCTATTACTAGCGAAAAAATATTAAGGACACTTGCTTTTTCCCTTGCAAAAGTCTAGTTATTAATTTTGCAAGCCAAGGAAGTACCTTAGTTTCTGTAAGACCCAGAGTATATATCTGGTCAGAGGGATCAAATTTGCAACCTCCCACTAGGGCAGTCCATCACTCTAACAACCAAGCTAATCTTCCGTGGTTTAGTTTATTTTGCAAACAGAATTATAAGAAAATTTACAAAACTGGTCAACATAATTTTAAGTTACCTCCTTGTTTGAAGTGAGTATGAGGAAAACATCATCAGTGACTGTAGTTGTTGATGGATTTGGTCCTGGACCATCATTCTTAGCATCTCCAAATTTCTTCCATAGCTAAGACAGTCATAAACAACAAAGTAGTGAATGACCCATACACATGTAAGCAAAAGTATTCAACACAAAATCAAGGTGCTAGCCTGCTTTGCCAGGGTATTTTTCACTCAAGAGAGCACTCAACATTCCTGTGTCTCATTGCAACTTTTGATTTTGAAAGCAGAGCAAGAATATGGATATCCTTGTTGCAACTACAGACAGGAATTTGGAGTGCTCTCTTGTACAATCAATGATATTTTTGCCTCTAAATCATATAAGAACAACTAATTTTGAAACTGCAAGAACTAATACATGTAACTGCTTCATATATATTTGTGCACTGACTCAAATAGCATTACAAAAGAATAATACCTTATTATAAGAAATTAACGCTTGAGTGTTAAGGTATTTGAAATTAACGCGACTTAAATTAACGTGAATTAAAGGAAAAGTACTTTCCAATAAAGAAAATTACCGGTAACATGAAAGGTGGGGTAAAATTTTAAAGGAGAGAAGATTAATGCGATGTACAAAAAGAAACAAAGTTGCTTAAACAACAGGAACAAATGTATTTTTAAAACTTGACCGAGATCCAGCAAGCAGATGTTGAGAGTTATTCTTCTTACAATGACCATGGAGATGAAATGTTGTTACAGTAATTAATTTGTGAAAGATAGATCTGAAATAAAGTGCGCGAAACTAAAGCTAATCAGTTTCCTCTGAGTCAAAAATGTCTGGAGTATGTCGAGAATTTGGACCCAAAATGATAGACCCAAGGTCCAAACAGCCGGAGCTTATACCCGTTTCCATAGCATGAAGCATGTCTAGAAGTATTGCTACTCCCCCCCCCCCCTGGATGGAATCCTAGTCCATGGCAGGGTTACCCCCAGCAGCATGTTGCCGGTACCCATTTATACAGCTGGGTGACGAGAAACAAAGTGGAGTTAAGTTCCTTGTCTAAGGAAACAATGTGATGGGCAAGGCTTGAACCCTGGACCTCCAGATCCAGAGTTCGAGGTGTTAACCGCTCGGCCACACACACCTCCACAACAAAAATCGGTTAAATCATTCCTGCTCAAAAAGGCAATTCAAAAACATAACTAACAGGCTTATAAATACGTTCGGGCTACCTTAACAGCTGGACTAGTGGAAATTAGGTTATTAACCAGGGCTTATTAAGGGTAAGGCTCTTAATTGAGAAGATGCAGTACTCAAATTTGAAATACAGAACATTCACTTACCTTTCTTTTTGCTATCACCTTTGAAACTCTTTTTGTTTCAATTTTAAAGGTCCTCACAATCTGTATATGAAATTATAACACTATTATACGGTACTGTGCAAAAGTAAGTTGACAGTCGCGACTCAAAACTCGATTGTCGCGACTTGAAGCTCGAACGAATTGAGTTTTGAGACACGCGAATCAAGTCTCGAGACGCAAGAATTGAGTTTTGAGTTTCGAGAAACCAGCAATTTGAGTATGCATCACTCCAGAGGATTCTAAGAAAATGATTTATTTCTCAACAAAGATAATAGCCATTCTGATTTATGCTAAAGCAAAAATCCACGCTGACCATCGGCCCTTGACATGTACACTTGCCATGTGCAAGTTTTTCCGTGATAAAAAAGGACCAATAAACAGAATAAACGGTTGTTTATCTTGAATTTCGGATAATTGAGTCTCTGTATTTTTACAATATTATGAACTATAAGAGATGTTTTATTTTCATGCATATTAAATGTTTGAAGGTATGTAATTATGTTCGTCGTGACCGCGTAGATAAATTTAGAGAGATATGATCTTGAATTATGATAGCTGCCCTAAATGTTTTTCATAAACTTCACTTTTTTGCGAGCCCTTCAAGAATTACCACAAAACGTTTAACAAAATTAGAAAGGCATAGTGTAAAGCTGACAGAAAAGTATATAAGAAATCCCCAAGTATAACTATTTATAGCAAGCTAGAATGCTAACATAAAAGTAAAATTTGCACATGTCAAGCATAATTTGAAATCACTTGCTTTAACTTGACACACAATTTGCAACACTTTAATGCATACAACAGCGCCCTAACATTTCTAAAGGCAACAGTCATGCTAACTGAAGGTTTCTCCAAGACTTTCTCATTCGAGGTCATTTTTAGAGGAGAAACTTGAACTGCACCACAGGGGAAAAATTACACAGCATTTGTGCTTGTTTGTTGCCTTTTATCAGCAGTAATTTTTAGCCAGGGGCCAACGACCAAAAGTTTACATTTTAGTTTTAAAAGCACAGAAAAAGCAGGGAAATTGTCAGCCATTCAACTCGCCCATTAAACGCACGGATACAATTGGAAAGGGCAAATTTTGTTTCACACGAAAGACAGAGAGGCTTGCAAAAGCCATTTGTGGCAGCCTGCAGCATGCACTTCACGACCCTTTAAACCAGAGAGCTGTCTGCTTGATGAATTTGTTCCTTGAGAGATCAGTCAAGTGACAAGCTCATTATATTTTTTGACTCGACTCTTGATACTTGAAACCCAAGAATCGATCGATTCTCGAGACTTGATTCTTGAAAGTTTCGAGTCTCAAGACTTGAGGATCAATACTTGAGTGACTTTCAACTTACTTTTGGGCGGTACTGTAATATGTTGTGAGTTGAATTTCATTGATGGTTTAAGTTTTATTTTCCTTTTTTATGGGTATGGTAATGTATCATACTGAGTTTGAAATATAGAAGAGTCATTTAAACTAAGAATAGAATTGAACCATGACATGTACATTAATTTTATCTGATCAATGTTACATTAATTATTTTTCATCTGTATTAACCTGTGTATATTTACACAGTGATAATTCACCACTTTAGAAATGATGAGGAGGTTGGTACCAAAATGCCTTGTGCGCAATATTGTTTCTGGGATCATTCTTGGGGACTTCCTGGTCAGCTATTGGCCAATTTTCAGGGGCACCCAACGTCAATTTTCGGAAAATATCTGTTCAGAAGACGATTTGAGATCTAGAATTTTCAGAACATTTGTTGCAAAATTTCTTGCTTGTCTGCCTCTCCTAGAATTTTCGAACGTCTAAAAAATGGTATAATTGCCCATTTTTAACGGATTTCTACCCTAAAAAGGTCACCTAGAATTTTCAGGAGCCTTTTTCTGGCTAAAATTTTTGAAAAGGTAAGTTTTGATCTCTAGAATTTTCAGATCACTAGACTTTCAGCTAGGAAATCCGAACAGCAAAAATCAGCAAACGTAGTACGTAAACAGCTGGCTGACCTGAGTAGGAAGATCAACGCAGAAATCAGCCCAGTTTACACAAGTAGGAAGATCAAAGATGAAATTAAGGTCAAGGAAGACAAGCCGCCTCTTGTGAGTCAACAATGCGTGGTGTATTCTTTCTAGTGTAGCCTGTGTGATGCAGGCTATGTCGGCTACACGTGCCAACACCTACACCAACGAATTGAAGAACACAAGGATCGGCAATCGGAAACCACCTCAGAGAGCAGCATGATATGGAGCCTGAAGACATCGCACAAAGTTTTAGAATCTTAAGAAAGTGTCAGAACAAATTTGACTGCCTTATTTTTGAAATGTTTTTTATCCAAGAACTGAAACCGACGCATAACAAACAGTGCGATTCAATTCGCGCCAAATTATTTGTTTAGAGTAGTTCTTGTTAACACTGTTTTATTTCCATTGTTTTTTGACTTTATAAATATTTTTAGCACTTTTTACATTTTTACATATTTTATCACATTTTAGCGTTCACCACATTTTTATCTATTATAACTTGTTTTTAACTTATTTATGCTAATTTAGAGAACTTTTATACACTTGAAAATGACCTCGGAGAGGTCGAAACGTCGTGATTTTTTATCGCTAATATTTATCTCAAAATCGAAATCCGAACAGATGAAAAAAAAAAAGCCTATATCTACCGTTTAAATTATACTAAAATACGTTTAAGAATGCTATGTTTACCGGTAAGTGGTTTTGAACTATATTCTTGTTGGGTGCCCCTGAATTTTTTTCCCTGTCCCTAGTAACAGTCCCTGGAATCTTTTTGAAAGTAAACTTTGCCCAGTTTCCTAAATGGTAAAAGAGTTGTAAATATTATAGAACCTTAAGTAGCTTTCCATCTTCATTCCTTTTGAACTCAGTTACAATTTTTGTGTCTCCTTCAATAACCTCTGATCCAGGGGGTAAGTGATCTAAGAGGAGAAAAATATAAACAGCCGATAATTATCTCCACATTCCTTTGTTGGTCTTCGATATTAAGATGAAAACAGCTTCCAAAACACCAGACACACTGAGATATTGACGAGTGATACAATGTATGGTGGAATGATGATTTTTTGAACCTCCAGGGAGTGAAAGTAACATAATTTGTAGTGTTTGACTGAGGAAGGAAAGAGATAAACTAATTTTGCTGGGACTGCTTAATAGCCGTACCTGATTCTCCTTCTTCCACTAAGTCGGCCCAACTTGGCTTCTCACTGTTTGACAAGGTAAAAATAGTGAAACAAGAATAAATTTCTTTTCAATTTACTGCAACTATGTGACATTCATAACTTAACAAAATGTTCGACTCTGATCTGCAATGATCAGCTCTAATATGACCACTTTTTTGGGCTGATGGTTTTAAAATTTTCCATTGTTTTACGTTATAATGAACGAAAGGGAACCGTAACGTCCTACAATACTATCAAGTTAGCGGCTAAATTAAATGAATGTTGCAGCCATCTTAAAACCAGCGAAAGAAATCGTCAAACGAATTTCAACTTAAATACACGATAAACTGTATAATTTACGGTGGAAAAGGGTAAATGAACTCTTACTCGGTGTCTTTGTCTAGAACTGGCATCCGTCTGCTGATAATAAGTCAATTACACCAAGTTATTTTCCAAAATTTTTTTTGAAGCAAACTCCTCACGCGTTTAAGTCGTAAATCTCAGCCCACGGTGTGATTGGAATGCGGCAAAATAAAACAGTGTATGAGCATTACCCACAATCCATAGAGACATAATTTTCAAGATGGCGGACGAGGTGATTGGAATTTCTACTTTATTTAAGCTTTCTGTATTTTAGCATTTATGATAGGTATATTACTTTTCGTCCCCAGATTTTTAAAAGTCGTTTATGAAAACCTTACAACGATCATCGATGGTTGTGTAGCTATAGCTTTGAATTCAGTAAATCTCATGGTTTTTGAAAGTGATTTTATATACGATTAAGCTTAAATAATATTAAGCTTAATTTAAGCTCGCTTTATTTTTATGTCTCGTTTCGGTCCTTGCGCCTAGGTGGAGGAAAAGTGCAAAAAGAAAAAGAAAGGTAGGAAAGGATTTCTTTCACAGCATCACTCTCATAGAACCTCCTTCTAATCAAGCAGCAAACCTTTATGTAATTTTTGTTACCTGTGTAGGAATATGTAATCTGTTTACCCATGGAGCATTTAGGAGTTCTTAAGAACTCATTGAACCGTGTCCGTGCGTTCCAAATCGAATTGGAATTTGGAAGTGTTGGTTTTTAAGGAGAGGGCCAGAAAACCGGAGTACATGTTGAGAAAAACCTCTCAGAGCAAGGGAGAAAACCAACAACAAACTCAACCCACACATATATGGCCACAACATATGCCGGGATTTGAACCAGGGCCACGCTGGTGGGAGAAGGGTGCTCTCATCGGTGGACCACCCTTTCTCCAAATAAATGATAATAGTGTACGTACGCGTGGTGTGTAGCTTAAGCATAATATGGGATCAACAGGTTGAACCCCTTAAAAAAACCCTTATATGGACCCCACAAGCCTTAGTTAACACAGCACTAAAGGCTTACTAAGTACGACTATGTAAAGTCAACGTATCTCACAAAGCTTATTCAAAAATAGATGTTTATGTTCTTTAGTGAAGAAGCAAAAATTAAAGAAAAGGAAAAGAGATCCATCTTCAGGAGAGGAAGGCTCTGTTTCACCATCAAAAATAGAAAAGATAGATACCAAAAAATCCCAAGGTCAGTGCAGCTCTAATTAACATTTTTTTGTCTGTCAGTAAAATTTACTTATTGAGGGAGTATTTTGAAAATGCTCTGTGAATGGTCATACTTGTTATATGCCACTTATTAACCAAGAGTGAGGTCATTACGGGGAAATCTCAGACCAAGACGTTGATGTATAATCCATCAAGGCCGAGATCTGAGATTTCCCTGTAATGACCAAATGAATGAGGTTAATAAGTTATTTATTATATGGCCTTTTTAGCACTACGTGAAAACACAGGAAGTAATTTTCAACATCTGCGTGCAAGAGGTCATTTGTGGTCGTGTTCCCTGAACCGAATCGAACCTGGCAATCCAATCAAAACCACAAGACAGTCTCTGTGACAATGAATAATTTTGGACCTGAGCCTGCAATCAATTAAAAATAATAACTGGTCAGCAGATAACTTTAAAAAAAAGTCACCTCAATGAGTGGTCAGTTGTCCATTGAACATAACATGAATGTGCTTTATCAAGTTAAACATGGATTGTATATGCCTTGGACATCCACCAAGTAATGCCTGGTCATGACAAGAAAATATTGCCTGCTTTGCAGCCAATCAGAGCCACACACTATTATAGCTATATAATAAACCATTCTATTGCCCACTTGTTTTCTAATTTGCAGGTCAATTTCAAATTAGTCAGAACTCTCACTACCCTTTTTGTTTCAGCCTTAGCTTGAAGTTATAGGATCCTGTGCTCTCCGCCAAGTCTATATGTGAAAGTGTTAATTTTGAATTTTTGGTTCTCAAATTTCTTTGTCTTCAAGTCCTAGGAAGCAAAGAAAATTGAGAATCGACCTAGGTTAAAAAATCACCGGCCCCAGCTGAAACTTTGTATTTAAGTTATAAATCCAAATGTACAAAATCAGTCCATAACCCACATCTAACTTGTTTTGAAGGAGGTATGTAAGACGGTACAGTATACATGCTCAGGATGAACTTTAGTAATGTTGTATTTTGTAATACTATTCTTTAGGTCGTCATTTTACTGTCAGTCTTGCTCTTCCTGGCTCCATCCTTGACAATGCACAATCTCCTGAACTAAGAACATACTTGGCTGGCCAGGTAGGGAAGGGGTAGGGTAGGGGTAGTGAAGAACAACTTTAGAAAGTAAAGGCTGTAACCATGCCAAGGACTTGTTACTTTTTTGAACTTCTAATAAAGTAATTTGTAAAGCACTTAAAAGTCCAACAGAAGCATTTGTATGAATGAAAAACCTTTAAGAGTTTCTTGGGGCTTATTTCTTTAAAGGCATGGTGATTTTTTGATAACAAAGCCATATGATAATTTATCAAATTCAGTCAAGTCTTGAAAAAAAAGCACTTTATTTGAGTGTCAATGTATTTAGGATGAAAGTGCCAATTGATGACACTATCTTTACATCCCCTAATGGAGACGGGACTGCCATTTGACGTGGTCATTCAAGCCACTGGAAGGTCAAGCCACTTGTACCTTCATTTCTCAGTTATTTTAGGACCCTGAGTAATGGTCTGGCCCCAGGAATCAAACCCACAACCTACCGCTCTGCAGTCAAGCGCTCTACCAACTGAGCTAATCCTTCCTTGGTAACTCTTATTTGGGGAAAATAACTCATACCTTTTTTTAAAGTTTGCTCAACCTTTGGAGAATGAATTTTGGTGTTTCTTCCATCGTTCAAAGATCAGTGCTAAGTTGTGTTCTTTGATAATTCAAAAGCTTCTCATGATAAAACCTTGTTTACTTTACAGATTGCACGTGCTTTGGCAGTTTTTAGTATAGATGAAGTTGTCATCTTTGATGAGTCTGGAAAGACCCAGAGTAACTCTAATGGTGGTCTGAAGAGACACTCAGATCCTAATGTCTTGCTGGCAAGAATACTTCAATATCTGGAGTGTCCACAATATCTCAGAAAGAATTTTTTCCCAAAACATGCTGATCTTCAATATGCTGGTATGTAATCAGTGATTTGCATCTTGAAGAGAGTTTTTGCAAAAATGCTGCTTGGAACCACTAGTAAATCACTGCCTTCCTAAACCTACTGAAATAAAGAATGTATGTGTTGCAGGTCAAATTTGATTTCTGGTTAATTTTGATTTAACCTAGGTTGATTCTCAATTTCCTTTGTTTCATAGCCATAATTCATGAATAATTAGAATCAATCTGGGTTAAAAAAAATTAAAAATTTCCCACGATCTGACTGATCTTAGTGAGTGAATTAGTTTGACTTTGGAGCCACACTGGCACAACATCTGATTCAGACAGCACACGGTGTGTCAAGCCTAAGTTAAGTTCAACAAAAGTTCGCAGACTCTGTCGAACTTAATTAATGCTGTTGCTGCACCAAACTAAAACTGCCGTACCAAATTGATTCAGACTCTGCTCTTTTGCGCATACTTAATTCATCAGTTAGCTTCAGCACATGAGTGGAGGGGCGTGTGATGCGGGCCTTATTAGATCATAATTCCTGATCCCAATCAACCCAAAGGAATGTATCCTTGCTTTTGTTTTTTTCATTGAAATAAGAAAAGAACAAGTCAGTCCACAAAGACTTGTGTGTCTTACAGTTCCTTCTAAACATGTTTAGTGTCCAATATACCATAATAATAAGAAATTATGACATTATTATTTTTTTTGCCAGGTTTGTTAAATCCTTTAGACACTCCCCATCATATGAAAGTTGACGATGATGTTCCATACAGGGAAGGGGTGGTGCTGGACAGACCTGCTAAGTCAGGATGTGGTTCATTTGTAAACGTGGGTATGAGGAAGGAAGTGAGAATTGACAAAAGCATTAAACCAGGGGTTCGAGTCACTGTCAAGATGGGTGACACTTCAAATCCAGGTATCATCCAATAACAACTTAATATAATTATTTAAGCCAACTGATTAACTATTGTTGTTAGAAGATGTGGTGATCACTGGTATTCCAGAGGGCACCGGTGTATGAACCATTGTTATTCAACTTCAAACATATTGATCTTAGATGTCAGCTTTGTTCATTGCAAACAGCTCCAAGGATTGAATGCTAAGTTAGTTTATGCATTCCAGCATTTATAGACTTAATTCTTAACGTCCATTTTAGATTAGTCTCTTGTAACAAAGTCTGCAGCATTTATTTCTCCTCTTTTTGAAATAGACTTCACAGAAAGAAAGCTTAGATTGTAAGCATTGCAACTCAAGTTGCAATTCCTATCGAGCTACAATCTTGGACAAAACGGCCAAGTATAATCCATGGACGTTTCATGTCTAGTTTCAAGATAAAGCTCTTGAAAGCACTGGCTATTACAAATACTCCCCTCTTCCCCCCTTCAAAAAAAAAACACAATACTGAAATCCTGCGGGATCATTTCTGACCTCGAAGTCCAACTAGATCATTTCTGATCTCGACCAAACAATGTTGATCAGGGTGGGTTGAGGGGAGGGGTCATAGTGGTACCAAATCTACAGGATAGGATTTCTGTGGCTAAGAAAGTGCAAAATTCCTAACATTTTTTGTCAAAGATTGTAGCGCCAACAATATCTCTGGAATTTTTTAGAAAAGCATTTCAGGAACTGTAGGAACCCTTAGACATCAGAATTTTTTTTAAATAGTTCTGTTTGATGTAACAGGGGCAAAATTCTACTGTGGAACAGTGGTGTCTCCTAATGCTCCAAGAACAGAACAGGGTTTATACTGGGGCTACAATGTCAGACTGGCTCCATCTTTTGGAGCAGTGTTTACACAGTGTCCATTTAAAGACGGCTACGATGTTACAATAGGAACCTCAGAAAGGGGTTCCTCAGTGGATCAACTACAACTGACGGACTTCAGGTACAGTAGAAAACATAAAACCTCTTAGGACTGAGTGACAAAATCGCGTTAGTCCGATTTGTTTAATCACGAGTAAGTATGATTACAGACCGAATTGGAGGACATGAAGTTCTGTTACCAATTAATCATAACTATGACATGACATTTAGGGCTTTTTTGAATAAAAACACAAGAAATTCTAAGAGGTTTTTTTGCTGGCAGTGAAAAAAAATGCACGAATGTGATGGGGCGTACTGTCCAATTGCTTAGGCATGACACGTACTGTCCTATTACACTGTCCAATTAGTGCTGAAATCAGGACAGTTGATAGTCAATCAGATTTGAGAATATTGTTATAGTTATGATTCACTTTATTACATACTTACTTCCCTGATTGATTGATTGATTCTTGATTAACATACAAAAACTTGATGTTTCTTGGATTTGATATATGCCTAAAGATTTTAGTAAGGATTATGGTGAGAACTCTGTTAGCAGATTCACAAAAAGTCTTTGAAGCCATTCAATCAACTTGCTTTTGGAAATAAAGCATATGAGTGGCTTACGGTAACTAAACCCTTAATTTTGCACATTTTTGAAATTCTTAACTGAGGTAAAGTTAGGAATAGGGCAACGGTGATTGCAGCATTTTTTTTTCTTATTTACCTAGACATTTACTGGTGGTATTTGGCGGTCTCAAAGGACTTGAAGCCAGCCTGGAATCTGACGAAAAACTAACGGAAAACGATCCATCATTTGTGTTTGATCATTACATAAACACGTGCCCCGGTCAAGGCAGTGGAACAATAAGGACCGAAGAAGCAATTCTTGTTACCATGTCTGCACTGAGACCGGTTATTACGAAAGCAACACGGTGGAAATCTGGGATTTGATCTGAATTGCGATCAACTGGGAAAAGTTTGGATGTACGAGTGCCACTTTTTTTATTCACGCCCCAGCTCTCGAGTCTTTAACGGTATCAGGTTGTTTCGCCCAAAAGTCGATTCGTCAAATGGCGGTTCGCCCAGACTTGACTCGATTCGCCCGAAGTGCTTTTTTCGTTCTTTTTCGTCTGTTCACGTTCTCGTTCCCTGGGCTTTTTCCTGAAAAAGTGGGAGTGGAAAGTCCCTGGAAACGTTCACCGAGATGTAAAGTGTTTTATGTCATCGGCTGAATCGTAGTTTAACTATGGGCGAATCGACCTAAGTCAGGGTAGAACGACCGCAATTCGAACAAACACTTAATACGAGCCTTTGTCTTCTTTACTCTTCCTCCAGCTACGATCGTTCACGCAAGTCGTACAATCGTGCAATTGAAACGGTCCCAATTGGACTGGAAACGGTTGGTTGGTTGCCTTGGCATAAAATAGGCCTTTCACAAAATGTGCTTGGAGTCATAACTTTTGGGCGTGGCCAAGAAGGTAGTCAACTCGTACAAAGGCTGTGACTCTGTGTCAAATAAAGCCAGAGCTACGCCCGGAGTGGTCCCCTTTGGTGATTAAATTCTTTATTTCCTACTTGCATCACTATCCCCTTATGTTCATGAGAACCCAAATCCTCTTTTAATCTCCACTGAGTTTTATTGTCGGATGCATCGCCCTCTAAAGACCGATTGAAATAAAAGTTGGTTTATAAAAGGTGTGTGTTTCTTTATCCGGTTTACGTGCAATTCTCTAAACATGATATTTCTTCGCTTGACAATATCACGGATCTACAAAATGATAAGTAGCTGAGTCATTTTAAGAAGCGTTATCTTCATCTGTATCAAGAGCTTCATTTAGATACGGTGTACATTTTTTTCAACTAAAGGGCTGTTCATGTCCGCGTTGTAGATTGGCCCTGCCATCTTGAACCAGTTAAACTGAGTTAAAAACGATATTGTCTAGGTAGTTGTCATTAGGTTAAAGGTTACTAAGGCTATTTTAAAAGCTGAAAAGCTTTTAAAACTGAAATGCTACCCTACTTGATTAACTCTCTACTCCTTAGTATTCGACGTTAAGACTAAATTAACAAGGTCATTTTTCCCTATTAAAGACGCGGAAACAATATTTGTGCAAAATACTAATTGGGATCCATTATGCAGAAAACACACAATGCAGAGTGCCGCTATCACTGTTTTTTTTTTAAGACACCTTGAACATCCATATCTGTTGCTGACTGTTTTGCGAAAGGCTAGCCCTCAGCCCTAGATTAGCTATTTCTGGCCGTATGAGTCCGTTGTAAAGAAAGATTAAAAAGTGTTTTTAAAACAAATGTTGAAATGACAGATACACTACAGTAGACAACAGGCGTTGTATGAGGCGCTGTGCCGCAAAACCTGCTTGAACACCCCCTCCCCACTTCCCCTCCCCCCCGCCAAACCCCAACGAGGCCTCTTTTGCAGGCTACATATTTCCTAAGGGTAAGTACGCTTCGGTGTCCCTCCTAATAAACCTCCCTCGGCCTCCTCTCTTAACTCTAAAGGAACTAAAACCATTAATCAAATTACTCGTTTTACACAAAGTAACGAGATGTAAAGTCTTGCAGCCGATGTGTATATCACTATAAGCGTGAGACAGAGGAAAATACAAAAATTTCAAACTGCTAAGGTAAAAACAAAAATGAGTATTGTGCGTCCCAAGTACGTGCAAACTCTAGTTCGAGACCCTGAGTATTGGTCCCGCCCCGGCCATCGAGCCCGCGATGCCTATATAATATTGAAATGTATTTTCTTCTTCTACTGTTATTATTATTATTATTATTATTATTATTATTATTATTATTATTAATATTAATATGTTGTCAACCGACCATGACTGGAATCAGTGCATGAGTTCACGAACGTTCGTAAATTGAAAAGACGGGGTATGCTTGGACTCCATGCCAAACACACAGTTCGCTTTATTTCTTTTCTTTTCTTCTATTTCCTTTTTAAGTTTTGTTAAATGCTTTAAACCTTTCTTGACACGGAACAGAAAAAAACGAGTATGACATCATCCGCTGTTTTATAAGTGGGTTATTCTATTTTCGTGTAGGTTTAATTGCCCATACTTAAGATCTCAATTGATTACTAACATTCTTTGCTTAAGCAGCTCTTACAAAATATTTCCTGTTCTTTTAAACTTGAATAACACGCTTAATATCGAACTGCTCTTGCTGAAATTTTCATGGTAAGCAGTCATACGTTAAGGGTATAAATTGCCGTCAACAGAGCTGTAAGTTTCAAAAGAGGTTTTTTGTCAGAGAGATAACAGTTATTGCCATTGCTATCGAATTAAGCCATTCCTCATACTGGATGTAACGATGATGATTTCTGCGTTTATATCAGTGACTTTGGGAGTGTTTCTTTTTTCCAATGTTGTTGGTAATGTATGATTTTTGCTCGAATTTCAGGTGTTATGCACGTGATGTAAAAGCGAATTCGCGAAAGCTTACCGTAATATCAGCAATGAACTGCACTTTGCAAAATGTTAGTTTTAAACTGTTCCAGCTTAAATTATCTTAGGAGAAATGAAGAAATATTTGTAAGTGGAATTAATATTTCATATTTGGTAAAATTAAACTCAGTTTATTGATGGTTATACTGGATCAATTCAACTAGGGTGGGCCAAGGGCGTGTCTACTTGGCCTTAGTCGTGAGTCTCTGTTCCATAGAGGTTTCATTTTTAAAAAAAATCTGTAACATTTTATCCTGACTCACTCTGTTTCTCGCTCAGATTTCCGTAATGATTTTTTTAAAAATTGTGCGCCTCTTTTCATAGAGACGCATTGCCCAAAAAGTTGATATCGATACTTTACCTTGAATCTTGTTGCTCGCGAAACCATTTTTAAGTAGTGAATATTTCAGTGTTATATAAATAATCAGCTAAATTGTCATTTCTTAGGACAAAAAACTAAATTAAAGAAAGCATTGATTCTTCTTTCTCTGGTGGGATTATAGGATGACCAATGTCCTGATCTTAGAAAATCACAATAAGATCAGATTCTTTTTTCTTGTAAATAACAGAAGCCAATATTGGGGAATCATTGCAAATGAAGTTTTACAACCGCGATTTCCACGCCTCGGCGTCCAAGATACGGGGCATGTTGAAGAAGGCGAATCTTGCTGGTCATGGCTACCAAGTGGAAATAGAAACCAAGACAGTAAAGAAACCTGGCAAACCAGAATATGTAGAGGTATGTTAACCTGTTCTGTGTACGTATTGATCCATCCTCGGAGACCAAGGTGCCTGAGGCTGATCAAGAAAATACAGCCGCAGGAAAGGGCATGGAGACTGGCCAACTCAATCAGTGGCGGATCAGGAGGGGGCCCAGGGATGACTCCATACAAATCCTTCTAAATCTTACCTGGTTCCTAATCTTATGAACCAAGCCAAATTTAGAAGGATTTGTATGGGGACCCTGAATTGCTAATTTTTATTTTCAGACCAAACCTAAAACATTTTTTGGAGACCAACCCTCCCACCTTATGTCGGGGCCCCTTATTTTGACCAAACCTAAAACATTTTTGACCAGCCCTCCCCCTTATCTTTTCAAGACAAGACCCCTCTTATCAAGACAAGACAATGCTTTATTTGGAGTCTTATACAGTCCTATGTACATCGACTTTTTATCCAAATAATTTAGGTCTGGACCCGGCAGTGTCAATATAGATACAATGTATCTATACAACTAATCATTTATTTATCAGTAAAGAACTCTGAGAGCATCTGTGTCCAAATATTTAAATTGAATGACGCTAGAAGACAAAATTTTCGTACAGTTTTTAAAAAATGTTAATCAGGAGCCCAACATGGGCTAGCTGATAATGTTCACACAATTTCAGGCAAAGGGGGCGGCCAGGGCCCTCTCTTCTCATCCCCTTTCTAATCAACAAGATGGTAAATTCACCAGCAAGTGAGATCATTTCAAGAGTCCATCAAAGTTTAGAAAAAGAACGCAAGAGTCCGGCTACAAACAGCAAATATCACAGCCCTGTAGATGCCGCTGGCTATACAAGGGTGTTTGCGCTCTTGCTTTTCATTTCAGTAGCGTTCTCTTATCCGACGGACCCTGAGCGTAAAGTTAATCGAGTGTCTTAGGAGCCCACCATAGTCCAGACCGAGCAACTTCCATGACACAGCGTTTTCTCAGACAAGTTTAATTTATATTAAGATCGATTTCGGCGTGAATCTAGACCGTCGCGTTTGTTCCAAAAATAATTCAACAAAAGGCACAGGCCGGAAAATATGGGTTTTGGGTTTTAATGACAATTCCTCTTTTGTTTTTCACAGTTTATCTTTCGGATGTGCCCACCGTACAGATTGGAGGTCCATTTTCGGGGAAAAAAGTTTTCAAAGTTGCACCTAAAAATAGACCGGTTGTTATCCGCTCCGGGTTTATGGCCTTGGCTCCTAGTCTCTGAAAGTAATTCACCTCGGCTTTTTCTCGTTTTTTTTCCTGTATGGCTGATTAATGATGATTATGAGGCAGAGTCATGATCATATACGATGAATATCGTTTTAGAGACGTTTTAGCCTTAGTGAGTTCGATAATGCCTTCCTGTCATTATGCTCGGCAAGTCAAATTAACTATAAATATTGTCTGTCTCAACCTCGTTCCCAGGGTTCTCTCCCACCCGCCCTACTGAGCGAGGTAGGAGAGAACCCTGGCAACGAGGTTGTGTCTGTCTGCTTTCTCTTCCAGGAATCTCGCTACTACTACAAGATAGTGCCTTGCTCAAAGGTTCCTGAGATTGAGGAAGAACTGAACAAGTTGTTGTCTGGTAAATTGAAAAACTGCCTAGTAGCTAGTTTGCTTAGAGCAACCCCCCTTCCCCCCCCCCAACCCCCCACCTCAACCCTGGGGGGAGAGGGCGGCTAACAATTCGCCCCGTGTAAGGGAATCCGGATTCCGGAATCAGGGAAATTTTTGCTTTTGAAACTGCGGGAATCCTGGAATACAGCTCAAGGATTTCGGATCCCACTAAAGATTGGAATCTGGAATCCAAGTTCCACTGACAAACGGAATCTAGTACCAGGAATCCGGAATCCGCGGCGTGGAGTCCAGAATCCAAGACGATAAAAAATTGCTTTCTATTATTTTCCACTGACTTTTGTTTTCTTCTGTAGAGCTATTCATATCTGAATATAGCCTCAAGTAATCATTCTGAAAAATTAATCCTTTTTCATTTCTGTTCAAGGTGCTTTTGGATCTGAGCTGGCCAGCGAGTTAGGAAAAGAAATTCAAGTCATGCGCTTAGGGGAGTCGGGAAAGTGCAAAACAGGAGTGGAGATTGTTTACAACTATGGCAGTAACCAGGACGACAGCAGCCTGCAACGCAAAAAACGCGGCTGGAGAATAAGAATCCGCATAAGGATCAGAATCCGAATAAAAATATCCATCCGTAGGAGGTGAAATCGGCCAACAGGCGGCGTATAAGCTGCGGAAAAACGGGCAAGAAAAACGTGCAACTTGTTCTGCAACATTGCTGAAAAACGAGTTGAATAGCGATGTTGCACGTTTTACCACCCATGTTCAAACCCGTCTTGCAAAAAAATACAACTTGCTGCAAGTCGAGTGTTTATACTGACTTCTGATTGGATAAAATTACGCGGCAATTACTCCATACACGGAAGTTGCGTCACTTGTTTCAAAACAAGTTTGCCTTGGGCCAGTAAAACGCGCAAATGTACAGTTTTTACTGCAAAAAGTAGAGCTACCCTCTTCTTTTTGTTACAACTTTTCGCCACCTGCAACAACCTGATTTACGTTGTTGCAAGACAGGTTTAAACGTGGGTGGTAAAACGTGCAACGTCGTACATCTCAACTCGTTTTGCAGCAATGTTGCAAAGCAAGTTCAAGTGCACGTTTTTGTTGCCCGTTTTGTCGTACCTTTAGCAAGCCCGCGAGCAAGCTTCCCTTTTAAAAATCGCGAGAGTCATAGGTCGGGCGGTGGTGAGCCGCAAAATACTAATGCTTCTCTTTTTCCGAGTTCCAAAATCTCTCACTTTCAAAATGAGGCTAAGTGCAAAACCTTTCTTGTGAAAATGAGTTTTATGTGCAAGAGAATAACACCCCATTTTCGCATCTAGCCTCGCTTTGAAACAGAGGCTTGGAGCAACTCGGAAATAGCCTATTAGGTCGCGTTTCGCGATTTTCAGACGGAAAGCTTGCTTGAAGGACATGGATAAGCTGAGGAGATGTGATGTCAGGTGGTAAGGCCTTATCATATTGGCCATTTACTAATTACGACCTTTAAATATCCTTTATAACATTTTAGCAGTTACTATTACAGACTGCAAAACAGGTGGTTTTTTTCCTTAATACATTTCTGTTTGAAAAAAGAAGGGGGCTAGTTTGCACTCGATTCGTCTTGTAACTCGGAACGAGTGAAGCTTCTTGCAACGAAATAAATCAACATTTGGTAAATTGCTTGCCTTTTCATTATGGTGCATTTTCATAATTTTTCTCTGGTAGAAAAACACGGGAGAGGCTGATGGAGGGGGAAAGGCGAAGATGGGGGGAGGGTTGGGGGACGGTTGCCTAGTCTCCCTTCGTGGTTAATGCATTTCGATAACTCGCTCAGACCGGGGAAAATGAGGCCTAGGGACTAGGCAAACGAGGCAGGACAAATAGCCCACGTTCGATCTATGAAAATTCTGAAATGACTACATTGTCTCGCAATTCCCATAAGAGACTTGAGCAGCCTGCGGGCTCCCAAGCATTTTAGCTCGGGTGCCCAGGCCTAAAAGATGGTCGGCAAAATAAAATTTTCGGGGAGATTTTAGCTTGGTGCCAAAGCAACGAAGTAGATGCGATTTTCTGGTCTGATGCTAAAGTAAGTAAACGTAAATCGTTACTGTCTAACATTCACATATTTTTCTTCGAGCTTTTCTTCGAGCTGTTTTATTTTGTACTGGTTCTAGTGTTATTAAAGTTTCATCACTCCAAATTGCACACTTGTAAACAACGTCGAAATCTTGTAAACTCTTTTTGAATCCCATGCTTTACTACTGCACCTTAACTGCCATTATTAAAGTTTGTGAAAACCGCATCCTTCCTGTGTGTTAACGACAATTGTGTTATTTTTTTTTCCATCGAAAGTCATGAAAAAGCATATCCAATTCCTCGAGGTGCGTTGCCGACTATGTCGGGGGGGATAAGAGGAAAGGACAAGACTTAGAGAGAAGACTTTGCCAAGCACAAAAATTGAAAATCTAACCTAAAAATTTAGTGAAGAACAAGCTGAACAAGGGGATTGGAAGGCACGTCCGACTCTTACCTTATGCCGAAATGTTGCTTGTTCCAATCACTTTCTCCGGTGGGTAGAATATACTCTGGAAGGTTCATAATTTTGACTGAGCAAACTATATTTTTGCCGCATGACTTTGTACATGAAGAAGTCATAAAGTTGACCTGTTTCATGCATACATTTTTATTAGTTTCTGTGGGTTTTGTTCCGGGCCAACAGGATTTGACCTCTGATGCGATTGAGCATTTTCTTTGACCTCTTTTGAAACGTATCAGCACGCTATTTTTGTTTTTGCGGCTAAAAAACCCTTTGATAAAGGTTCTAGGTTGCTTATTGTTCACCAAAATGCCTTCTGGATATGAATAGGTAAGATTTTCTTTTGGCTGTGAATTTGATGATTCCTGCAACATGTGTAATATTTTGTCATGCTGGGCTCAGTTGCAGGATGTTAAAATTCTCACGAATAGTGATTTAGAGATCTAAGTTTAGAAGAATAAAATGCAGCTTTTCTCACTGAAGCTACACCAAAAAATTTCACTGTTGACTCAGTCAAGATTGTTCTTTAAGCAGTGACAACTCCAGTTTGTTTCTGCACAGGCATCCCAAGCTCACGTTACGAGCGTGTTATGTAAATTAACTTTTCGACAAGAGAGTCAGTGTTGCGTTACAAGTAACCGTTAAGACTGTATGACAAATAAAATTCTGCAGTCTGCGAACGCTAATTTTTACTTTTTCTATAACATAAATATAGGAGACCAGGGAGACAGGGGACACAAGGAACACAGGGGGTCAGAGGGGACACAAGGGGCACAGGGGACAAGAGGGGACACGGAGAACACAGATGAACACAAGGGAGAGAGGGGACATAGGTGACATAAGGGACAAAGGAAACATGAGGAACATAAGGGACACAGAGGGGCAAAAGGGGAAACAGGACACAAAAGGACACAGGAGACACAATAGAACACAGTTGACACAGGGGACACAAGGGACTCAGGAAACCGGCACAGTGGGACACAGGGGGGACAAAGAGAACACAAGGGACACAGGGGACACAAGGTGACAATGGGGCAGAGGGTGACATGGGAACATGGGGTAATACAGAGTTACACAGGGGAACGCAGGATAAAACAAGGTAACGAAGAGTAACACAGAAGAACACAGGGTAACACAATGGAACACAGGGGAATACAGAGGAACACAGGGTAACAAATGGTAAAACAGGGTAATACGGAATAACACAGGGTAACACAGAGTAACACAGGGTAACACAAACTAACACAGGGTAAAACAGGGTAACAAAGGGTAACACAGAGTAACACAGGGTAACACAGGGTAACACAAACTAACACAGGGTAAAACAGGGTAACAAAGGATAACACGGGGTAACAAGGGAACACAGGTAACACGGGGAAATACATGGTAACAAAGGCTAAAACGGGGTAACACAGGGTAGCAAAGGGTAATATAGGGAAAAACAGGGGAGCACAGGGTAACAAAGGGTAACACACCATAACAAAGGGTAACAAAGGGTAACAGAGGTTGAGGAAGGGTAACACCAGGTACAAAGGGTAACACAGGGTAACAAAGGGTAACAAAAGGGAACAACGGGTAACACAGGGGAACACAGGGGAACACAGGTTAACACAGGGTAACAAAGGGTAACAAATAGTAACAAAAGGGACCAACGGGTTACACAGGCTAAAAGAGGGGAACATGGGGTAACACAGGGAAACAAGGGATAACAAAGGGTAACACAGGGTAAGAAAGGGTAACACAGAACAACACAAGGTAACAAAGGGCAACACAGTGTAACAAAGGGTAACACAGGGTAACAAAGGGTAGTACAGGGTAACAAAAGGTAACACAGTGTAACAAAGGGTAACAAAGGAAAACACATGGTACCAAAGGGTAACACAGGGTAACGAAGGGTAGCACAGGCTGACAAAGAGTAACACAGGGTACCACAGGGTAACGAAGGGTAACAAAGGGTGACAAAGGGTAACAAAGGGTAACAGAGGGTAACAAAGGGTAACACAGGGTAACAAAGGGTAACACAGGGTAACGAAGGGGAACACAGGGGAACAAAGGGCAACACAAGGTAACAATTTGTAACAAAGGGTAACACATCCCAGACTTTCAAGTTTTGTAATAAACGCTGCTGACACCACAGGCATCCCAAGCTCTCATTACAAGTGTGTTACCATATTTCTTTGAATAAGCGCCCAACCTCGAATTAGTACCCAACTCGAATAAGCGCCCATCCCAAAGGCAGAAAAAAATAATAAGTCCCCAGCCTCAAATAAGGACCCACCCCCACCCCACCCACTTGGGTGACAATGAGATTGATGACTCCTGGGTTCAAACCTTTCACAATAAGATTGAAATTGAATAAGTTCTAATATAAAGAGACTTCCCTGAAGACGGAGTTTTCTTCAGAGGAGGGGTAGTTTACAGAAACCTTGCTTTGTTCACGTTTCGTTGTTACCATTAATTGTTTTGTTGCAAAATAAACATATCACACTTGCCGAAAATGGTGAAAATCAGGAGCCCAAAAATTTAATAAGCGCCCAGCCTTGAATAAGTGCCCACCTCGAATAAGCACCCACTCTCAAGGTCCAAAAGTTTAATAAGCGCCCAGGGCGGTTAATCGAATAAATACGGTATGTAAATTAACTTTCTCACCAGAGAGTCGGTGTTGCGTTACAAGCAACCGTTCAGACTTTGTGTGAGAAATAAAATACTGAGGTCTGCGAATGCTAAATACCATTATTCTTACTTACTTTTCTATAAAGTAAATAAAGGAGACTTACCTTTGATGTATTCCTGACTGTTTTTGGTGTGAATTCATCGATTTAGTCGGGGTTATTTTTGGCTATTATTGTCTGACCCCTGTCACTCTCCTCATAATACGAAGTTTTAAGGTCAAGAGTGTCAAGCATGTCAAAACAAAAACAGTGCGGATTAAGAGCTTTTTTTCTACCAGATTGGAAAGTTTTTCAGTTGTATCCCAGTAACATGTAAGTCTCTGCGCATTCAACAAATTTATTAGAGATTAATTTCATTCTCGTGTGACACACTCATTGCTGTTGTGCATTTTTTTTGAAGTTTAAGTTTTCCTTAGTCACAAGTGTACTGTCAAAAACAAAAAATTAGTATTAAAAATCACAGTTCAGTACTTAACTGCATAGCAAATCGGCTGTCTTTTGTCAATCACAGGACTAAAATAGACGTAACAAACTGAAGACGACATATAAACGTGGCACTGTTAAGCAAGTGTTTTTACTTTTTCTTTCGAAAGAAATGCTCCCAGTATTGTCAGTTGTGCCCCTTAAATTTTCAGCTGTGCGCCTAAAATTTCGGCAGTGTGCCTAAAAATTTACATCTGGTAGCACAAGTGCTCTCAAACTCAAATTTAAACTTTGAGCCCTGAAGTGACCAATGCATACGCAAAACGCGCGCACTATTTTTACGCATACACGGCACGCACGCATCTCGCGCGCGTACGTGTTTTCCTTTTTCATTCATGGCCATTATTTTTCGTTGTGTGTCTTAGTTTGGCTGGACAAAAGACTACTCTTTTCCAACTGAAACAAATGTCTGTTTTTCTGCCAGAATGTGCACATGCCTTGAGTTTCGGATAGATCAAAATTTATTCACCCTCCGGTGGATGAAATTCACTGCAATCTTGACTCGATTCTCGCATCTTGGCTGAGAATCACCCATCCATGCAGTCCTCGAGTGAACATGTTGAATAAGTCACAGCAGCTTTTAACTATCAGTTTTAGAGAAGAGAATTGAAAGCCGCACAGTGGCGGCTCGAATTTATCAAAGTTTAGTCTTCATTGTTGCTTAAAGCTCCCTAATAATTCTGAAGTCCTGAAGTGCCATGGAATTTGCACATTCAGATTAACGGAACCGCGGTGTTTAGACAACGGCTAAATTTGCGATAATTTTTGTCTACAGACATAACAAAAAATTAGCTGTTAAGTAACTCTGTATATCGTAACCGCTCTTATTGTAATTTAGTCGTTGTCTTAACACCGCAGATAGAAATACTTTTAAGAAATTAGCCGATTGTATGGCCTTTGGAACTTTTACACTTACCTGTGTTGTAGATCATGTGCTAGAGCAACCATAGATGAACCATAGATCTTATAACCTGGAGGAGGTGGGCTCGAATCCCACTCACTGCACTTTGTCAAAAGATTTTTGTTTTGCTTCATGTGGTCCCCTAATTCCCTTTATTACTGCTAACACTCCGGTCTTGTGGGTATTAATACTCATAACACTTAATGTATCATTAAAATTTTTAAAAGTGTATTGAAATGCATAGATCATTTACGGAAAGAAGAATAATTTGGCTATTGTGGATTTGAGTGCGTGGGATGTCTGCCCCCGACAGCGAGGCGCCTGGGCACTAGGCCGCTTCTTTCACTTTTCATTTCCGTGACGATTTCGGGCAAAACGTTACCGAAGTGGTCAACTCCAGGTTGGAAAGTATGTCGACGTCTCTGGAATTTTTATTCCATCGCTCCTCGAGAGATCGGCGAGCTCAGCCCTCAAGAGAGCCAACTTTTGCAATTGATCGGCCAAGTGGGTCAAGAGAGCGGCGAGTGGAAGAAGAGGTGGTATTTCGATACACCGCTCCTGGTGGAGGAACTGCTGCGGTTCCACGAGTAGTCAAGCCAAGAGCCATCATTAAAGATCGGCGAGCTCATCGCTCAAGAGAGCCAACTTTTGATCGGCCAAGTGGGTCAAGAGAGCGGCGAGTGGAAGAAGAGGTGGTACTTCGATCCACCGTTCCTGGTGGAGGAACTG